AGCAGAAGAATTCAGGATGCGCTTTTCATTCTATTTGGAATCCATCAGTCAGATGTACCTGCATCTCAGTGAGTGATGTTATTCCCAGTGAGAATGGAATCTCATACCCATCGCTCCGAATACCATAACGTTATCCACTAGCCCACTGAAGAACGATATTCATCTCTCAACAAAATCATTGATAATCTACATAACGTGTAAACGAATTCATTGTGCAGAGGTAAGAAATGTAAGAAAGGGAAAATCATCATAGTAATAAATAAAGTTATATTATGAAAATGAGACAAGATCAAATCATATTCCTCAAAGGAGAGAGGGAGACTAATCATGCTCTTTTTCTGTATTGTAGGCGTTTTATTGCAATCACTTCCGTGAAGTGAAGTAATCCAGACATTCTATGTACGTTAATTATTCTGAAAGCACTTAAGGTTTCAACCTTATGTCCTATATCTATGAGATGTCTGACAATTTCATTGGTTAAAATTTTATTTCGTTTCAAGCATAAATTCTTGGAGATGTGCTCAGCTAATCTAATGGATACCATTCTCTCAGTCGTAACAATGAACTTGCTACCACAAGTACATACAAATCTCTGCATACACTTCTAGGCAGAATGAGCGGGATATTTATCTACTTCTGACCGATTCAGCAAGTATATGACATTGTATACTGATACGAGTTTAGCTGCAGGGAAGCTCCTTCTAAGTGCTTTTTAACTTCTTGTGTTTGTTTATTCTCTCGGATATTTCACTTTCCTTGAATCCAGTATGAATAGAAACCTTCTTCTCTTCTACAGTTGGGTGTCCATTTCTTTCAATCTGTTCTTTTCCATACTCCATAAGAAATCTCTTAGGATATCCATTCTCCTGGAGACACTTCTCAGCAATGCTTAGTTCCTCATCTGACTTCTCCGCAGAACATAAATTCTTAGCTCTGTTGTGAGAAGAAGAATTGGTGGTATGATGGAAATGACTCACCATAGAGAAGATACATGGACTGGAAATACCTTAAGCAGTTTCTGCCCTGTCCGTTATAAGCATGGGCTAGTCAAAACACTTTACACCGCAGTTAGAGATATATGTCTTGCGGACAAATCAGAGGAGTAACTACACGTTGAGAAGTGTCTGTAGGAGAATGGATATCCTAAGAGATTTCTTATGGAGTATGGAAAAGAACAGATTGAAAGAAATGGACACCCAACTGTAGAAGAGAAGAAGGTTTCTATTCATACTGGATTCAAGGAAAGTGAAATATCCGAGAGAATAAACAAACACAAGAAGTTAAAAAGCACTTAGAAGGAGCTTCCCTGCAGCTAAACTCGTATCAGTATACAATGTCATATACTTGCTGAATCGGTCAGAAGTAGATAAATATCCCGCTCATGTCACCTACAACTGTATGCACTTGTGGTAGCAAGTTCATTGTTACTACTGAGAGAATGGCATCCATTCGGTTTGCTGAGTGTATCTCCAAGAGTCTGTGTCTAAAAAGAAGTACGATTTGAACTTCAGACGATGTTCTTTGAAATCACTTTTGTTAGTGCATTGTACTTACTCGTGTTCTTTACTCTAAGATTTGTGTAGTTTATTTTTCCAATTTCAATTGGTTGCTTTATTTCTATGCCTTTTGCTGACTTCATGTTTATGTGTAGCGTACCAATGCTTTTGTTAACATAAATTTGCTGCTATGAATAAATTCGGTATTTTTCTGAGTTCATCATTTGCTCAGTTCTTTTTTTCAGACATCATAGAAATACTGCAGTCCATACTGCTAACCACTGTACTAAAATATTTCTTCTGTCACCTTGGTTGATTAGACAAATTACTTCCGATTAGTAGGACAAATAAGACATTCTGTCTTTGAGTAAGAGCATAAATTTGAAAGTTATCACTATGTCCCAACCATATGCTGGCAATTCCTTTGGGACAATGGTGATTAAGAGGGTTGTCGGGCATCTGAAGCTCGGTGACGGTTTTTAAAAGCGTAAAGTAGAAGTTTCAACAGCAATATACACTGTATATCAGATCTTTATAAGCAAAGGAAACGTCTCAATGGCATTGAAGGCTACTTAGATTGGGGTACGATAGTCTGGCTTTCGATATACGCTTGAAATTCTCATCAGTTGTATCTACACTAGCATTCACTCAATTAAATGGATATATAAACGTTTTGAGAACTTTTAACGGTTCAGCGGTAAACAAAAGTGAAGTTAAGGGCTCCTGTCAATCTTGAAGAATTACATTACACTTCGATGGTCCGAAGGATATACCATCATACTTACAGAATTCGACCCCCAACTTATTGATTGCTTTTTTGTCGCCTGCATGTTGTTGCACAGTTAAAAGACATTATTTGCATACTTGAAGTTGAAAAGTCTTTCATATGGTAACAGATTTACACCATCATCGCATACATATTTCAAAACTGTCTTCAGGTCATCAATGGGTAAGCGAAAGAGGAATAGCGAAGTCTGGCAGCCCTGTCTGACCCCACTCTTGTTTTGAAACGATGGAGACATTACTCTCCCTGAAGTATTTCACTGCTAGGCCTTTAAAATATGAACAGAGTTTTCAGGTACACCCTTTCTAACAGACAATTCTAAAATACAACTTTATCCAGCCAACTGAAGGTAGCCATAATATGAAAAGATGCAATTAGTAATAGCATGCAATATACGTGAGTGTTTGAGCGTTTAGCAGGTCTTTGACTTGCCCCTCATTATCGTGCTCCCTACATGTTTTAAGGAGCCTAGAAACTTCTGGAACAATCAATGAGGTTTCTGTATTTCGATTACAAATGTAGTTTCTTCATAAAATAAATAAACCTAGTTGGCGCTTTCAGTAGTTATTCTGGTGATCTTCAAACTCACCTGATTCTCTGAGTTATTTTTTATGATTTGAATGCAACGATCTGACTGCAGTATCCGTCTTTGTATGTTTATGTGTAGGTGATTGCAAATGTATCTTCATTTCATAATCCTCTTTTTAACTCATTTAAACCAGATTATGTCTACTAATAATCTCTGCATCATAAACCTATCATTTTCATGCATTCAGCAGTAGTTCAGGAATGAATATCGTCTTCAAGGTTATAATTACATTTGATAAAGTCAGATCTATCGTCGACCTGTCTTATGGTCACGTTTTTTGTTTGTTTGCTTGGTTTATCTTAAAGACTGTACAAGTTAGGTAAAGGTTCATTTCTGCATAATACGTTTAATTATCACATTGATCATGAACATGTAATCTTAAGTACTGACGAAATGTTAGTTTTTTTATTCGCTATACTTCAAAAGCAATTACACTGAAGTTCTAATAAGCCTTTATCTTCTAACCCTCATGGTATTAGATGACTTGAAGTATAAGTATTTAACAGATTGTAATAAATTCTGAGGAGTGTAGAGTGGAGTAGGTTTCCTGACGATTGCCTCCAACCAACTAACATCTACTAATGTGTACCGCAATGCTGAGATTCCTAGCTTGGTTACCACATTGTAAATATGATCGACAGAATTTAGTCTGCACTCAGGACTAGACAACATGAAGTTGGTTGCACACCCGTTGACCAATCAATGCAGAGTTCTAGTCACTTAAATGAGTAACTTTGTTATTTCACGTGCAATACTAGTAAATTATCTCATAACACGTTATAAGATTAAGTTAAATCCAACACGTACTTTCTTGAAAATGGGAATTTAAGACAAACAGAAAAACAGACAATGTAATCATTAGTTCACCCAACCACCCAGAAAATGTACTCATGGATGTGTAGGTGAAAAAAACAGCGATTCCGTAAAATGTACATTCTAAATTACTAACATTTCAGTTGATAGTTAAACTATGCTCCCTATTTAAAATCTATAAACAGTATAAAGCAGTTTTAGATCTGATGGTGTTATATTCTCTGAGCTGGTTGGTTTATTCGTGAAGCTTTCATTGTCATTCTAGACAACATTATCGTCACAAACTTCAGAAGTTTCAATCACTATAGATTGAAAATTTTTAGAGTAGCAATCGCGAAGTAATTTTTAAAGATCTGGTCAATATCAAAATAGTCCTTACCAATGAAATTAAGCAATTCCCCATAAACCATCTAGATGATTATTAACTCAATGCTTACCAGAGAATTCCTACGAAATGGATTCGCGAAAGTCCTGGCGAGAAGTTGTCTTCTGTGGTGTCGATAAAGTCAGCTTTGATGACAAACACTTAACGATGGTATACGATGATTACCATGACATATCAACATTTGGCAGAAGTAAAAGGAAGCAAACTATTGGATTTTAACGCACTACCTGGCCGCCAGTATGACTGTAGCTCCAGACTTGACCTAGGCTCTATCCTTCATACGGTTATGTGGACGCAGTGCTGAAGTGTCCGATACTGGAACAAAACAGCTGTCTGGCACCACATGGTTCCCAGCGGTTCTCTATTCACCATCAACCCATGGCGAAATCTACTCTGAAAGCAATCGGAACCACTTGACAAGTATCTCTGAAGAAATTAGTTTGTCTTATCTTATGGATTCTCAACAATAAGGAGGAAAGCCTTCTCCAAGTGCTGGTAAAGTTGAATTTGTAACCCATTGCTTGTCAAAGTAAAACTTACTGCATTTCTCACTGTCAATTAACATATAATACGGTGTGACATAACTTGAAAACGTCACCTTTACCCCCCATATCATCTGGCTTCAGTTATGGTGGTCTTCAAGCCAGACTTGTAGAGAACTAGCAGTCGTAAGTTGTGAAAAATGTCATCCATAACAACGGAAAATATTTTGTGTTGTGTAATAGATTGTCTTAACATGGTTGTTTGTGACTTTAGGACCTCAGTTAGTCAACGTGTCAGTAACAATTTAAATATATTAAGTTTAGTCTTGGAAGGATACACAGGGATTTAGACCGTTGATACGTTTTATATGTACTAAAAGTAAACCCATTCCACTGTGATAGTAGTATGAACTTTTTAAATCTTTCTCTTTTTTTATTATTTCCTTTATAGGTGCAACTATGTCATTCTGTTCAGAACCAGAAAGAGAATGTACAGTATTTCGTCCATGCTGTGGAAGAAATTGGGTGTGCAATCGTAAGAGTTCTGCAAGTGGTAAATGTGTCCAATGTGCACAGGCTAACAGTCCGTGTATTCATTCAAACGACTGTTGTCGAGGTGTGTGTATTAAGGGTACATGCAAATTGATGGGATTTTTTAGTGAGGAATAAATGAGAAGTAGCAATAACTTCTACTTTTATCCCTTCGTATCATGTTTATGGATATATTTTTAAAAAAAATTAATCTAAAAAAATACCAACCTATCTGATAATCATATCGTGTTTTATTAGTCTAAATTGATTTTCTGATTGGTTAATGGGAATCAGCTGTAATACAAATTAATTGTGATACAACCAATCAGAAGCAGACTACGGATTTATCCACCAATCACATGCTTACTATAGTCTCCAATCATTACCTCGTTTGATATAATGAATAACGTCCAGACAGCTGAAAAACTTAATGAGTGATTAGATTAAAGAATTAGATAGAACTGTATTGCCTCGTCATGATAGCTTAGAATGATAGGACGAAAATATATTTCATATTACGACAAAATCAGAACTTCTTTCTATTGGTATGAGTTGTTTGCTGCTATGTATTAAATACTACTATAAAGCCCATATAATTTAATGATTCGTATCACCAATATGAGACTTCATATTTTCGTAGTGATGACTTCCTTTCACCGCTCATTGGAGTTGCGACTCGTCGGTTGGAATCCTACTATACACTTCAAGTAACTCAAATACTTGTACTAGGTTGAGTTGCGTGAATCAGTTTGCGATCGCAACTTGTATTAGTAACTTGTCTCATAGCATCTAGTGATAAAAGATGGCCGAATTCTACCGATCACCTTGATAAGATAAACACTTAGTGAGGGGATTCGATATTGGAATGAAGCATATTTGTTGTCAGACGGTTGGAAATACTCTGTTCCAAGTCCTCGACCTAAAACTGACTTCAACTAACCAGCAAGGTTGTAAAAATATTTTCTGATGACATGGTATATAGTGAATTATAATATATTCTCGAAAAATCCCCACAAACACATATAAGACGATGGAGACAAGTAGTTTAGTGATTTCATTCACTAAGCTGTACAATAATATTTATCTACGATTTTTTTTAGTGAGAATGAATAATTAGTTTCATTTGAAAAAGCGGTTAGTTAATAAAGGGCAATGGTTAGTCATCTAAAAAAGTTTAGATAAAATATGGTGGGTTAAGCACTTGAACAGAAGGCGTAAACCAGTTGCTGAGATCCACACTACTTATGACTCTAAAGTAAAAGGCTGATATTAATTGACAGTGATAGACCAACCACATACAAAAAAGCTTAAGAGATATTTTCCACGATGAAACATGTCCATCGAGTTATCGAGAAAAAAAGAGATAATTCAGCGAAGAAAACTTTCTTTTTCGGTGATATCATTTTCTAAAGCTGTACGGTCATATTTACATATATATCACAAACATGTAACAGTCTATTATTTAAGTATGGGGGATAAATGCATCATTCAGCTAGTGCTAAGGAATGGAAATCGAGAATGAGAAGCAGTTGCGTTATAGTCTTCTAGATAGTGGAAATAACAAGGAAGGTAAGAAATTTGACAAGGTGAAAATTGTTGATAAATGATAAATGCAAATATTGTGTATCCACTCGCTGAAGGCGACATTCTTCTCTGCTAAGCTATAGATCGGCTTCTTTAGTCAGACAATGGTTCTGGAATGCGTTAAGGACAAGTTGTCACTTTGAGCCACTTCAAATTTACTTGCTCCTGTGGAGTTAGTTATATAAGCCACACAAAACTTATCTCTGAGCGTTATCTTGTATGGCTATCGAAGGAAGAATGTAAATCAATTAACAGTTCAATTCGTGAACATTTGGTCAACTCTGGATACATAAGTCGATCAGAGTTTTCCTTCAATGTCATTTATAGAGTCAAGTGGATCGATTCAATAGGAGTATGCCTTCGACAGTTGTGTACAGTAGAAGCACTGGCAGTTCATCAATTCAAGCCTGATCTCTGAGTGTAAAAGAATTATGTTCAACCTCTAATCGTACCATGGTCTTAACACTTCCACAACTCACTGTCCATTTCACTATACTTAGTTAGTTTATTATTATCACCTTCGTTATGACCCTTGTCTCATTCTTCACCTTCTATCAAGTGAAGACTTAATATTCGTATTTCTCGTCTACCAATAATTCTCAATTTGTCAAACTTCTTACCTTCCGCGTTATTTTTATTGGCTAAAAGACTACTAAGCAACTACTTTCCATCCTCGATTTCGAATTTATTTTAACACTAGCTTGATAAGGCAACTATACACTATTGTTAAATAATAGACTGTTATATGGATATTGTTCAGCCATTAGTTTAAAAAATAAGTTTTCCAAGTAGGAAAAACCTATTTTCGATAATATAAACTTCCCATCTCTGTGAATATATAAATTTAAACTAGAATACACTATGAGAAGTCAGTCTAAATTCACGTCTTGTCAGCACAGTTGAGTGGAGTTGAAATAAAAATAATCGACAGCTCCACTAAAATGTATCTAATCAAGATAATATGTTCTGCTGCTTCAAAGATGTCTTTCTTAAGTGCTTATTATTATTGTTATCACCACATTATATATCCCTTGGGTTCCTAGTGGAAGATACGGCTTCAGTAGCACGTCTCCGTTCCACTCTCTTCTCTGTAATCTTTCGAACCTGGCTCCATGACTGCCAAGAAGCTCTCATTTCTTCCTCACACCATCTCCTACGTGTCACCCTCGTCTCGGAGGCCCAACTCGCCGTTTCCCATCTGGGTTCCACTCGAGTGACTGGCCTGGTGTGTGATGTCCCCGAATGGTCTTTTCAGTGCATGCCCAATCCATCTCCATTTCTTTCTGCATATTTGTTCAGTCATAGCTTCTTGGTTGGTTCGTTCCCACAATTCCTTGTTGCTTATTCTTTCTGGCAATCCATCTGATCTTCAGTATCGAGCCAGCGAAGGCAGTTGTTGGTGAATATCTGTAGTTTGTTGGAAATGCTTTACGTAGCGCACCAAGTCTCTCAACCATATAGAAGCACTGACTTGACATTAGTGTTAAAAACCCGGATGTTGTTCACGCTTTATACTGAGTGCAGATCTCCACATTGGTCTCAGGTTGATGAACGCCTGTCTTGCTTTTCCGGTCCTGGCTTTGACGTCCTTCTTAGGTGTTTATCACACCCTAAATTGATTATCACACAGGGTTTCGGTCATTGGTGTCTTTGCAGTGCTGGTTGCTTTTGATGGAATCACCGCGTAAGCAATGTTGACAAGACAGGTAGCTGTAGCTGTCAACTTTTATTACTGAGATGGCTTGAACGAGTAAGTCGGAGTAGGTTGGAAGAGAGCTCAGGATTGTTAGATGAAGATGTGGTACCAGTTTGTGAAGTCTTCGACTGTTGGTTTGAGCCGTGTTTGGAGATGTAGACAATCTGGTTGGGGTTCCCGAAACAACAGGGATCAGTGGTTGATGACTCTTGGTAACATGACTGAATATCAGTCACAATGGTGACGTCTTCTAAAGCTTATATATATTCACACTAACCTGTATCTTCAGATTCTTTATTCAATCACACAACTTTATCTACTTTGGTATCAGTCTTCGTCTATCCACCTATTCTTTGAATAGTACTATGAGTTGTGACAACTTGAACTGATGCAATTGTGTACGAGGTTCTACGTCTTTCTGTCTTATCAAAAAAGGCATACTTTCTTTTCCGCGTAGCCAATGCAGTTCCCATTCAAATTAGGGAACCCGAGTTATATTTCTTCAGACAGTCACTCTCTCTTCTAACCTTGTAATACTTATAATGTATGATACTACTTTGAACTTTGATCATTTCTGTACACAATATTATTGTTTTTGATGTTGTCAATATACCTACATCTAAATCTTAACTCCATATTATGTATGCTGTTTACATACTTTTATTCCAATTACCTTATTTCATTCGTATAATTCTGATTAGTAACCTATCTATCTGCTTATCGATTTCTTATCTTAATTATAGTATCACTTTAAGATATCCTATTTTGTAGTGTTAAACGCAATTCTGAGTTATTATAATATCTGTATTACAACTATTCACCGATTGACGCCGAATGTGTACACTAAAATCTATTAAATTTCCATAGTCAAATGTTGAACCTGATGAGATGTTTTCAAATTAGCTGTCCGATGAATGTCATCACGAGAATTTCCCAGAAGTGAAAATTACGCAACTTACTACTTCCTCAATAACTATCATATTATGTAATGGGTATCGATTTAAATCGGATAGAAAATCTACGTCATGGTACAATTTTAAAACAACAGACTTAAATCAGTTTTATATCCGCATCCATATAATTCGGACTGGATAGTTGAACAATAACCTAAGTTGTCCTATAGTAATCCATAACCTAGTAAATTAACCTGCACCAAACTGAGTTGTATTTCAGGAATTATTTATTGCATGAATGAGAAATGTTGTTGGTTGTATTTAAAGCGATTGGTATCGGGTTTTAGTCCTAATAGGAACGACACCGCTCACTGGGAGACACATATATCCAACTAATGAGCCAAAAATAGGACGAAACGTGCATCTTCGACTCCACTGTTAACAACCAAATAGACCATGATGTAATGAATATCCAAGAAGTATCGAGACATTCGCATAGGAGCCTATATGCCAACAGTGGTCGAGTGTCAAACAAAAACAAATGATATCCGTTACAGAAGAGACGGCTCTCATGCCTCATTGGTCTAGTAGATAACTCTTTGGTATTTGAAGCGCAGGATGTTGGGTTCAGGTCACAGTGAGAACACCACTCACTGAGATGCGAGTACATAAAGCCAACGAGCCACAAAATAGGACGAAACGCCAGTCTTGAGTCCCATTAATGGCCACCACCAATCAAATTACTACTCATTTGGTTTCTAAGATCAAATTGAACAGATTTAACAGTCTACTCACACTATATCCATCCATCCATCCATCCAAATCAACATAGGACCAAGCATTACTGCGTAACGATCAGAGTTGCCACACCTCACATCAGAATAGAAAACTTAGACAAAGGAAATACAAAGTATAAAAAGAGGAGGAAGAATGAGAGAATGGCGAGATTCGCTAGTGTCGTTAAGATAAGGATGATGTATGTGTATCCATCTGCACCACTGACTTCGATTCTCAGCCATAACACCTAGAGTCTCCAACCACTGGTTTCTCTTGTATCATGGATCCCAACCACCCAGTTTGCATTGCCCCACATGGCTCAAACCTACAGTCAAAGACTTCATGCAATGATGCCATGTTTTACTCTGGTCAGTGTATGCAATGAAAACCCATCTCATTGAAAATGATTTGAGTAACCTCCTTCTCCAACAATAATAGCTAAATATGTAAACACCAAACTGCTAAGCCAAACAGAGAGAAAATGAGTCTTACTCAAAAACTTTTTATAATAACTACAACAATAATGTAATATAAATCAATCATCTCATTTAACAGACCTACTGTGTATGTAAAAAGAGATTTTTGTAAAAAAAACAACAGCAAAATCCCTTTGCAAAACGAAAAAACAAACAGTATCAAACATAGACTAGTAGAATGTTCAAAAAAGAAAGTAAACTCTAAACAGAGATGGAAGAAAACCGACTCGTGGTCACTAAACAGTGAAAAAACGTCTCACACAAAAGAAATAAGGCAAAAGAACAACTAGAAATTACGCTTACAGTTGTTTCCCTTATTGATCTGATCTGATATTCTATCCAATGCTTCGAAAAATCCTTTCGTGACAATTTCAAAGCTAGAAAATATACATAGACATTCAGCGTAAGTCATCATTGGATGATTTCTATTAGAGAAGAACTGTAAACTATCAGGAGTTAAATGTTATCATTTGAAATGCTTTCAATATATCGTGATATTTTCATTACAATAATTCAACATTTACAATAGCAACAAAAAACCGGGGAACAGAAGGTATATAAAAAACTTGTTTATAATTCACTGCATATAATCAATCTCAAATGTTTACCTTTTTTTTATCTGGTAGAAAATAATATGCAAAAATATGAGTAGTGAAATTTAAGAAGCTTGTGTGGGTGGAAGTTCATGAATAATTCTGTAACACACCAAGGATAAGGTATCTCATTTCACGGGCGGGGGGAGATAACAGCTGATCTCTATATTGCTGTTTAAATTATTGTTTCTTTGTTGTTTCATTCGGTGCTATCATCGTTGTTCTTCCCGTGATCTTCGTTGTCTTTCTTTTGTCTAGAAGAAAGAAAATTGAAAGAAATGGAATGTTACAGTTGTGTTTCGCAAACATATCAGACAAGCAACCAACCGGTGGTCATTGGTCTGAATCCGGCCATGGTCCAGATTTCCACCTCACCTTCAATCATCACCCTGCATAAATACCAGCCTGACAAATTATGGCTATCTCAGATAGTCAAATGAAAATGTTGGATTGTTGTGCAAATCTGTGTTTCATAGTAGGAAATACTGGCCGAGTATATCTCATTGAACCGTAAAATTTATGTTGAAAAACACCAAACTTTGAAGAACGGTACTCTTTATAAGCTCGTTTTTTCAACCATACTGTTTAGTTTACAGAAGTAAACATCTGTTAAGTACATCATTATGATTCAGAGGATTAGATGGTTATGAGGATAGCAAGCATAACTCTAGTCTCTTGTTGACCAGAAGTGGCGGGAAAGAGTTGATGACTATGATATGTACAAAGTTACTCATCTTAAAACGAAGATAAGTGAGATTACGTCATAGGGTTTCAAACTGATGAAAGTTTTAAAAAAACCCACCATTGAAAAATAAGATATTCTAGAATCATAGGAAGACTGATGCTCTTTTCAATTGATGCATTTATACCTTTTGAGCTCTCCTGATTTAGCCGTGCTCGGAGTTTATGCAAAAGGTGTGGAATGGTTCCAGACGAAATGACGCAAGTCAAGACAAATACCGTTTCTTTTTGCAAATTTGAAGGATCAGCTACCGAGAACAATCTGGGTGAAATAAAGTTGATTTCTAAAGACTCATCTAACGCTTAAATTAGTCCAGTTGATGGTCTTTAACTGTTAACTTCGGAAAATCCCACAATCAGACAGTCATGCTTTACTTCTTCGCACTTCTTGAATTGATCTACAGAGAGTTGATGTGTGTATGCGTGTTAGTGAGAAAAACATTGAATTTACGAAACCTTTTCTCATTAGATTAAAAAACTGAGTTGATAAAACAATCCATAACGAAATGCCGTCCAACAGCCGCCCTCCTAACTCCATGTTATCAAAATGATTTAACTTAGGAGAAATAACAGCATTCATCATTAATTATGTTGCGAATAAATCTAACCCACTGCGCAAATAGGGTTCTTGATGTAAATAACAAGCAGTTTCACAATAAATAAATCCAAAAAGCATAGTTGATTAGACAATCCGTCATATGAGATGCAGTTATCACAGTCAGTGTGTGAAGCTCATGGCTCCAAACTGTATAGAGTTGATCGATCTATGCCCCACAACCTATTTACAATTCAATGGGAAAATTTGCAAACAAACAAACACCTATGGGATCGCCAATTTCGAGATTCATTGCTGAAGCTGTGATGCAGAGCAGCTGAAAACAATATTCATTCTTCTTCTCATCAAGCCAAGAATGTGGATCCAGTACGCTGATGATACATTTTTAATTCCAAAGAGAGATGAAATAGAAACCACTAGTCTAGTCTAGTCAACGAAATATTTGAAGGGATTCGCTTTATAAAGGAGGAGGAAGACAACAGTGAAATTCCATTCTTAGATGCCCTTATCTGCAGAACACATGGCGTGACTTTACAAACTCAAGCGTACAGAAAAGTAACATACACATCAGATTTGAAACTACAAAACAAAGCATCCTACAATCCATCAGAATTGTTGTGTGCAAACACTATTCTCAAGAACTAAAACATATTGCAGTACTGAAGCATACAGGAAAGTCAAAGAAAAACATTTCCATAAAGTGTTTAAAACCAATGATTATCTAACCAACGTTATCAAAAATTGTTTATCAGCAGGACAGAAGATAGGGCAGTTGCCTCAAATCAATAGGCATGTTACATTACCCTTCATCAAAGATACTTCAGAAACAGTCAACTAACTGCTTCATCTATTTGAAATAGGAGTAGCCCAATTCTATTTGATTATTTATTTGTCCTCTGGGCTCCTAGTGGAACATACGGCTTCAGTAGTAAATCTCCATTTCAATCTGTTCGCTGCAGTCTTTTTGACCTAGCTACATCACTACCCATAAGCTTTCATTTCTTCCTTACACCATCTCCTCCATGTCACCCTCGCCTCGTCGTTTACCCTATGGATTCCACTCCAGCGACTGGCCCGGCGCGCGATGTCCCCAATCGGTCTTCTCAGTGTATGTGCAATCCAGTCCATCTCCACTTTCTTCTGCATATTTGTTGGGTGATGGGTTGTTGGTTGGTTCGTCGCCATAGTGAGTTCCTTGCTGCTTATTCTTTCCGGCTGACCATCTATCTGATCTTCAGTGTCAGTATCGAGTGAGGGAGCGTAGGCGGCAGTTGTTGATGTGTGTAGTTTGCTGGAAATGCTTTTCGTGACGCGCCGCCAAATCTCTGAACCATCACATAGAAGCACTGACTTGACTGAATTAGTGTTGAAAATCCGGATCTTGTTCTTTGTGCTGAATGCAGGAGATCTCCACACTGATTTCAGGTTAATGAAGGCCTGTCTTACCGTCTTTTCGATCTTGGCTTTGACGTCCTCATGTTTGCCACCGCTGCCCGTAGGTGACACTATGCTGCCTAGGTGGTGAGTGGAAGGGACAACTTCCTATAGGTTTCTCCCGTTGATAGTGATTGGTGCTTGTTGTTGTTGTTGGTGGTGGTGGTGGTTGGATATCTTCACCTGTCTTCTCTACGTCCACTTGAAGTCCCGTCTTCGCTGCCTCTCCTGTCAACCTGTTGGTTTTCGCCTGCAGATCTTCTAGTTTGTGCGACAAGACATTAGACATAAATTATCATTCGTGACGAAATCCAAGTCTTCTAGGCTCTTTTCATCGATCCAGCGAGCGTATGCCCTCTTCTCGCTACTCACAGTTTGTGGCATCATCGAGTCCTGCCCAGTCAACCACAATCAGGAAAATTATCGGTGATAGAAGACAGACTTGTTTTAATCCTGTCTCTACTTCAAAGACGTCACTGAGATTTCCATTGTGAATCACTTGGCATGTAGCTTCGTCATATAGCTGTTGAATAAGACTGACAAATGTTCGTAGCATCAAAACGGTAGTGTTGAAGCAGTTGCCAAATCACTTCTCGGTCGATGCTATCGAAGGCCTTATCAAAATGGATGAAGTTGAGGTTGAGTTGAATGCCATTCTATGTTCTGTTCTATGATGATGTGAAGCACAGCGTTTCAATGTGACCCGCTCATGATTTGTATTTCCTGAACCCAGCCTATTCCGGTCATAGTTTTGAATCCAGAGTATTTTTTTAGTCTCTCCAGGATGATGCGGCTTAATATTTTACTCGGATTTCAGCAACTTTATGGCCTTCAGGATTTCACTCCTGCTTTTGTAGGAGGCCTTGTGTTCACTGAAAGTTCTGTAGCTGAACTGCTTGTAGTATTTTTGGATGAGTTGCAGGTCGTGGTGGTGGTGATCGATTCAAGAGTTTTTTGAAGTGGTCAGCCCATTGTTTCCTCAGTTTCTCCTCTTTGGTGACTAAGTTTCCTTCAATATCTTTCGTTGCTTTCATCTGTGCTGATCTCTTCCCTCCCAGATAGTAACCTGGTTATTTATTGCCTACTGTCTCCCATTTTTTCCTGACGGCTGACTGACGTGAAGATATCCTTTGTAGTTTCGTCCTTCGGTTCAGTTTCTGTTCTGGGTGTTCAACTTGAACTGTGGTGTATCATCACCAGCTTCTGTGAAGGCTTTCAATCTGATTTTGAAGGTAGGTTCCTTGCACTAGATAGTGGTATGAACCTACATCTGCCCCCCTTTTTCATCTTATGTCCAATAGGCTGCATCTCCATCTCCACTTCCTTCACATTGAGATGAAGTCGATCTGATTTTTAGTGTGTCCTGTTCCGGTGTCTGGTGGAATCAAATCCATGTCGGTTTGTGAATATACTTGTGTTTGTACACACTGCCTTCAATCAGCAAGTCGTTGAATGCGCAGAAGTCTGCAAACAGTTCTCCATTCTCATTCATCATTTCACCGAGTGCTTCTCGACCCATGATAAGTTCTCTTCCTGTGTTGTTCACTCCCAGTTTGGCATTGATTGCACCACACCCATTAGAATTTTGATGTTGCCAACTGCAGTGAGATCTTGTCCAGTACTGATCGGAATTGTCAATAGAATTCCTACTTCTTCTCTTGTTTTGCATTATTTGTAGGTGCATAGTACTGGCATTGTATGATTGTGACTTTCCTTCCTTTTGAGTTGAATCTTGCTGTCATGATCCTGATCGTTGAGGAGATTGGCTCCCACTGCATGAAGTAGAGCCTTCGATGCTCTCGAGGATATCACGATAGCCACTCGATAGCGCAGTATGCTGCGCTCGTGGTTGTCGTCTGGGTGACAATATCAGAGTAGGTTACTAACTCTCTAGTTGATAGTTGGGGGAGTTCACTTCCATTCCATCTACTTTCGCAGATTCTCAGCCTGGCACTTCTATGCCATACCCACTCATCTCACTGACAATCTGGACAGTCTTGCTAGATTCATACATGGTGTGGACACTCCATGTTCCCATACTTACTTTTGCTTACAACGAGAGAAGATACATAGGCCAATCGGCTTCCCGAAGGCTCTCACCAACCGACGTCATTTCGCATTCCAACAGAGAATATCTGATCACGTAATTGGAAGAAATGTAAGTTCGAAGAGGTCAGGGTGTGATAAAGAAAATCTCTTCTTCAACTTACAATCGGACAACACTCAAGGTCAATAAAAACACTATTGAAACATTCATGTAAGAATCGAATATGCGTTACTTCTTTATAGAGTTAGTGCAAAAGATGTCACTAAGCCTAATGATGAAACTTTTACGAAAAACCCCAATCATCCTCAGCCTGAGCAACAAATCTTTTCCATCATTTCAATAGTCAAATAAAAAAGGAACTGCATGGATATTGTTCCCTTCACAAATGTGAACGTGGATGCTGATGAAGTCAATTAGTTTGACGATCACGTGAAACTTTCATAAATGAATATCGAGTCTCAAAAAAAAAACGCCAAACAACTAAGAAAAGGTTGTCCAGTATTACAGCAACTATATATTACAGTTTTATGGTACATGAGCTAGTGTTTTTGATCATACGGTTAACTGAATTGGTTGCAAGTTGCGACTAAAGTATTTTTTACGAATCATATGAGTAATCACATACTATTTTGACATCGGAAAAAAAGTAGGTGGCTATATTTTTGCGATTAACCCTGTAAGCTTTGGACTCCAAGCCCAAGACAGAGGGAAAGATACAGAAACTTAGATGTGTGCAAAGAAGAGGTTGTTTCTGACTAATGGTTTGTTAATAACAATTAATGTTATCCCTGACTTCATGATAGGAAAAGTCTGTTTTATATATTTCTCGAAATACAACTCATAATGAGCACACTTTATAGATAACAGTAGAATGAAAGTAGTTGACATGATGATGCTTAGTTACATTTCAGTTACTCGAATAATCACTCACTAGGATTTCCAATGCTAAAATATTATCTCATACACTTATGTTTTGCAAAAGTCAGAGTGTAACTATAAGTTATCCAGGGGATTACACAGTGAAACACAGTTCATATGATCATATATTTGCAGAATGATAGTAGTACCATCACTTGCACTCATCCAACAACAGACGTCATCAAATAAAAAGTAAACAAATAGCACATTATTAGGTCCCATTTTAGTTGTAAAAACCATTCTCAGACATCAATACATGTACTTACTTGTAGAAGATTCATTTGAGAGTGATAAATCGTTACTGATATTGTTCTCAGTACAACTATTCAATGTTTTACTCTCAAAAGAATTCAATGGTTGTTTTTCTGATTTTTTGGTTTCCATCGAAGGATAAGAGACAATAGGAGTTTTCTTTTTACAATTGGTGAACAACTTGACTTGGGTAGTCATTCCACGGATCGGAGTCACCTCCATTAATCCTAGACTACTTTCTTTCCTGGAAGCAGATGGTGCTTTATGCGTAGATGAAGGTGATGAAGCTGTACTTGATGAGTTGATTTTTGTTGAATGGTGACTATGATGATTTGTCTTATGAAGAACTAGAATATAACAATTAATAAAGAAAGAAAGAAAAAGATAACGATTAAAATGATCCTTTATAAATCAATCACAAAAAATCACTAAAGTGCGATCATAAGATAAGTGAAGCATTAACCTTAACATATGAGCGTAACTTCAGCACTGTGGTCGCTTGTAGTTTCATTTTAGTCAATCTGTTTATTAGAAATATCACAGAGTGAAACAGTACCATTCAGTGGACCATGTTCCGAACACAAATTATTGTCCATATTCATATCAGGTAACTTCACAACTGCGAGACGGAGTTTATTTGGTCCAAATTTTCTCTCCTTTGTGATGAATAGGGTAGTAGAATTTCCCATATACCTAGAACAGGTGCAGAATCATTTCAACTGCATGCATTTGGTGTTGACTCATTAAACGAAGACTCGGTTATCAATCTTTCCTTGTAGCTCTATCCCCCCCTATTGTGTAATTGCGTGCAGAGCAATAGCCGAGCTTTTCTCTAGGTTTCCTATCTTATTAGGATCTACTAATCTTGATTTAGCCAAGTTTTTGTGCTTTGTTATTCCAATTGACCCTGGTCGACTACTTGGATCTATGTATTTGACTTCACAATCATTCCAAAGGTATTCGGTAAACCAGATTATTCTGCTTGATTGCATAAACAGGAACATTTTAACTTATAAAGCTTGTTTCTAGATGAGTTTTTTGGTTTAAATGGTAGTTTAATATCCCTTCGTACTGCTTCTGAGAGGCTTGGAATTCTCTCTCAACCCCGCTACCATTATTACTATTAAAAGCAGTAACACAGGTGTTATTGACAGTAATTCAACCACTAGTAGTAATAGTGGTAACACGGTTGACAGAGGACTCCAAGCCTATGCCGTGTTAACACACAAGAAAGGCACCTCAGAAGCATCACGAAGATTTCTCAATAAGGCTGACCGGGATTAGAGTGGCATTTACACCAACAAACTTGCTTAGAAATAAGCTTTGTATATTAAAAGATCCTACCGATGTATTTAAGCAAAATAATCTCGTTTACCAAATCCCATGGTATGATTGAGAGGTTAAATACATAGGTCAAAGTAGTCCCCTACGGTCGATCAGAATAACAGAGCACATAAACTGCTCTGCCAACTATCAATTAACCTTCAGTCACCACCCAGTGTCAGTACCAGCCTGCCAAACCATGGGTACCTCAGATAGTCAAAATAAAAATCAAGATAAGTAGATCCTAATAAGATGAGAAATTTAAAAAAAACCTCGGCTATAGCACTGCATGCAATTCAACCAATCAGTATCAACATAGGACCAGCCAATACTGCGTAATGGTCCAAGATGCCACACATCATATCAATACATCTAGTAAAAAGACAGTGAGGCACAAGATAAAGATAAGAGAATGCAGTCAAAAGAAATATAAAGTACAAGAAGAAAGAAAAGAGGAATGACAAAATCGTCAGATTTAGTATGGCATCGTTAAGATGAGGCTAATGTGTGCATACATCTGCACACCATCGACATCGGTTCTCAGCCATATCACCTACAGTCTCTAACCACTAGCTCCTCTCGCCCTGTGGACCCCAACCACCTACTCTGCATCGTCCCATATGACTCAAACCAAAAGTCAAAGACTTCACACACTCATGCCACATGTTCTAGTCTGCTCACCTCGAGTATTTTCCCAGCCTGCACTCACTTCGGCCAGCATTCTGTGACGAGGCACACGGGAAATAGGCATGCGTAACACGCGTGTGTCCCAACCATCTTAGTCGATGAAGGTTCATAATCTCGTCAACTGATTCACCCCTTCTCACTAACACTCTACACCTAACGTCTGCATTATTACTCACGTGGTGACACCACGGAATACCGCCCATACTTCAAAGGCAATGGTGGTCAATAACTTCAAGCCTTCTCACGTCTTCCACCTTCAACAGCCATGTTTCACAGTCATACAGTAGGACAGAGAGGACTGCTGTTCAGTACACGCGACCCTTAATAGACAATCGGATACCACGGTGATGTCACAGGTGGTGTTGACAAAAGTTGACAAAAGCCAACCGAGCCGTTTGTATGCGTACAGAGAATTCATCGGCCACTGAGCCACCAGGGTACGGCTGATCCTACTGCTCAGATAAGTGAAGTGGTCGAAACACTCAACCACTACACTCTCTATTGTTAGCCGCGGCACAGCTGAAGACCAATCCTGGAGCACAAATTTGCATTTGGGTGGTGAGAAACGCATCTCAAACATTCTCAAATTCCCACTCAAAGTATTCAGGTCCTAAATCTGTCTGTTCTAGTAGTATTCTTGACATAGGCATCACAGGATGCTTTAAAATGGCAAAGGAATTAGACCTTCAGGAAACTGTATACTAAGTGGTCACTAAGCAGATAATTTATGTACATTAAGTTGATTATCACTATCACTGTAATGAAAGTCACCAGTCATAATCATAGTCGATGTTGTTGTCTAACTCCCTATACAAGTTTATCGATAAATTTTGCCGCGTGCCTATTGCAACGAGTAATGAGACTGTTGCGCAGCGTATTCCACGTTGAATAGTTGACATCATCGACGGGATAGCTATGCTTGAACTTTGAACAAAAGTCTGTGAGTCTCACATTTCATAACAACATAACAAAAAGGAAGTGAACAGTAGAAGAGTCGTATCAAAGTTAACAAAAGTGAACGAGAAATTATATACATGAACAATATACATTAAAAATTGTGACAATGGTAAATAGTGAACATATCCACATCATGGTGAGTAATTTTGAGTTATGTCAAATGAGAGTCATTACACCACTGATTTCTAGTGTCTCAGTTCAGACCAATACTAATTAGGGACTTCATAGATGAATACATTGCCAATCAGTAGTAAGCTAGCGTGTCTGCGACCCCGGAGCAACTCATTTCTTCTCGTAGACTACAAACTGCATCACCCAGTGTAGATACCATACAGTTGACCAATAAGCCACTCATAAACCTGAATCATTTGGTGATCCAGAGATTTCCATTAGTTATCTAACATTCAATGCATAAAGAAGACGTTTACACAAGTAGAGTGCAGCGTTACACTGATCTACCAAAGAATAAATTCAGTTGTTTTTAAAAAAGTCGGTCTCTCTCTACTGTTAAATACCTAAGAAATGAGGTTATTCCAGCTTTTTTTATAATTTGATGCAAAATCCATATTTTTCGAAATTAAGTACATGTTTCCAAGCGGTATGAATTGTTATCTATACAACATACACTTTTAAAACATTTTACATACATCACATCAGCTTAACATGAATACACTTAAAATGAACCATTACGTTTATTTATTCGAAAATGAAGGTAACCAAAATGAACGAAACGCATTCAAACACCTTGTACACATTCGTCCAGTAGGCAATGTGCCACACCTGTTGTGTGTGGGGGCTAGTAGTGATACTACCTAACTGCTCAAACTTCGGTAGGCGGAACAGGGTTCAAACCTATGACTCATTGATTAATTATTGTCTCCTTGATTCACTGAGCCACAACTCTGTGTTTATTATTAACTTTTAGTCCCACACTTTATTTCTCTTTATATATGATAATAATAATGTTTGCAAGAAGTTTGTGTTTTATCAGAAATACACAAGTGACTGAAAGAGGAATGACAAAATCGTCAGATTTAGTATGGCATCGTTAAGATGAGGCTAATGTGTGCATACATCTGCACACCATCGACATCGGTTCTCAGCCATATCACCTACAGTCTCTAACCACTAGCTCCTCTCGCCCTGTGGACCCCAACCACCTACTCTGCATCGTCCCACATGACTCAAACCAAAAGTCAAAGACTTCACACACTCATGCCACATGTTCTAGTCTGCTCACCTCGAGTATTTTCCCAGCCTGCACTCACTTCGGCCAGCATTCTGTGACGAGGCACACGGGAAATAGGCATGCGTAACACGCGTGTGTCCCAACCATCTTAGTCGATGAAGGTTCATAATCTCGTCAACTGATTCACCCCTTCTCACTAACACTCTACACCTAACGTCTGCATTATTACTCACGTGGTGACACCACGGAATACCGCCCATACTTCAAAGGCAATGGTGGTCAATAACTTCAAGCCTTCTCACGTCTTCCACCTTCAACAGCCATGTTTCACAGTCATACAGTAGGACAGAGAGGACTGCTGTTCAGTACACGCGACCCTTAATAGACAATCGGATACCACGGTGATGTCACAGGTGGTGTTGACAAAAGTTGACAAAAGCCAACCGAGCCGTTTGTATGCGTACAGAGAATTCATCGGCCACTGAGCCACCAGGGTACGGCTGATCCTACTGCTCAGATAAGTGAAGTGGTCGAAACACTCAACCACTACACTCTCTATTGTTAGCCGCGGCACAGCTGAAGACCAATCCTGGAGCGACAATTCGCATTTGGGTGATGAGAGACGTATCTATAATATTCTCAAATTCCCACTCAGTGTTCAGAAGACTCTGCATCTTGTCAGCGTCTTCACTTAACAGGACTATGTCATCTGCATATTCTAGGTCTAACGAAAATTCTCCTGTGATTAGGTCAACGTCTGTGTAATTAGGTGACGAGAGGGAGAGGGAGGGAGACCTACACAAGAGTATCTATGATGAAATTGAATAGGAATGGAGAGAGTGGGGCTGGGTGGTCGAAAGGAAACGACAAATGAACCAACACCGCCGGCCCGGAAGATCATGGGGCATGGTGGAGTGTGTTATTTTTGGGCCGACCTTTTTTAACTCCCCCCCCTTCTATTGAGAAGGTAGCACCGGCATGGTACTGTTGGTCATCCAAGGGAAACACCTTACTGCTGTCACACCCATCCAGATAGCTAGCAGCAGTACGACTTCGCCCTCAGACCTCCATCATAGTGTAGCAATTTACACCATAACCGTAACTGCTTTTCGTTTTACCACTATCCAACGGACCTTTCTGGTAAGGTAGGACCTCGAGGGAACAGGCGTTCCACTAGCACAGCTCGTTGGGTCATTGTGATATGCGAGCCCGACCACCACGTCAAGGTGGCAGCTATCGGTCGGGACTGCATGCAATTACACACAATCAAACAATTGGGTGGTATAGAGAGATAGTGTTAAAAACTAACTTAGTTAGGTGTAGGGAGAGATTGATAACTAAATCTTTGTTTATCTAACCAACACCAACTACGTGCAATACAAATGATTCTGCACTTATCCTACATTTATGGAAAAGTCTACTACTGTTGTCACCACAAAGAAGAGAAAATTAAGACTATATGGACTGTCTCGAAGTTGTGGAGTTGCCTGATATGAATACGAACAATAAATTCTGTCCGAAACGTTATCCAGTAAATGATACTGTTTCACTGTGTGACATCTCTAATAAATAGACTGAGAAATAATATCCTGCAAACATTTCTATCTGCGCTGCAACTGACTACAATTTGGATATCAGTTTCCATGAATTCGATCTTCAATTCAATGACCTCAACCGTGTGAACACAACAGTTATCCTATTACTTACTATGAACCGGAATGTACAGTACAGGTAAAGTACCTAAGCTTTGGTCGGTAGGAAATGCTGGCCTTCGGTTCAGATAAGGATTGTAATCTAAAGAAAAGTACATACTACAAGGTATTTCCAATAAGAGCCAACTTCCATCACCAGTGTTCTACATGACGTTCTCCTTAAATCTTCCAAATATGTTTTACTAAAGTCGGTTACTGAAGAAAAGAAAAAGAATGCATACAGGACTGTAACTGTTTCTGGAATTTCTGCTTGAGCTTTAATCATGCCCCCGCTGTGTGTGCGCGCTAAGTTCAGCTTGTATATAAGTGGTCAACAAAATGATTATCGCATACAATCAGTGTAACTAATGTCAAACGGAACAAAATTCAAGACCAGAATTGCAAATTCAACAATCTACATCGACTATAGTGTTGTTGCTTGTAATACACCGTCGTTGACTGGACCGAATTGATCAGTCTCTGATGGCATATGGGCTCCTGTGCGGATGCCTTGATATTGCCTGTATTCTTAACTATGTACTAATGATGGATAGTGGCTAGCAATAACACTAAAACTATAACCCGTCGCACAAGTGGCTATCGTGGCTCGGTGGTGTAGTGGATAACAATCGCGCTTGAAGCGATCTCTCCCGAGTCCTGATCCAGGTGGAAACAGCATCACTCACTGGGATGCAGGTACGTCCAGCTAAAGAGTCCCAAATAGGACGAGACGAGCATCCTCGATTCCACCACTAGCCACTATTCATCATTACTATATAGTCTACATCGATGACTGTAGTGCAGTTCTGCTAGACAACAGTTGAGATATGAACTCTTCAAGTAAAATTTTCCATGAAATTGTAGGGTGAAAGTTAAACTGGATGATATCAGCCTATCTTGTGAACAGACTTTGTCAAATAAACAAAGGTATTCATTCTTCTAAGACAGCCTTATTCAAAGTCTATAGTTTATGTTTATTGAAATGAGGAAAAAATTGTGACCACATGTTTGTGTATGATCAAGTGAACTAGACTATTGTTACTACTATCATGATTATTATTACTATTATTATTGCACTGTTGCATTACACTATCACCTACCGTATGTATCATGTACAAGGCAGTATTATTTGTTCATTCATTTAATTATAATTGTTCATATTCTGTATGTATGCGGATATATTGACACACATAGTAGACATTTGGTTAACAGTCTAATTCGGTTCATGCTAAATTTGCATTGCATGCAGTTTTTTTCAATAAACTTGTTCAGTTGACCCAACTACAATTCCTGTATGAGTCAATTCTATGTAGGTGTACAGACTTCTTTCTTTTTATAATAACAGTACACTGTCCACTGACACTCATGATATGCATGTATCTTCTTAAGAATTGTCTTGAAATCACTGGTTTCAATATGATAAAGATTTAGAGGTTTACGGTTTACATCTTCAACTTGAACCATCATTTTGGTACATATGAGTCAAAATATCAGTCTATTAATAATGGATAATAATGGATAGTGGCTGGGATTGGAATCCAGCTTAACGAGTGTTTCGTCCTATTCGGGGTTCGTCAGCTGGATATGTCTGCCTCCCAGTCAGCGCTGTTGTTCCCACTAGGACTGGAAATCGGGACTGATCGCTTCAAACGCCAGAGCGTAATTAATATAAAATTCAAACACAGACATTATCGAAGCACCTGTGAAGGAGCCTGATCAATTCGACCCATTACTCAACGACGGGATAATACAAGTAACAATGTCAAAACTACAACCGCCGCACAAGAAGTGGCTGTTGTGGACTCAGTGGTCCACTGGGTAATGCTCTGGAGTTTGAAGCGATCGGTCCCGAGTTCCAGTCCTAGTGGGAACAATATCGCTCACTGTGTGGCAGGCTCATCAAGCTGAGTCCCAAATAGTAAGAAACGCGTATCCTGGATTTCACTGCTAACCAACATTCATCATTAATCTATAGTCCAAACAAAAGCAATGTCTAGGGATCAACACAGGAGCCCATATATCAATATAGACCGATCAATGCTGTCCAGTCAACGACGGAACAATACAAGCAACAATATCTTAAAAAATTAGTTTGTCTACGGAGAAAGTTTAATCAAGAACTGAGTGTATTTCTATAAACAAATGTTGAATAGGATGAGGGTGGAATTTTCTTACCATGTGTAACATGGAATATTTGCTGGTCAGAGCGGAAAACGTTTCATCCAATCACCCTACACAAAATGCTTGATGAAAACATTCTATCAATAGGAGAATAAAATGTACTTGGAAGAGAGATGTTTCGCAAATCATCACTGATCCGTTGAAGTTTGTCCAAAAATAGGACAAATATACTTGAAAAGAAAGCAGTATAGAGATGACTGAAAGGAAGCAGCAGAGGCAGAAACGTCAAATACTGCCATTGTTTGTACAACTCAGCCTGAGAGAGGGAGTGCCATCGAGAATATCTCCAGTAACTTGGTGTTACCACCCTTTATCCTACCCCTACGCCGGTTAGCGTACCATATTGGAGTAGACAGTACAGTAGCATGATGTAAGGTATACTCGCATAACATCTGTAAAGTCCATTTCATCTTCCATTCACAGGAACAAATAAACATACTAAGAACAGTTGGTTTGTATTACTATGATTACACTTTTTGTTTCAAATACCTCAAATTTCCTGATAAATGTTTAAGTTAAACACATTCAAAATCTTTTAACAGGTAAAACCACACCCAGGTGTTAATATTCGACAGACTCGAACTGTCAAAGTAAATACTCTTCATGATATCAGTTGGACATATTCTCTTAAATATCCATCTAATTCATTGTTAAAGAGAGAGAGATAGAGTAACAAAAAGTCAACTACTTACTTCTGCATGGATCACGTGAATCTAAGAATTCATTTAAACTCATCCAACCTCCTCCTACTCGAACTATTGTAGTACTATTAAGGAAGCGAACCAAATAAACTCGTGGGCTAGAGCCAAACTATGAATATTTCAAAAGAAATATATAGAAAGGAAAGGTGTTCGTGAGTAAAATATTTAACCCTATAACAATAATGTATTGACATGATTATTAAACATCAAGTATGATATGCTCTATATATGTTTCCTTATCGGTAAAAGGAAATGATCAAGAAATAAGAAGAATAGTCAATATTTGAACTGTGGTGAAAAAAAAGAGTATTCAGCAAATAACCAACCTTATCTAATTTATCGAATTGATACTTTCCAAGTACATACAAATGCCTGGAATCGATTCTTATTTCATTTTCTTTATCTTACCACATGAGTTCAGCACCATAAATATATCTTTGAACACATCACTGATAAAACAATACTTTTTGTAGATATCATGAAAGTTGATGATTAACAGTGGATAAATAGAAAGGGACCTGGTGAACAATTTGACTTCTGAAGTGATTCCACGGATCGGAGTCACCTCCATTAACCCTAGACTATCTTCTTTCCTGGAAGTAGATGATGCTTTATCAGTAGATGAAGGTGATGAAGTGTTGATAAGTTCAGGCAGAAAAACTAAGTGTATCCGGTAAACTGTCCACTATCAATATCATCATCAACATAGGACTAGTCATTACTGAGTAACGGTCCAAGATGCCACACATCATATCAATACATCTAGTAAAAAGACAGTGAGGCACAAGATAAAGATAAGAGAATGCAGTCAAAAGAAATATAAAGTACAAGAAGAAAGAAAAGAGGAATGACAAAATCGTCAGATTTAGTATGGCATCGTTAAGATGAGGCTAATGTGTGCATACATCTGCACACCATCGACATCGGTTCTCAGCCATATCACCTACAGTCTCTAACCACTAGCTCCTCTCGCCCTGTGGACCCCAACCACCTACTCTGCATCGTCCCACATGACTCAAACCAAAAGTCAAAGACTTCACACACTCATGCCACATGTTCTAGTCTGCTCACCTCGAGTATTTTCCCAGCCTGCACTCACTTCGGCCAGCATTCTGTGACGAGGCACACGGGAAATAGGCATGCGTAACACGCGTGTGTCCCAACCATCTTAGTCGATGAAGGTTCATAATCTCGTCAACTGATTCACCCCTTCTCACTAACACTCTACACCTAACGTCTGCATTATTACTCACGTGGTGACACCACGGAATACCGCCCATACTTCAAAGGCAATGGTGGTCAATAACTTCAAGCCTTCTCACGTCTTCCACCTTCAACAGCCATGTTTCACAGTCATACAGTAGGACAGAGAGGACTGCTGTTCAGTACACGCGACCCTTAATAGACAATCGGATACCACGGTGATGTCACAGGTGGTGTTGACAAAAGTTGACAAAAGCCAACCGAGCCGTTTGTATGCGTACAGAGAATTCATCGGCCACTGAGCCACCAGGGTACGGCTGATCCTACTGCTCAGATAAGTGAAGTGGTCGAAACACTCAACCACTACACTCTCTATTGTTAGCCGCGGCACAGCTGAAGACCAATCCTGGAGCACAAATTTGCATTTGGGTGGTGAGAAACGCATCTCAAACATTCTCAAATTCCCACTCAAAGTATTCAGGTCCTAAATCTGTCTGTTCTAGTAGTATTCTTGACATAGGCATCACAGGATGCTTTAAAATGGCAAAGGAATTAGACCTTCAGGAAACTGTATACTAAGTGGTCACTAAGCAGATAATTTATGTACATTAAGTTGATTATCACTATCACTGTAATGAAAGTCACCAGTCATAATCATAGTCGATGTTGTTGTCTAACTCCCTATACAAGTTTATCGATAAATTTTGCCGCGTGCCTATTGCAACGAGTAATGAGACTGTTGCGCAGCGTATTCCACGTTGAATAGTTGACATCATCGACGGGATAGCTATGCTTGAACTTTGAACAAAAGTCTGTGAGTCTCACATTTCATAACAACATAACAAAAAGGAAGTGAACAGTAGAAGAGTCGTATCAAAGTTAACAAAAGTGAACGAGAAATTATATACATGAACAATATACATTAAAAATTGTGACAATGGTAAATAGTGAACATATCCACATCATGGTGAGTAATTTTGAGTTATGTCAAATGAGAGTCATTACACCACTGATTTCTAGTGTCTCAGTTCAGACCAATACTAATTAGGGACTTCATAGATGAATACATTGCCAATCAGTAGTAAGCTAGCGTGTCTGCGACCCCGGAGCAACTCATTTCTTCTCGTAGACTACAAACTGCATCACCCAGTGTAGATACCATACAGTTGACCAATAAGCCACTCATAAACCTGAATCATTTGGTGATCCAGAGATTTCCATTAGTTATCTAACATTCAATGCATAAAGAAGACGTTTACACAAGTAGAGTGCAGCGTTACACTGATCTACCAAAGAATAAATTCAGTTGTTTTTAAAAAAGTCGGTCTCTCTCTACTGTTAAATACCTAAGAAATGAGGTTATTCCAGCTTTTTTTATAATTTGATGCAAAATCCATATTTTTCGAAATTAAGTACATGTTTCCAAGCGGTATGAATTGTTATCTATACAACATACACTTTTAAAACATTTTACATACATCACATCAGCTTAACATGAATACACTTAAAATGAACCATTACGTTTATTTATTCGAAAATGAAGGTAACCAAAATGAACGAAACGCATTCAAACACCTTGTACACATTCGTCCAGTAGGCAATGTGCCACACCTGTTGTGTGTGGGGGCTAGTAGTGATACTACCTAACTGCTCAAACTTCGGTAGGCGGAACAGGGTTCAAACCTATGACTCATTGATTAATTATTGTCTCCTTGATTCACTGAGCCACAACTCTGTGTTTATTATTAACTTTTAGTCCCACACTTTATTTCTCTTTATATATGATAATAATAATGTTTGCAAGAAGTTTGTGTTTTATCAGAAATACACAAGTGACTGATACTTTTTGACTGCTCACAGTAGATAATATCATACTGAATTCTTTCAAAAAAGAAGAGATATATTATTTATTGATAATTGCCATTTCTCGTTGCTGCTGGTAAAATAGGCTCCTCTGTGGATGCCTCAATCCTGCCGGATATTCATGATTTTATATTCTACCTGGTAGCTAGCAGTGGGATCTAAGATGCTTACTTCATCCTAAATGGGATTTCTCAGCTGGATGTACCTGCACACCCCAGTGAGTGATGCTGTCTTAACTGACACTCAAACACAGTATCTATAGCTTCAAATGGTAAATTGTAATTTCCGGTTGGTATACTAAACTCGCATCCTAGGTTCCATCTGTTAACCCCATGTACACTACGAAAGTTATATTAATTCTGCTGATTCAATTAAATTAGATGTAGTAAGGTAAGAACTTCATACGCATAACAAGGCATTTTTAGAAACATTGTCTTTATATATAGTCCGGCATTTCCTATCTAACGAGAAAAAACTTTCTATCGACTATGAAATCATATATAAGTAATGTGTTCTGCAAGCTGAATTTAAGCTTTTTCATACCCTTTACTCTTATGAGGAGGTTTATAATTTATAGTCTACTTATGGAAATCTAGTCTCAACTTTCTAAACATAAATTAATAATTATCATTTGACTATTTAAAATAGCCGTAATTTGGCAGGGTCGGTAACTCATTGGTCACTGGTTCGAATCCGGCCACTGTCTAAATTTTCATCTCACCTTCAATCATCACCCAGTACAAATATCATTAAGTCTGTTCACACATATGAAACACTAGTTGGTCCAATAAAATCACTTTTAAATAATACGTGCTGCAAATAATTAATTAATTAATCTTCAAGTTAAAATAAGAAAACTTACACAATATTTATCTTTACCAATTTTTTTCGGTAGAAATTTTGTCTGACATACGCATTTACTAGTTTCTTGCTCTATTGCATGTGCGATCAATTCATCAATTGGTAAAGGCTTATTCTAAAGTTTATATAAACCAACAAAACAAGAGGATGACATTATTTCCTTTTAAAGATAAAAACTGTTCAGTGTTCCCTTTGATTTATGGGTTATTTGATCATGGAGACTTTCATCATCAAGGCTGATGAAAGTATTAGCATCAACTTCATTAAAAGATTTAGGGGGGGGGGGGATGTTAACAGGTCATATAAATATCCAAGTAGTTTCTTTTTTCATTGACCTTAATTTCTAATTCCATTCAAAGTTGTGAGAGATTTTTGCAATATATTTATCTCATCAAGTTGGATTTCACCTGATTCCATTGAGAAAGGATATTTGTTGGTAATGACATTCTGTTCTTTGTTACTGTCATTATCTATGATTATTGGTTTACTTGGTCAGTTTTCCAACTAATAAGGTTATAATATTTGATCTATTTCTATATTTCTTTCGATGAATGCTGTTTTCAAAAAATAGCAGACTTCAAAAGGTTCGCATACATTCACTGAGTTTACATTTTATAAATTCCCTAAATTCCCTTAAACTACAATTTATGATTACGATTCTCTATATACGTTGAGCCGTTCGACAACTATATAAAGACGCTACATGCCAAGTAATTCACAATGGGAAGCTCAGTGATACCTTTGGAGCGCAAGTGAAGATAAGAGTGAAACAAGGCTGACGCCTACTATCACCCATGATATTCCTGACTGTGGTCGACTGGATCATACAGCAAACAGTGGGGAGCGAGAAGAGGAGGATACGCTGGGCCTATGAAAAGATCCTAGAAGACTTGGATTTCGCTGATGACTTGTGTCTAATGTCACACAAACTTGAAGATCTACAGGCAAAAACTAACAAGTTGACAGAAGAGGCAGCGAAGACGGGACACCATTCAAGTGAACGTAGAGAAGACATAGGTGATAAAGATACCCAACCAACAACACCACCACCAACACCAACAACATCATCAACATCAACGGGAAAAACTTAAAGGAAGTAACCTCTTTCACCTATCTAGGCAGCACTGTTTCAACTACAGGAGGCACAGGCACAGACGAGGACGTCAAAGCAGCAAGATAGGCGTTCATTCATTAACCTGAAACCAGTGTGCGTGAACAATATCCGGATTTTCAACATTAATTCAGTCAAGTAAGTCAGTGCTTCTATGTGATGGTTCAGAAACTTGGTGGGTTACGAGAAGCATTTCCAACAAACTACACACTTTCATCAACAACTGCCTATGCTGGCTCCTTACTGAAGCTCAGATGGATTGCCAGAAAGAATAAGCAACAGGGGAACTCTGGCTGGCCAGGCAACGAACCAACCAAGAAGCTATCGCTGAACAAATATGCACTGGAAGGAAATGGAGATGGGTTGGGCATGCACTGAGAAAACCATTCGGGGACGTCACGCGACAGGCACACGAGTGGATCCCAAATGGGAAACGACGAGTTTATGCGTCCGAGGTGAGGGTGACATGGAGATGGTGTGAGGGAAAGAATGAGAGCTTGTGGGCTGTCATGGAGCCAGGTCCAAAAGATTTCAGAGAAGAGAGTGGAACGGAGACGTGCTACTGAATCCCTATGTTCCACTAGGAACCCAAGGGACAAATAATAATATAATACAGTGAAATGGTACCATTTTACTGAAGAAATATTTAGGCATAATTTTATTGCTCACTATCATATGACGACAATCATACAACTATTTGATCTGGTTTTACTGTTCTACTGTTTTCCGCTCTTGGATTTTTTTTAGGTAGTAAAATTTTAGTGTTATTTCTTTTACACATTCTTCATGTTAGTTTGGTAAACAAAATGAGCGACTTTAAAGGTCGCTCTGGCAACCGCTGAAATAACCAACCAGATTTTCGTATTCCGGTTATAAAAGTAGTTTTCCACAAAATATAGAAACCTAACTGGTTGTCTCAGTAGTTGCTAGGTTGGCTTTTAAAGTTGCTCAACAAAGCTTCAGTTATCAATCCCTTTCTCCGCCTAAGTTGTTTTTCAAAACTACCAATCTATCCCATCATACTGAATGATTATGTGTAACAGCATGCGGAAATACAGTTGGGTTCATTCCTTCAAATCTCATCCCACCAAAGTTTTCCATCCTCAGGTTAGCCATGTTTCTGTGTTCTGTTAATTTTATCGGCCTTCATCCTGCCGGCTAGTTTGGCTTACGTATTCGACCTCTTAATCCACATATGGAATTCGATGGACTGGATCGTTTTTTTCCAATAGTTCAAATTGATAATTTAGCCGACAAAGTTTCTAGGTTACCCACAAATTCAGTCCCGGAAATAGTCATCCCCTAAGTCTTGATTTGTGTTTATTATTAAGGGATGTTAAATCTAAAACGAGAAAACTGTGTGATTTTTCAAGGTAGTATTCATCACAAACCAATATCAGAGAAGTAGGAGCACTAAGAACCTAGGAGCATTGAACATCTGTTCCGTTCAAATGTGGAATCCTCAGCAGTGTGCTCGCATGACCCACTAGGTTCGAGTTCTAGCTGCACAAACCTGGATTGAAGTTGGGTTCGAACTCACGATCCATCTGATGAAAATCGAATATCTACATCAATGAGCCACAGCTCCTGGAAGTTAAGTAATTGAAATATACAACCACTGAGATTATTATTACCATTCATAATATAAGTGTGAGAATTACTTGTTTTTTCGAATTGAATGCCTCCATAATTTGTTGTTGTGTTATTCTTCCCTTTTTCATTTTATCAATTGTATGAAATGCAGCCTTAATAAAAACAGGATTTGCCCACGAAAATGTCGGTTTACCACGTAACACTGCTTCCGTGAACTGGGAACAATTCCATTCATTCACCTTACAATTTATATCTTGCTTACTGTTATTATTTCCAGTTTCATGAGGATTCAACGATTCAATACTAGATGGTGATAATAATGATGCAGAGGAATGATTTTCAAAAGGTTTTTCTGATTTTTTACTGTTACCGCTGCCACCACTACTACTAGCAGCAGTACTATTGGATAAACTCTTCTTTGAAGAACTCCAACTTGTCTGAGAATTCAAAGACACAGTGGACATCCGTTGTCTTGGAGACTCTGATCCAGATGTGTTGGTTAGGTGTACATCAATTTTTGATTTGTGTAAGCTACGCGTTGAAAATATATCACTTAACCGATAATGACAACTTGTTATCCACTGTAAATAGTTATGGCGCCATTCACCAAAATTGAAATCGACTAACAGAGTATGCTGAAGTAGAGGGTAGAAGAAAATATGTTCAAAATAAAACAATTTCAGAGAAACTGAAGTAAGATATCAACAATGGATCATTTATTGTTTCAGATTTCAACAAGGTTTCCAACCGAAGATGTGCAATTATGTTAAGATGATTTGACTAAAACGTTCTTAAGGATAGATCTCTGAATAAAAAAAACCGAACAGATTTCCTCCTAGCCTATGTTCTCAAAATGTCATTTTTTTAGACAATAATGATGATGATATTTGATAGATATCTGTAACTGGTTAAGAGTTATGAATAAGAATAATGAAAAACTACAGAGGTATGTGTTATTTCGATTACACTAAAAATGCAGAATGGATAACAGCAATAACATGTCAAAGTGAAGCAAAGAGAATACTAACAACAGTTTGCTGTTTATACTGGGTGATGATTGAAGGTGAAGTGAAAATTTGAACCACTGCCGGATTTGAACCAGCGACCACCGAGTTCCAGGCTCTACCAACTAGTCTGCCAAACTACGCCTCAGATAGTCAGATGATAGTTTGTTGATTATTGTAATTTCTTGTTGCTATACAGGGCCGAATTCTTTGACCTCTGTTGTTGGGAGATGGGCTCCTCCCCTACGCGAATACCTCGATACTGCCAGATATTCATGATGTCATATTCGGCCTAGTGACTACAAGTGGAATCCGCGACGCGCGTTTCGTCCTATTTGGCACGCTGATGAGGCGCTGATACATCCAGCCGATGAGCCCCAAGTAGGACGAAACGCATGTCCTAGATTTCACTGTTAGTTGCTAAGACAGTTTGTATTTAAATAAGCTATTCACAAATGTTTCATTTTCAAGGTTTCTTCTTACATTACAAAACAACCATCAAGCTAAGTAAGAAAGACAAATATTTCTCAATGGGAAAGCTTGTTCATCTTCGAATGAAATCATTCACAGGAGGTCAATAAAGAGGTAGTGAAGTTGATGATATTGCAAACCTCCATCGACCCAGATGGTATGGAGATGAATACCGTATACCATATGACCTGATGTGCAATATCGGCTAAAATTCGGTTACAAGTTACAGAAGTGTTAAAGTTGGCTAGGTTAGAACATAGCATCAGTTCATAAAGTTTCAAACTGTTATGTTTAAAAGAATATGAACTTCCGTGTTAGTATGGATATGTTAACCGAAATTTAGTCACATAGTCTAAACGATATGTCCGAACCGTTTTTAACTAACTAATATTACCAGTCAAAAGGACTTGTTTGATATACACTGACACTGTGAAGTTGATAGCGTTCTAAGTGTTGATATCAATATTCTAACATTCACTGAGATCTTAACAGTCCGATATCTTTCGAACTTTGTGTTTGCCTTGTGATTTTTCAACACCAAGTTAAATGATTTCATAACCATTTTCAACTTGTACGAGATTTGCTGATCTTGAGAGTTATTGGATGGATTATAGGGTAAGGGAGATTTTACTTATCCCAAAGTTTACTTTAATATCCCCAGTTTTCACTAGGTTATGTTTGTCATGGGAAGGATTATTATTATTATTATTATTATTATTGTTATTATTATTATTATTATGCAAACCAATCTTGATGATTCCGAATAAAGAGAAAAGTGATTTCCGAATTCACTTGTAGTCCTTTGATAAAAAAGTTAACAAGATTATAATTCAAAACAAAATAAAGCAACCTCAAAAGTAATTCAACTACTGAAGGGTATATTCCATCCAGTAAAATAGCAACTGATATATAATACAACTCTATTGAAAAGGTTGTTTCGGATTTTAAAACTACTTGTAACACATAATGTTTAAACAGTTAGTAATGCTTAAAAAAAGATTCAAGTGATTGGTTGTTTTGAGAATGAATTATAACAAAGTAGGAAACAATACAATGCATACTAAGAGACTTCTCTACAAGAAAGAAAATATTATAACTACAATATATCATCACTTTTTTGGTATTGGTGACACTAAACCTGAAACCATTAAATAGGGTGACCAAAACAGAAACAAACTGTTTAAACCATTGGTCATTGAAGTAGATGTTTCAATCTCATTGTTCGACAAAAAATGCCTCATTGGACAGACCGATTAAAAGTTTTTTCCCAGCTTATTATTATGAACATATTAAATGGTGGATAAACAATGCATTTTATTCGATGAAAATCAATCTCACAGGCATAGATCAGCCTTCATCATTTCCCAATGTTTTCTTGGACCAATGAAGTATAAGGTACTAGCGAAGAGTGGGGGTAACAGTGTTTGTTCGTGTACCAGAATAATCAATATCGTCATCTATTTTTATTTACGCCCCCAAATCCAACAGGACACTTTAAAATCCGTTATGAATAGTGAGCCCCAGTTACATATATATATATATATATATATATATATATATATATATATATATATATACCCGAAATGGCTTACAAAGCTTCAAGAGTTAAGTCACCTTAATCGTATAAGTGTAAAACTCGAGCACTGTGGTAGAATGCTGTTTCATATTACATTTATTTGATATAAAACACACCAGTCATGTAGTATTATTTACTTGATGACGTCTCGAGCATAAATTATTATTGCTCATAATCATATCAATGTAATCACACTATTCTCGACATCTGATTTTCATAGTCCTATCATCTCATTTTCTTTGTTTCTATTGGTAGTAGTAGAAATTTCGACATCTTTGATGTAGGAGTTGCGTCATTCCTATTACATGTGTTGGGTGTTGATTTGATGTCATTCGTGTTCTCATGTTAATGGGGTTGAACAGTCCAACTTTGATAGACCAATAAGGCCCTCGACTGAGATCCAAGCTAATGTTCATCACATTCAAGCTCTTTTTCAAAGTTCTCCACCAGGTGCAGTAAGATCAAAGTGAGGTGCTCCTTACTGCGATCATCCCGGATCTTCTGTTTCTTTTGATTACCATGATTCATTCCATAGATTCTCTCCTACCCACGGACCATTTTGAAGGTGATATGAATAATAAAATAATCATGATGAGGTGAATGGAATGCATACCGTGAACTGGATCATCTTGAAGTCAACGATATGTGGGTGACACATTCAGGTACATAGGCAGAGCCACGACTGAATCCATTAAGAGGTGTCTGTAGGGATTTTGGCAGCCGGTGTAGCGGAATGATTTGAAAATCCCTCCTGTGCACTCCACTTGATAGTACTGATACTTATTTGAATATTTTCGCCCTCATTATGGATATCGTCTTTTAACCCTAACCAATGTAATATTATTTTGTTTTGATTGAGACTTATCTTTAATGCTTCGTTTTGCTATTGTGTGATGCTGGACTGTTGACAATATGGCACTGTTTTACTGTTCCCGATATTTTGTTTTGACTCAACTTAAGGTTGCGGCGCTGTTAATTGACTCCTTGTCTTTTCACTGTCTAATGGAAACGTTTATTGATTGGTTTGATTTCTGTAGACAGTTTTGATCCCATTTTGTTGAGAATATTTTCTTATTGATCCTCAGATACTTAACAATTGTATTTGGTTAATCAACTTTTTCCTGCTGTACCAGAGAACCTTATGGACTGTATAGTTGCCTAGCTGTATTGTTGAGGTACTTTTGTAATTTTAATGTAACTTGTTGTTCAATAATACCACAGATTTACCACGTTAAATCGTGTTTTGATATTGTTGAAACATAATCTTTGACTGTGCATGACTCAAGGAAGTTTGGAAAACTATACAATGGAATGCAGCAACTTGTCTGGATCGCGTTAGCTTGACTCCGTCGTCTCCTACGTTCAGTTCAAAATACGACATCAAATCAACACCCAACACATGTAATAGAAATGACGCAACACCTATATCAGAGATATCGAAAACTTTACTACTACCAATAGAAACAAAGAATATGAGGCGATAGGACTATGTTGAGAAGTAGTGTGTGATTACATTGATATGATTATGAGCAATAATAATTTATGCTCGAGACGTCATCAAGTAAATAATACCATGTCACTGGTGTGTTGTATACCAAATAAACAAATGTAATATAAAATTACGTCTTAGTTGTAATTGTCGAAATGGCAGGATATTAATAACTTTTAGGAAATAAGATATCTAATTTTATAATTTAACAACATACCTCAAGTAAATTGTTATGATAGTATTCCATTTGTTTTATTCGATGACTTATTCGGTTTATAAGACTATAGTAGGATTTCTCAAATATCTCTACTCTATCATTACTTTGCTTTTGAAAAACCTTATTAACAGAAGAAGTCATTGTGATAGGCGATTTGGAGTCAGTAACAACACTTATTCGCTCTTCTTCTGGTAAATGATGTCCATACTTTTTATATTCATCAATGGAACAGTCTATCATAGAATCAATAACGTTTATTGTTTCGTATGGTGATAAGTTAAACTTTTCAGAATTAAACACTGATGGAGTACGATTGTCAGAATCATTAACCTCATTTTTATGATTTTCAATCATATCAAAAATATTTCTGTAAGCTGTTAAACGGACACAAATTTTCTTTTCTTTGTTTTTAATATTTTCAAGTTTCTCCTACAAAACAAAAAAATTCGATAAGAATATAAAAGGTGATAAATATGCAACAGACAGAATGAAAGCAATTCATATTATTTTGAGTAATTCATAGGTAATTCGTAAGCTAACAGAAGTTGGAAATATGGAGCATTGGATTCTGACCCAGTGGTTCAATGGTAACGCGCTGGCCCGCGGAAACTGAAGGTCGCGGGTTCGATCCCTGGCGGGGTCATGGGTGCGCACTGCTGAGAAGTCCCATACTAGGACGAAACAGCTGTCCAGCGCACCCAGGTTTCCTTTATTCCTCCAACTGATGTCAGTCTACGATGGATAACATCTTGAAATAATTCATAAAATGTTGATCCAAGTATCAAATGGAAATGTGAACTTTCTCATTGTAGTCGATTAGTACAACGGAATATGTTGAAAAGGTCATGTTTTAGATTTAACCATCGCTCATATAATGGTTACACTATAGATAAATGATGATACGAAGATAAGTGATCGAGGCTTACGATGTTATCATTTTTCCGTGACTAACAGACAGCAATCATAGTAACATATTTTAAACAATACATCAAACTGTTATTGGATAAAGTCAGTTCTAAGTGAGCAACTAAATATTATATCAACTCTGCACACCTAGGGTGAATTCTTCTTTATAAGGATGAATAAAAGCCTATTTCAATTTAAGGGATTGTGGAGATTTATTGATTTCAAGTTGGTATTTCAGTATGGATTGACATCAATCAGATGGACTAACATTAGAAACCTAGGAGAACTAGACAGCCGTTTCGTCTTAGTATGGAACTCCTCAGCAGCATGCACTCACGACCTCACCTGCCAGGGGTCAAACTCAGGATCTTCATGTTCGTTAGCCAGAAAGTTACCATTGAGCCACTAAATTGGAATCTAGTGTTCTTTGGTGATTAACCTCGAGAGGTGATTGTTGAAGTTCCAATGAGAAGTCGTGACCGGTGAGGGCAAACCTGGTGGACGTGTGGACAAATATTCAAAGATGATATTGGGTGATGATCGTGCTATGTTGTGAACTGGCAGAAGTAGGAAATATGGACCACTGGCTCCCGATACAATGGCTCGATGGTAACGTGGGGGCCACGGAACCTGAAGATTGCGGGTTCGATCCCTGGCGAGGTGATAGGTGTGCATTGTTGATGAGTCCCATACTAGGATGCAACAGCGGTCCAGTGCTGCCAGGTTTCCAATGTTCCTCCAATCGATGTTAGTGTGTGATGAATACCTACTTGGAAAGCCTATTTATCTTGTCACACTTACATAAAAGTCGAATTTCTGTACAACAATACATCTAGGCTTGGAATGAGGTGTATAACGAACTGTACATTCCTATTTATTGATATATTTGTAATTCTCTTTTGTTTTATTGGATTGAATTTTTCGACCTCTATTGCCATATGATTTCCTATGCGGATGCATCAATATTGCGAACCGAATTACCATAATTGACGTTCAGGCAATGTTGAGGTATCTGGATAGCAGCCCATCTGCCGACAAGCAGAGGTCGAACAAGTCGGTTGAGTATAACAACAGAGAATTACAAGTATATCAGCAAATAATAATAACTAATACCCGTTGTACAAAAAGTGGTTATCGTGCCTTCATGGCATAATGAATAACGCCTTGGCGTTTGAAGAGATGGGCACGAGGTTCGAGTCCCAAAGGGTACGACATCACTCACTGGGTGCAGGTACATCCAGCTGACAAGTCCCAAGTAGGACGAAACGCGTGTTCTGGATTTTCCTGTTAGCCACAAGCAACCAAATTACCAGAACTATACATTTTCTGGTGAGGATCTACGAGGTGCTAGAAACCGAAATCGGTTAAGTTCAATTGATTAGAATTCGAAATCAATCAGAAAACAATAAATGAATTCTTCCTCGTAACCCTAAGTATCTTATCTGTGTGTATTTATTTATACCTTTGTCAACTGTATCTTTCTCCTTATTCATTTCAGTATATTTCTTCATCTGTCGTCTTCTCTCTCTCTCTGTCCATGGGATACTGCAGAATGTAATTATATGAAGAGATGCACCATTATAACAGTTCTTTTTTTCATTGTGATCCAACTGCACCAGTATTCATGATCTTAGTCCCATCCCGAATAGCTTAGTGAATATGAAGTACGGAATACTGCACATTTAAACAATGTGTGAGAAAAACCAAGTAAGGATTACTTTTCAACATCCTCAAAATTATGTAATATATCTTAAATTGTCTAACCAACCATCAATTAATTGATCTCTATCTTTTCAATTCAGTCCTATATCAATTGGTATCATATCTAGTTTCATAGTTTGTGTACTGACGGACAAAAAATTACAGACAAATTGTTCATATAACAGTAAGTTGGGTGAAAGTGAGATCTGGTCAGTAATTAAGTCCTACAATTCAATGATTAAAGGGTATTTAATCGATATGCTGAAAGTTGATTCAACTATACCCACAGTTCAGGTTGTTTTATATCAACTTTGTTTATCCTCTTCATAAATAAACCAAATATCAGTTTACGAATCAAGATTATACAATGGAATTGGTAATTTTTTTTAAAATTTACTCACTTATCTAACAACACTACTCACAGATGACAATAGAAAAATAGGAAACTCACTTTTGACAATCTAATTCTCTCTTCTAATTCTTGAAGCATTTTTTCAGTGAAAAGTTGTTGATTAGTACTATCATCAGAAACATACTCAACAGATTCAGAACTAAGGGATAGAGAATTCTTGTTCAACAATAATGATTGATTATTACTTAGAGATGTTTCATTGTGAATTATTGTCGTAGTTGGAAGTATTACCTTAGAAATATTTTGATATATTTCATCATCACTTATTATCAGCTTATCTAATTGGATTATTTCATTTTGAAGCCATTTTTCTTCTTCTTCAAATTCAGTAATATCATGAATAAATGATTGTTTCGATTGATCTAATACTGAATATAAACATTTTAAGCTTTGATCAACCTATAACAACAAGGTGGAAAATAAAGTTAGTCAACACACACACACACACACAGAGTACAATTTACAATTGAAAACTTTGATCAAAACGCTTTACACTTGCAAAGTAGAACAAATCTATACACATGTATGAAAATAACTTATAAATTGCAAAAAAGTTACAAATTTTCACTGTTTAACCGGTCCAACTTTAAATGGTATACATAAACTTCAGAGATAGGGTCTCATTTAAAAATAATTTGGATAATTAGAATACCATGATGAAGAAAAGAAAGGCGACCATGCAAATGAAATAAATAATCACGCATATATTAATACTAAAAGGGGAAATCTTATCCTTAATAAACGAAAGTAAAAACAAAAGAATTATTCCCTGAGGATTATTGAACTTCAAAAGTTGGAGTAAATATGGTCAATCCAATTACTGGAATTATTTCCAATAGAGATACCGACTTGTGGATTAATTGATTGATTTTCAATCATCAGTTATAGCTCTAAATCTCTCTTCCTTTGAAGTCATATAAAATCCTTAACTGTAATATATTTGGTGTTGACCCAGTCGTGAGGTACCCTTTGGATTAATCGTTATCAAAGAATGCGTCAACAGTACAAACAAGAAGGTTGCAATCGAAGCAAAACAGAAGAGAAAATAAGGGACGCGTGTATTTTTCCACGATGAGGTAAAGACAGGAGACAGACAAACGTTCAAGGTAAAATAGAATATTAGAGAACCATTACGAACTGAGAAAGGTAGTAACTAATATCTAGGAGTGTTAGATGAGCAAGATACGGACTGGACAGGTGAAGTTGTGAATGAAGTAATATGATAGGAAGACATAAAGTATACTACCTGATATGAATAAGGACGATAAATTATGTCCGAAACGTTATCCAGTAAATGCTACTGTTTCACTGTGTGATACTTGTAATAAACAGACTAAAATGGAATTACACTCGACCACAGTGCCCAAGTTTTACACTTATATTAATAAAGTATACTACTCAACAACAGTAAGTAGTATAAAACTGAAGATGTAAAAAGCAATACAAGGATAATATCACATAGGGTAAACGAGAACAGGGTAAGAAAGGAGTTAACACGCAGATGTGCATCTTGGTTAGCATTTCACTAAACTAGTTGCTCTTTTAATTGACTTTCTTGTAGTAATACAGGTTAGAAACAATAGACTCAGTGCTACTATCGGCTGATTGAGATTATTTTGTTTGGGACACACACTGTTAGAGATAATAAATGGGTGAATATTATTGAATCAAGATGAAGAATCACATTAATATAAAGGGTGCATGACTGTCAGATATAAACCGAAAACAACCTACTTACAGTGTTAATTGTACACGTATGCAATTTGAGGTTATTGGGTATTTTATGTTTAAGGTAGCATTCATCACAGACTGACACCAGTTGGTAAACCAGTGTTCCCCAGTTTCCAATGGTTCTCTAACTGATATAACGTCCATGATGAATGATATATTACTGTATAATGCTCATTCGTGACATCCTTCTATAGATAGATATCCCGAAGTCCTACTGAGAAGGCGTGACCTGTGTGGTAAACCAGTTGGAAAGGAAGTGGATGTCAACTTAATTCCTCAAGTAATAATTGCGCTACATCACGAATTGACAGAAGTAGGTAAGTATGGTCTGTTGAACTTCAACTCAGTGGCTGAACGGGTTACGCATTCTCTGTGACACCTGAAGGTCCTGAGTTCGGTCCCTAGCCAGATCATAGGTGCGTACTGCTGAATAAACTCATACTAGGACGAAACAGTTGTACAGCGCTTCCAAGTTTCCAATGGTTCTCCAACTGATATCAGACCGGGATGAATGCCAACTTAGCAATAAAAAGTTGTTTAAATAAGGAAATTAATTTAGTTCAGTGTTATTCTAGATACAGTATCTAGAACAGTTGATCATTATTTCTGATTGACGTATTATTTAACCATAATTTGAGGTGGGGGGGGGGGATAAAAGAAAAGACAGAATATACAAAGACAAGGGGGGAGTGAGTGAACATAACCAAACTATCAGTTAAATACTACGTGTTTGAAATGAAGATGAATTACTTCACTATAGCAGCATAGTGATATATATCTTATCACCCATGTTTTGCAAAGCTCCTGTTTTAAGCAAATCGGGAGATTAAATAGAAGCTTTAATCAGCTCAAAAATGTCACTTAATTAGGTGTCATTTATTTGTCGGTTTCCTATTCTCTCTCTTCATAAAATGTAAGTCATTTTTCAACCCAATGATTAATTCTAGTCATATGGTTATCATGTCACGAAGAGTAAGGAGTTGAAACAGAGAAAAGCATTAAAAACAAAAGAATTAAGGAACCAGAAGAGACCTAATCTTTTCTTAACTAGCTGATTTATGACAAAAATAATTTTCAGTAGTTTACTGCTGCAATAAGCAAGAAAAGGTCTGTTGTTTTATCGAACTAAAAATGATTAACTTTTGTAAAAGACTACATATACGTCAATTGTTTATCATATACTATCTGCTTCTTCTCTGGGAAAGAAATAAATGAAGGGTAAAACTCGTTTAAGTAATCCAATAAAAACGCTATTTGGATTAATACTCCTTACAATGAGTATAAGATACGAAGTTAACATATTACTGACTCATACAATCGAGAACAAGTAACAGACTTCCACCAGTAGACTTGGTCATTTCAAAGTCTCAGTCATCAAATGAAACCAATAAAACTTGTCCATTCAAAAAGAAAGAGTAATCTATCCTACATCATAATCCATCCTGGTAATGAATAACTCCTTCCGCTAGTCTAGGCCAAAACTGAAAACTATTGGTGAAGCATTTAACTAGAGATTAGTACTTTTTTTCTCCAGTTCATATCAGTCTATGATATTCAATTACCCCATCGAACCTACAATAATTATCCCATGTAAAATAAACTCAGTGGATTGTATAAACGTAAACGTAACAAATAAATGAAATAGTGGCTGATATAAAATATTGTAACATTTAAGGGGAAGAGATTCTTTTCCCACTTGTTTCCAATTTCAATTCAATATATAAGACTTTTTGTTTACTTCATAAAAATGGTAATTGTTTAGTCTAAATCTCATCTCTATCTGAAATCCCTCAAAATGTGACTACACATACACCCTGGAAAATAGAATTTCTCACTAATCAGACATCGTTTTCTTTCAATGACTAAATAATTCAAGCAGTATTGAAGGTGTTGAAAGTTATATCATCTTTGTAAAGTATGATTAGTATCCTTTTCTATGCTACTTTACTCAGTAACAAATGAAAGTTGTATCTCAATGTTTAAATAAACCGATACAAATGACGAGTTCATTATTGTTATAAATGAACACTGAGTGAAACATTAATAGTAACGATAACAATAGGAAACATATTTAAAAACATAATATGATATCAATTTCGTCTGTCTTCTACTCTGTCTAACATGAAAGATGATTTTCAATAATTCAGTAGTGATGAACTTATTTAATCTTGACAAATCTCATAAACGTTATGAAATTGATAACTGTACATCAGGTTGAAATTAAACATAGTTTGTTTTAATCTCACAAATTCAATATCTATCAATTCAAAATTAAGAAGATATGCTGATTTTATAATTATTATTTTTCCCCTTGGGTTCCAAGCGAAACATACGGCTTCAGTAGCACGCCTCCGTTCCACACTCTTCTCTGCAAACTTTTGGACCTGGCTCCATGACAGCCCACAAGATCTCATTTTTTTCCTCACACCATCTCCTCCATGTCACCCTCACCTCAGACGCCCAACTCGTCGCTTCCCATAGGGGTTCCCCTCGAGTGACTGGCCTGATGCGTAATGTCCCCAGTCGGCCTTCTCAGTATATGCCCAACCCATCTCCACTTCCTTCCAGTGCATATTTGTTCAGCGATAGCTTCTTGGTTGGTTCGTTGCCAGCCATTCAGAGTTCCCTGTTGCTGATTCTTTCTGACAATCTATCTGAGCTTCAGTAAGGGCCAGCGTAGGCAGTTATTGATGAATACCTGTTGCTTGTTGGAAATGCCTTTCGTAACCCTCAAAGTCTCTGAGCCATACAGAAGCACTGAGTTGACGTTGGTGTTGAAAATCTGGATTTTGTTCTTTATGCTGAGAGCAGAAGATAGATATGTTGATTTACTCTACTTAATTAGCATTTTGAAGTTCATAAGCTGAAAATGTTAATACTTTATTCCATCAGTTTTTGACTGGCTTCAATTGACTCGAAAAAAAAATTGAACCCAATCTATTCAACGCCTACACACAAACAATAAGCTTGAAAAAGTGCTAGGTGGTACTCTCTAGTTGTTGTGATACTAAAGTGAGCATTCAGAGGTGATACTGTTGGTAACCAGGTTTTCTAAGTAAGTAAGTAAGTGATAAACTACAGCTAAGACTTGATAACTACGCAATAATTTGAGATCAGTAGTCCATGCTTCTCAAATCTTGCATGAATAATTCAAGTCTCTTTTTCCTCCGGTAAAGGTTTGAGTAAACGTTTAATTTGTAACAAGAACTGTATTTAAATTATATCCGACTGGTCATAATGATAAATGATACATTAAATATTAAACAGATGTCCACGTGTACCATTAGTATGCAGTAAGAATACTCTAGAACCTCCTTCCTTTCTAAGTTTTCATTTTTATCAGGAATACTCACAAAACAGGAATATTGTGCATATCACATTCCCAGTAGACAAGATATAGTGGTTGACCGCATATGACACAGAAAGCATTCCATTATTCTTTGATCATATCCTCATACTTCGCACAGACTCAGTTGACTTTCAACTGTTTGTGTAAGAGTAAAGTTCAGTATCTTCTTAATACTTTATTATGGTAATACATAGTGAGGAGATTCGAATGAATAGTTCTTGGATAATAAAAGTGTAGATCCAGATTACTCATGCGAATTAGCTAGTGAGATAAATTTTCTCAGCTTTGCTAACAGTGTCAAAGATCGTTCGACGAAAACCACGTGAGCGCCAAGCATGAATGAAAGTGTATTGATTCAATCCCCGCTCTTTGTCAGTTTCTGGAACACGTGCATCTCTTGACTTCAAGGTGATATTCAAGCACATCGATTCAATAGTCCTGCAATGAGATATGAAGAAGAGTGATGAATGAGAAAACTAAGGGACTAAATGCGCTCCAAAACAAGTTATGGAGCCATTAGAGTATGTGAAAGGTTTTCATCGGTGATGATAGCCACTGTTTCCCCCCCCCCTCCCCCCCAACTAAGAATGTTTATCACCAACAAATTCACTTGAGTTTGTTACAGGACTAGGACTTTTAAGGTTTTGATTCACAATTCAAACAGCATCTGCTCAACCCACACTTTGCATACGACACAGTAGTGTAAAGCAAAATGTTGGATACAACTAACGGGTATTTCCAATTTTCCAAATGAAAACCGATACCATAGAACCGACCCACGCCAAATATCCGCCTAAAGATAGATAGTGAAGTTGGTGAATTTGTTGGTGACTTCATTTATTTCGGGAATTGTATCAGTTCCACTGAGCTGGGTGATGGCATTATTTTGATATGGGAATCACTAATACCTCTCTATTGGCATATTTCAGCCTAGGCCATCTTTACAGTCAGTTAGATAAGCAACTGTCAGTCGAAGTGGGCGATGTATCGTGCAACAATCTTCTCTACCTTGGGTAGAATCAACAATGGCGGAGTTCAGCAGACAGTGCTGGGTAAGAAAAGGCAGGTTAGTAAACTATTATATACTATCAGCAGAAAATATTTATAACATACTTATTTAAACTTTATGTATTCATAAAACTTACTTTATGCCATAAATTAACAATCTGCTTATACTGAATAAGAAGTTGATGTCTAGATTTTATGTGACAATGAACAGAAATTTCACTGATTTCACTTATAATTCCATCATTCGACTTGAAGGTACATTTTGCAATTATTCTTCTGAACACAGTTTGATACTGTCTGAACATCGTCTGGTAGATATGCTGTTGTTCAAAGTGTAATTTAGCATACAAGCTTAGTTGTGTTTTATATAGAGTAGTAGAGGAACGCCAACTCTTTGTGGTTTCGTTACGTGTGCCTTTTCTCACACTTTTTTTATTATATGAGATAAATCCAGTGTTTGTATTATTATTATTATTGTTACTATTATCCATCAGTTTGTTGGAGGCGTCTAATAACCATATCATCAAATTGGCGTAATTTGTAGTCATTTCATTTACAATATCATTTGCCATCTGAAAATTTAAAGGGAAAACGAAATACATTACTAGGCACCAGTTTGTAAGTAGTAAGACCAATTAGTAATAAATGAATCTCATTTTTATAACACACTGTAAACAGTACCGAAAAAAGAATCAAATACTGGGTTAGCTAAACCGATGTGATGAAGTAAACGAGTGAGAAAAAGTAAGGTACAAAGTAAAAAAGAAAACCCACATAACTGGCATTGAATTTTAGACAATGGATCTAAGACTTTCAACAGTTTGCTTTTCTGCATCACCAAGATCTTAGTTACTCAAACTATAATAATAATAACCTACATGAAACAATTCGACAGTCAGTAAATTTATGGACTGACCTCTTGTTGGTGAAGGATCATCCTCAGGTTCTACACTCATACTTTAGTTGATATTTCAACATCAAGATAGGTAGTGGTCCAACACGTGTAACATATGTTCTATCTGAGTTAATGAAGGTTTAAAACAACTTTATCGATTACTTTCTCTACCTTACTGAAGTGCTAAATTTTTCCTCAATGACGCCTACTCAAATGTAGTAGTACTGACCACTAAATGTTTACAGTTAGTTTGTGTTATGCACCTTGTTAACTGTGTATACAAAACATCAGGCAATAAACAAAGTAAATAATAGCTAAAAGATTATTGAAAAATAGGCAGCAATGAATAACTATATTCTTTAAGCAACTTCTCAACAACGTGCACTCTAGCCTCCATACAGAATAGGACCCAGAATATTCAACTCATAGACAAGGAGGTTACTACACAGACATAAGGTTGACATATCAACTAACATCATCCAATGCCCATCGGTTGGCATGCGTCCCTGACACATTACTCTCGCCATGCGAAAACCGTAATTTCATGACGCTCTTTCGTATGAGGTCATAAATATTCATTATTAGAGTGTATTGATTTGAAATAGAAAAATCTTTTAAATATGTACCAGGTTTTAACGGTTCTCGACCTCGATTCCTGATGAATTTTTATCTTGGAAATCTGGAAGTTTTCTTCAACAGTTTCATGTCACCATAGACAGACAGACAGAATCAACGTAGAACCTCACTCACAAGTGCTTCGGTTCAATTTGACACTTTGCAGAGGCATGCAAAGAATAGGCAGATAGAATAAGAGTGATATCAAAGTAGACAAAGTTGTGACAGAATAAGTAATTTGAAGATGAAAGTTAGTACAAATATTCAATCTTTAGAAGACGTAAAAGAGTGAATACATCTACCCTATTGTCACCGATTTTCAGCCATGCCACCAAGAGTTCTCAACCACAGATTTCTTTCGTCTCAGGAACCCCAATCAGATAGTCTACACCTCTCTACAAGACTAAGACCTACAGTCACACCTTAGTTTGGTTACTGTGAACCCTTTTCAAAACTAACCCAACTTCTTCTAGGATGATACATCGAGGCAGGTGGTGGTGAATCAGGATGCACAACACATGCCCACGCCACCTCAATCAAAAACGTTCACAACCTCATTAATTGACTTGCCTAGTACCCTTCAGCTGACCTCAACATTACTTACAAGGTGATTCCACCAATCGCGGGCAATGCGACGAAGATATCTATGATAGAAACCATGTGACCATTTCGTGTCGTCTACTTTTAATGGCTGTGTCTCACGGCCATATAACACATGACAGAATAGATTACAGAGCAGTATACTCGCCTTTTGATATGAAGTCGGATATTTCACAATCGGCACTATAGATTTTGTCGCAAACCAGCCCATTCAGGCTGATGCAACTTCACAAGTAAGTGAAGTCGTCGACACATTCCACCACGTCACTTCCTACTCGTAGAGTGGAAGTATTTTAAGACCAGTCCTGGAGCATTGTCCTGTATTTGATAGGTGCAAAATGCATCCCAGACATACTCAGATTTATGCTCAATGCGCTTAGATGCTGCATTTTGTCAGTGTCTTCACCTAGCAGGACAGTATCGTCATAAACAATGGGGAAAGTGCACTTATCCATCGAATGTACAAATGTCTTATCTTCATCAAGAATCGTAATTTCACACATTGTTATTTCATATATCTTGTTTCCCCTTTGTTTAACAGCGTTTTACAACTGAAGTACTTGATCAACTATCACTAGACAAACAGACAGATAAAAAACCATGAAGTTTTTCAATATAACCCTAAAGTCATCAGAAAATCAAAACAAGATTTTTATGCACATTTGTTTGTATCAGCCGCAACTCCCTTTAGTTGACCAAGGAAAGACATTGCACGGAGGTTTACGTTGACACTCTTCGTGGCGCAACACACACACAAAGTTAAAATCAATATATTTAACAATGACATTGGAAGAGATAAGATTCAAATGGAAAATCATAAAGGCTAGTGTAGAGGGTTAGGAATTTTGATGATAAGCATTGAATATATTTTCATTATTGCGATATATTTTCCAACCGAATGATTGACGATTTCAAACGATTGACTTCTAACATATTGAAATCCACACTCATGTATTTTATACCTATCCCCATATCACTTCCAATCATTGTAATTTCCCAGATTACTTGACCATCTGTACACGTTTCTACATATGACAGAAAATTCGAGCGAGAAAAATTATCACAGTTTAGTTGACATATATCCACATCTTGTTGTAACTATTACTTGATCTGTTCTATGCTACAAATATCCACTGTATGGTTATATCAGAAGAAATGCTTAAATATTTATTGGCATGCAGATGTTGTTCTGTGTTTTATTTCAATCCATCTTTGAAACTGTAAACTGATATATTTTGTGTAACATGGATAACCCCTACTATCCTGCCAGTTAGCTCACAATGTGTAAACTGCATTTTTATTCATAACAAGTTTAGTTTACCATGGCCTATTTCATTGGTATGTATGAGCTTGGGCTATATTTAATGATTAACTAGCGTTTGTAACATGACTGTCTACTTGGTTGTATTGTGTTCTCTGAGCTGGGTTGTTTAATCGTGGAGCTTTCATCGTCTTTCCAAACGACATGCAGAGACTGGAAGGCATCATCCTACCTGTTATCGAACCAAGAACTTGGATTCGCTATGTGGATGACATTTTTGTCATCATCAAGAAGGATGATAAAGAAAACACCTACTGTCTGATCGATGACGTTTTCAATGACATCAAATTCATAATGGAGAATGAGTTAAACTACCAACTCCAGTTCCTGGATGTTTTAATCAGTAGTTCAAATGTCGGAAAGCTAGAAACCAAAGTGCACAGGAAGCCAACACACAATGATCAAATCCTCAACTACAATAGCAACAACACAACAACACACAAAATCAGTTACTTGCAGACTCTATTCAGAAAAGTGAGAACACACTGCAACACAACAACTTCACGGAGAGACGAACAAAATTACTTGATATCCACCCTAAAGCGAAATGGTTATCCAAGGAACTTTATCACAAGATGTCTATACCGTACATTATCAACTACAAAGTCATCGACAGAAATCAACAAACGCATCATCCTACCATACACGACAAGATTACTGAGACCACTTGGTGGGATTGCTATGGCTCATAAATCAACAAATTCCTTTCAAACACTATTATGCAGACCAAAGGATGCAACAAACAAAGAAGACAAACCGAATATCATTTACAAAATCAACTGCAATAATTGTAGTCAACACTACATTGGACAAAGTGGCTTCCCTCTCCGTCTTCGTCTACATGAACATCAATTGGCTATTCTCAACGTGACATTTCATCACTCATTTGAATGCATGTGGATAACAACTGTGGACATGAATTCAATTCCGACAATGTAGATATTTTGAATAGAGGAAACACAAAGAATGTCAAAGAATTTCTGGAAGCTTGACATTCAGGTCAATCAGTCAGTCAATCATCAATCAACAGATGTATAGACATAGACCCGGTCTATCCACCAATGAGAGAAATGATAAACGACAGAGAGGTCAGAGGTCAAGCAGAGGAACAGCCAACGGGAAAATCTAAACAACTGATTACACAACAATCAATCACAAACCAATTCGTCAAGGCAAGCTACTAAATGACTCACAGAGAAATAGTGACAGCTCACTTCATACTGAAGTTAAGTTTTGATGATGTCGTCTAGCAAGACGATGAAAGCTTCACGACTAAACAACCCAGTTCAGAGAACACAATACAACCAAAATCATCTACCTGAGCTACAAATATTCCCCATCATTTCATGATTGTCTACCATTCAAAGTGTTGTTTTACCAACTGATAAAACTGTGACTCAGTAACAACACGTACACTTATGAACTAGACGGTAATCCCCGTAGGTTTGATGAGGTCTAATAATATTAACAGCTGAAACTTGAGTAGATGGCACGGGATTCGAACACGAAACTTACATGTTGAAATATGACTACCCAAGACAATCAACCATATCCCGATATCCAAAAAAAATTAACCCGGATGAGATATATATCCACTTTTGCTGTATAGTCATCATCTGTCACAAAAACCAATGCATTATCAGATACTATTCTTGTAAAAACACATTTACTAGGATCTTTTACTAGTTGTAAACATTCATATCAACTGCTCACCTGAATACAGCTCTCCCGTAGGTTATAAGCTTGCCTTATTCGTGCTAAACGTTCCATTAGTCCGGTTGATTCACTGAGGTTGAAATTGTTTGAAATTATTTCGCTATACAACTTTTCACGCTGACATAGCTCTTCACCTAATATCTTTAAGTAAAATAATAATAATAATAATATAATCCTGACATTTGATTAGAAAACAATCCGTTAGCGCTGATAGAATTTCTAAATTCAGAGTAATGGTCAGCACTTCTAACCAGTTTATATTATTATCCTTTGGTTAGTTATGCAGATCTGATCTAGAATAGCCTCTTACATGCAAAACGCGTGAAATGTACGTCTAATATATTTAAAGAACTTAAAGCATTTACAAGCTTGTGAACTTTATGAGTATCTTTGTACTATACGATCATGCTATGTATTCTTAGTCATTAAAAAAGAAGACGAATTGTGTATACCGTCAAAGTAAGGTCCCATAAGTAAAGATAGTCACAAAGCTTTACAGTATTTCAATAGAAATGATGCAATATTTATTCATATTTCCGATCACAGTTTTAGGATGTATACAAGTTAGGAGTATTTTATGTCTTCAGAAGACAAATTTATCTCAATTCAGATTGATAAGAGGATAAAGAACAATGAATGATAGAGGTGCGAATTCCTCGAATACTCGAGACATCCAATTGTAATACACGACCTTCAGATTACTTATTAATTCTTCTCTCAGATAAGATAAATAGCTGAATAGATGATAGTCAAGTGTTTGTCATCAGTAGAAATAGACACAGATTCCAGTACTTCTTCATTCCGAGTTAAACTGCAAAAATTCCCAACCGGAGGCATATAGCACCATAGAACAGCATATCTAGAATTCCTCAATTTAAGTTTTCCCATTTTACAACAGTAAGGAGTCAAAACTGTATAAAGTTGTACCAGGATATTAGGCAACTGATTCGATAGCAAAATATGTTAAAGAATAAAAATAAAAACAAACCAATTACGCAACACAGCTTACTGAATGGTTCAAATTCATAGACTGGATGAAAGCTGCATCACCTATAACAGAAACAATGTTTTCATATTCTTTAAAACTGAAGTATGTGTAAGAGGTTTGCGTTGAATGACTAGAGTTGTTGTCATCGCCATCATCATCAATCACTTTTGTACCATTTGATCTAAGGTGTTCAGTAGCTTTGGTATGGCTGTTCAATACACGTATCATATTATTATAATTTGACGTTTGATTAACAGTATTCTTCTTATTGCGTATATTTTCAATACCTAGTTGTTCTTCTGCATTATGTAACCATTCTTGTAGGCATAAAAGTGCTGATTTATTATTCTGACTTTTTATCAAACGTTTTTCCATTTTAATTTGACTGAAAGGCGAAAAGCAAGAGTACCAAGTATTAAAACATCTCTAAATGAAATATACAAGATATATTGTTCTATGTGAAAGTAATACACAGTTAGACTACAAAAAAAATTTACTGATCATTGTGTAATGCATGCAAGTTAGTTATTTTTCAGGGAGGTCATCATTAAAACATTTAAAGAGGCAAGATACTGTCGGTTCTTTGGATAATAGGCGAACTCACTTTTACTGGATTTTCAATGCAGTGTACAGCCAATAAACAGATACAAACAAATCAATGCAAAACCTGATACATCAGTGCATCAGTTCATGTTGCTGCAATTAACACTAACATGCAAAGAAGTGATATTAAAGCAGACAGAGTCGATAAGGGCTTAGAGAATAAATAAATGTTGTTGTAGATGACAAAGATTTTATACTTCTGTGTCATTGAGACCTATTTCAAGACATACCACTAAGAGCTAAGAGTCTCTAACTGCTGATTCCTATCGCCTCCAAGACTTAAGTTATGTAGCGTACATCCCCTTACATGGTTCAGATAGACAATCAGAGATTTCATAAATTGTTTGCTTATGTATAGTACTTTCATATCTTTTAGTTTAAACACCAATTCAGAAAGCTGTATGGTGGTAAACAGGTGAGATTTTTATGCAGTTAGTCGTTTGATAGGTAGTTGGATGGCTTTTCGGGAGCATAAGTGTAGGAAGTTGGTTTTCTGTATCCAAACTGAGAGTTCTTTGGCAACCAACCCATTTGACCTGATGGAACTCTCCAAGTAAATAAAGTATTCAACACGTTCCAACCTTCCACTATGTATCCTTAAATGAGTTGGTGCAGACGATTTCTGAAGCATCATCTTGCATTTTTGACAGGTCCCAAATGTATGCCAAACTATAATCAAATTTTTACTCAAGGAGTTTAGAAAAATGCATTCTGTCAGCATCTTTGCATAACATAACTACGTCTTCAAATATTGTTATTGTTTCGTTTGTCCTGGAAAAACATTCCAAGATGAAATTCAAAGATGATTTTGACATAACTTCACAAAAGAGTGACGGTAGGATATTTTCAGACAAATAAGGTATTGGGGGAATGATGGCAAGTGATCTATATATGCTTCAGTAGTCGGTGGATTTATCAGTAAGAAAGAAGATCAGCTAACTCAACATCTGTGTTTCACTTATTTATTCATCTTTTTCCTGGTGGAAATCATTCCAATAAATTCGCCTTTGATCAAAAGTGATGCACTAGATGTTTTAATAAGCAAAGGCGTAAAGATTTATTCACGAATGTAAGACAAACAACTTCTATAAGTGTGATAACATTCATTCTGTATTCCATTTGTTCTCGTCGTCTATTACCCATATTAAATGTTAAAAGCAACCCCTGGTGGGGTTGTGGGTGCGCACTGCCAAAGGGTCCCATATTAGGATGAAACAGCTGTCCAGTGCTCCCAGGTTTCCTTCGTTCCTCCAGCTGATGTCAGTCTACGATGAATAGCGACATGAAGTATCTCTAAATCTTCACAAAACCCCAAATTCAAAATCGCATCAACTGAAGGTAGGCAATCACTTTCAATCTAGGTAGGTTGAATGAAGTTGTCACAGAGAATTGTCCCAGAGTTCTATTGAATATAACATGGCTGATATAATACTACAAGATCTCCAATCATTTCAAAACTTCTCAGTATCACTTAAGAAACAATAAGTGTCAGTTAGTCCAAGTACAAAGCAGTTATCCCACGTATTGTTCGCTAAGACCGTCCTCGTAACCAAGGAAGAGAAACCAAAAAGGTAATTATGAGCATCTGTAGTTTATTTATACACCATACAACCGTGATTGTAACACTAGCTGGAGATTATAATACGTTTCTACGACCATTTTAGTGCAGATTGGTTTACATGTTTCAGCAAAGGTAAGTCCGTCATGCACAAACTACATTTAACAAAAAGAAACAGGTTAGTATCAAAGTAGACTGCAAAAAAGAAGGATACTGGACGCCATGACAAAAGGCATGTACAATACATATGCAACCATATTATTATAAAGTCTAAGTATCAAATAGTTGACACTTCACTGATGACTACATAGACTACCATTGAAAAGGTATCATGCTTCACAACAAAAAATGTCTTACCAATAAAACGAAAATAACTACTGCAGGAACCGCTGCGTAGGCTAAAACAGATGCATAGGTTTTGATATAACAAGGTAAGGGGGGTAAAGCTTACTGAAATAATCTACGTTTCAAATTTTAAACTGTAAAGCATATAGCTTCTGGGATTACTTCGAAAGGTCTGTCTGAGAAAAATCCAGCTCGGATAAAACATATCACAGGACTGTCTGAATCTATTAAGGCATACCTCATAACACTGAAGGCAACAATATATTTTCTGTCTCAGATGCAATCATATAATGTACTAAGAATTATTGCATGCAATGCTCATGATTTAGGTTGATATATCGCAATGAGTCACTTAAATTACCGAGTGAAGACTTTTGTACGAGGCTATAAGGTCACGACTATTGTGAATAAGTTTATGATACCAGATGAAAATATTCTTATAACTTCGTTAAGAAGCAAGTGCAGATGAAGTCATCGGTCTGCTAGTGAAACGTTTAAGACAAGATAGTGAATCTTGGAGAAAATCAAAGAACCATCACCTTTAGAAGTTTAAATAGTTGCTGAAAGCTGTTTAGCTAACAACAAACAAGACACCACATTCAATACACAGAAATAAAGTTTCAAAAATAAACATGTAGTTGATTTTGAGAAAGATTTTGCTGAATGTAGGTCAGCAAAAATATACAATATAACGCCACCACTTCTATCCATGGAAGTGTAACTACACTTTGGGTACCACCATAATTAGACATTGTCTATATCAGGAAATATAAATGATTATTTGAACGTCAAAATCCTTTGCCTCTACACTGTGGTAAATAAAAACACTTCATGTAAACCAGAGAATTTACTAAAAGATACTTGTTGTTTGTCACTTCTTTCTTATACTAATTCCTTAGCTAAGTTACTGAATTACTGTGCCCGTAATCTGGTGGTTCACTGTTGGGATCATTATAACACATCTATAGCACTTAGTTAAAATTCTCATAAATAAAAGTTCACAGTGATATTTAATCTGTTAACCATTACATAAACTATCGATAAAATTCGGTCAGAACTCAGGACTGGACAACAACAAACTGAACAGGTCAGTAGTGATAACGATATATCTCTGACTGCAACAGTAAGTGACGTGGGTTCAAACCCCCCAAACAGGATTTCAGTCCCTTTGTGGTTTCAGATATGCTCTGCTGACGAGTGCCAATAAGTATGAAACCTAGGTACAGAAATCCCTACTAAATCTATCCAATCATTTAATATAAATATTCTCTCTAGACAATTTACAAAATGAATAAGTGGTTGTTTCGATTCATCACTGTTTCATTCTTGTACACTACTGATAAGTCCTAAAAGCTAGAAAAGAAATGTGTACTGCTCAATGATCGGTTACATCTAGTAGACATCTTTTGGCGATGAGAACTACTTGAAATATGCATAGCCTGTTTACTATAGATTGTAATAAATTATCACGAAATATCAAACTTATACTAAAAATTAGTAAACTTTTGTATTGTGACCAACGTTGAATACTCAACTACCATCTAATGGATTTATTCTACTACTTGAATAATCTTACCACTTTGATAATAATTTCCCAAATTTTGATTTGGTTATATGAAGTTTATTAAGCATATCACCAAGTATATTCTTTTCTGGATCTAAGGCAGTACAACGTTCTCGTAGATTTCCACCCATCCTCATAACTAACCAGTATTCAGATTGTCGTTGATTAAATTCCTTTAACTTTATTAAGAGAAAAAAATAAAATAAAAAACACAATTAGGATATCCAACAAAACAAATTCTACAACGACTGATGATGTAAAGCAAATGTGTCTATGAAGTTCACAGAGAGATGCACAGTACAAAGTTAAGGGAATAATAAAACAGAATCCCGAAAATAAAAAGAACAAACGATTGAGACTAATCTGATGAATAGATAATCTTTTCAAAACTAGTATTAAGTAAAATCACAGACTGTCACCTACTTTTTCTCACTTTCGACTTTTATCACCTACTACGACTGAATCTACTGAAGAATATGCTTTGCACAGCGTAGATGTGGTTCAGTAGTTAACCGTAGAATTGTCAACTACAAAGACACAAGCTTCACCTCTAGTTTAATTCAATTATATTTAACTGGTACGCTAAACACATCAATTATTATATTTTAGGTATGATTCTAAACCCAAAAAAAGAAGATATTCTTACAATTCCATAATCTTAAGTTCGAATCACCTTTGAAAGCATTGTTAACGTCAGCCTTTGAATTATTTTCATATAAAAGTAAAGTGGTCAACATTATTGTCAAGAAAATTTCATAAGAGCAACCAACCTCAAAAAGCAGTAAAAAAAAATAACAGGAATTCACAACTATAGCTGAAAAATGTATTGCTTGTATTATCCCGTCGTTGAGTGAACCGAATTGACCGGTCTCTATTGTCATATGGGCTCCTAAAGCGGATGTCTAGATATTGTCTGTATTTGAATCAGCGATGGATAGTCGATAATACATAATTCGCAAACAGGCGATATCGAGGCATCAGTACAGGAGTTCATATGCCAATAGAGACCCATCAACTCAGTCCAATCAACGACGGAACAATACAAGTAACAATATCAAAACTATGCCTGCTGCACAAAGAAGTGGATATCGTGACTCAGTGGTCTACTAGATTACGCTTTGGCGTTTGAAGCGATAGGTCCCATGTTCGAGTCCTACTGGAAACAACATCGCTCACTGGGAGGCAGGCGGCACACGCAGCTGACGAGTCCCAAGTACAACGAAATGCATATCCTGGATTCCATTGCTAGCCATTATTCATCACTGATATGGTCGAAAATGCTTACTATATACAGTCAAGTTGTATATTTTCATCATCTGATTCATTCTCAAACACATATCAATAACTAAAAAATGAGTGACTCTAAAGATCACCCTAGCAACTGTTGGAATAGCTAACCAAGGGTTTCAATGTTTCGGCTAAAAACGTAGATTTTTATAAAATGTAGACACTTAATTGGTTATCTCAACAGTTTGTTAGAGTGGCCTATACTTTCACTCCTAATATCTAATTAAATTTATTGAATGATTTAATAGATATCAACGAGAGTAACAAGCAGTAAACACACAAATTGTCCAGATAAATCTCAAATCATACTGCAGTTGTATGTTTACAAAATCATCCTTCACCGATAAATCAGAGAGTTTAATTATCAGTTGGATGGAGGCAATTGGCAGGAAGCCCTGAAACTAGGTTTCATGCTTCTTGTCGGCACTCGTCAACAAGGCGTATCTGCACCCCCGACGGAACTGATATCCCACCTGAGATTCGAACCCCCGTCACCCAATGTTGTAAGTCAGTGACGTAACCAGCGAGCTATTCGGGCTGCAACTGACCTCCTGCAGGAATGGATTAGTTACATTAATTAGTCACTGGAGGGTAACCAAGTTCATCTTGTGTAGTCCAAAGTGCTGATCGAGTTCTATCGACAACAATCAGCACTTAGGACTAGACAACATGAAGTTGATTACCCTATAGTGACCAATGAATGTAGTTTCAATATCGCCATTGCACTTAGTTTACTCACAAATGGCTATCATTAAAATATCTGTGAAGAACTGGCTCATTGTTTTATACATGCGACTATCCAAACAATCGGTCTCGGTGCAATCCCTGCTTCAACTACTACTCCGAGCTCAGTAACCTGCTAGTATTACAAGCCTACATGCAATGATAGCGGCCTAGCGTAGTAAATAAACCAGACTGGACTATGTTAATTAATTAATGAAATATCACGTCATAGACTAAACAGTTTCCGTAGTTGTTCATTTTGTGAAATTCTAACCACACTTAATGCCGATGTAAAACGCATAATTAGTAAAGAACGCTAAGTACATTTCTCTTCTATCGAGATAAAAGTATATGAATTTAGCTCACCAATTCTTTGATGGAAAGCTGAATCTTCTCTTCGCTTAAAGTATGTGCATCATAAGACTCGAGTATAGCAAGATTAGTTATCAACCAATTCATTAAACTATGGTAACCTACATCAAACTGAAATAAAGTGAAATAAGGTAAAAAGAAAAATTATTTAACGTTTGCAAAACAACTTATTGGTATAACTTGAAGAATGAAACATTAGTGCGTTTTAGCAAAGGTTGAAGATAATTAACAACATAAGCGCTGAACGGCGATGATAGATAGGTTGATGTTTATTTTCAGGCTGGTAACATTTCAATTGTAGTCACTATACAACACTTTGTAGACTGAAAGAGTAAGAATCTTATATCTTGTGAATAGAACCTCAATTCTCTATCCACTTATCAAATTCCCCGGGGTAATATTCTGTATTTTCACCAGAAAAGACTTCATCCTCCTATGTTATATTCTACAGAACATATAGTAGAGTTCTGACACATTTGCCTATGCAAGTAAACTTCAGTCAGTGGAATACGGGTTTTAAGTATCTTCCAAGTATCAAAATTTCATCAGTCAGATAGTAACAACTAGCCTTCAGTCAATACGTGTGACCCATTGCTCAGTGGATTAACATGAACATGGCGTCTGAGACAGATTAATTTTCTTGAGACAACTTTCTAGTTTTCTGGGATTCCGCTACAAACCTTACCCAGTGGTCAACACTAACTAATGTGCCCAGTTGAAAAGATTGGTTACTTCAAAATAAGGATTACAATGTCTTAGTGCTTTTCAAATCTTTATTATACATTCTTGGACATTTTATCACTAGATAATGCAACATTCCATCGGTTTCTATATAAAAAACTTATTGTGAGTAGTCTGAATGAAATTCAAACATCACACTAACCAATACTTAAGCGTGACAATAATACTCCGAAATACTTTCGGTGATATGAGAAGCTGCACAGATTGACTTGTTTAGGTGGGTCCACTGCCTTGAAAGACTTCAAAACTGACGTTGAGTATTCATATCACCTGACTGAATACTGACAATAAACTATGTTCGAAATCTTATCCAGTTAATAATACTGTTTTACTGTGTAACAATTCTAATAAACCGACTAAAATAGAATTACAACCTATCACAGCGCCAAAGGTTTACTCCTATTTCATTGCGGACAGATATGTGTAACTCATCTCCGTTGGTGCAGGTTAATGATCTTAGTAATGGATTTGCCTTCTTTGAATAAAAGTGTGCGCTTAACTTGAACATTCAAAGCTTCCGTTACACTTGAATGATGCTTAAAAGACTCTTATGATCGGAAAACACTCATAATTTACATCTCTTTAAAAAATTCCAGTTCATTCGTTCTAAACTATACATTTTCGATTCAGCTATGGAAATAATTCCATATTAGATTGTTTACTTGATATATAACACACATTGATACAGTATTATTTTTACTGAATGACGTTTCCAGCAGAATTTATTGTTGATATTCATATTAAAGTTTTACTCTTACAATAAAGAAATAATGAAAATAATCTCTCTTTATAGACGAGAAATTCTTCAAATCAAATGAAACAAAAATATACACAAAACTACAGAAGTAAAAAGGGAAGAGCTAACCAAAGTTGTTTTAAACAAGTTGGTGTAAAGATTCTGCTCCGAAAAAGCATACTCGTGATGACACGCCGTATACAAAACTGTGAACATATCAACAGTATATTTAAAGCACGTTTCACAGGAAAGAAGCATTTTACTGCACAAATCATGGTCTAAGTTATAGAAGCCCTATGATAGACTATGTGTAATCTTTCTCAGTCTCTTCAACTTGCATAATTTTACGAAAACAACTGAGAGGATGTACTGATTGGTCACGGGAGTGCAACCAATTTCATGTTGTCTAGTCCTGAGTGTAGACCGAATCCAATCGATCATATTTGCAATGTGGCAACCAAGCTAGGAAGCTCAGCATCATGGTACACATTAGTAGAGGTTAGTTGGTTGGAGATAATCGGCAGGAAGCCCTGGACCTAGGTTTCGTGCTGACTACAACACTGGGTGATACAGAGTCTCAGGCGGGACATCAGTTCCGCCGAGGTTGCAGATAGGCCTTACTGACGAGTCCCAAAAAGAACGAAACCTAGGTCCAGGGCTTCCTGCTGATTGTTTCCAACCAACTAATAACTGAGAGAATGAAGTGAAATAGTTCACAACTCGACTAGATTTGAACTTTACCAACACAAACAGCGCAAAATATGACCCATAATATTAAAAGATCATACACACAAAAATGTGTACGCCGTTCAGGCAGGTGTATCTTTCAATTTCAACCAGCAATCTTGCTTGATATCATCTCATACTCAAGTCCTTCATGGAAAACGTCTATTTATATAACGGCATCATTTATATTCTGATGTAGAGCACAGATAGAAAGGCAGACACACAAATATAGAATATATCCTCATATGTTAAGTGCTATTTTATTTGTTATGGCAAACAATGACTAAGTATTGTCAATGAGATGATACAGTTAGGACAAAATTTACGGTGTTGGAGGCTTGAAGTCAACCATGCAGCAGTGCTGAATGAACTGTGTTTCATATATTTGGAACCTACATCCCTCATAAGCTCAAACACTTTACGACTAGCCATTAGAAGCTAAAACTGATTCCTTAAAGTCTTCAAATGATGATAGATTAGTGTACGCCTTGTTGATGTTTGTATTTACAAATAACTTACTCTCGTGTCTTCTTTTAAGGCTTGAGTAAGAATTTTTTGTCTTTCTGTTGCTCGACGTAGAAGACAAATAAAATTGTGTTTAGTACTTTTTATAGTACTAACTGTTTGTGAGAGTTCACTTGCACTACATAACGATTTGATCACAGGTAGGGTTTCATAAAGTTGAACTACCAATTTCTCATATGATTTCAATTGCTCAACAACATTCTAGAACAGAAAATTTAAAAAATGTTTGAAAAAAATAAGTACAACTGTCTAGTTAATATTCAATATTCTGCTGAAGAAATCTTTTGATTTTCCAAACACGCATCCGCATAGGACCCCATCTGTCAATAGCAGAGGTAGAGCAATTCGATCCAGTATAACAACGGAGAATGACAGGCATATCAATAAATAGTAATAACTAATACTTGTTGTACAAGAGGTAGCTATCGTGCCTCCGTGGCCTAGTGGATAATGCTCTGGCGTTTGGTGCGATGGGTTCCAGTCTCAGTGACAACAGCATCACTCACTGGAGTGCAGGTGCATCTAATCGATGAGTCCCAAAATAGGACAAAACGCGGATCCTGGATCCCACTTCTAGCCATAACCAGGTCGATTGTAAGCAAAAACCTGTTGAAATATCTACTGAAAGACTATTTCAGTCCACTTTGAAACTCCTTAAAAGCATTAAAAAACCAAACCCTTCTATGATGGGGAAGCAGAAGCCTTAACGCATAGTTCTTAGTATGACACTGATAGGGTCAAAAGTAGACAATACAAAAGAATCCAGTGTCTATAAGTTTGGTTCCCTTTCCCAAAAAGTGTACAGAGAAAATATAACTGTCAACAGAAATTCAATGAATAATATAAACATACCTTTACACTATTTAATTGTTCAGTACAACGAATAACTAATTTAGACGGTCTATACAATTTTGATAATTCTGCTTGAATTCCATCGAATAATATATGTAGACTGTGGATACTTTCTGCATAACAGTTAATGAATTTCATATGCTTTTTCCATATTTTATTTAATATGGAAATATGACGATAACATCGAATGAATCGCCTCAATACACGAGACATATTTAACTCCAGACAGGATTTAATTCTTTCATTTGGTAATGATTTTCCATTACTAATTGAATTCATCATTTGTATATCTTTCAGAATGAATTCTTCTACATTTGTAAATGAATCTTTATCTTGTTTAAAAATATGCTGAAATATTGAGCTGGGTAACTGTTTCAATAGATTATTCAAACGTATTTGATTCTCACTTTGAAATGTTGACTGCCAAGCCTATTTGATAATGAAAATAATGATGATCATAATTTCATCATTGTTCGAGTGGTAAATTTCAGTTGAAATGATAAATGAAAAGATGTAAGAAAGTTTTGTGAGGAATTAAGGAAAAAATATTAGATTTTTCAAGCTGGATAACTCATTTGATATCTGTCTATCAACCTGATGATAAATTATCACACCACACAGAAAAAAGTAACAATTACCGACTTAAATCAGTTAGCCAATACTAATAATGGACCTCACACCAATCCACAGATAAACAAGTTGCAATCATAGTAAGATGAAACTGTTTCATCAGTGAACAGTCAAGGTTCAGCCATTATCATATTATTATTATTATTATTTGTCCTTTGAGTTCCTAGTGGAACATACGGCCTCAGTAGGACATCTCCACTCCACTCTCTTCTCTGCAAACTTTTGAACCTGGCTCCATGACAGCCCACAAGCTCTCATTTTTTTTCCTCACACCATCTCCTCCATGTCACCCTCACCTCGGATGCAAAACTCGTCGTTTCCCATCTGGGATCCACTCGTGTGCCTGTCGCGTGACGTCCCCGAATGGTTTTCTCAGTGCATGCCCAACCCATCTCCACTTCCTTCCAATGCATATTTGTTCAGCGATAGCTTCTTGGTTGGTTCGTTGCCAGCCATTCAGAGTTCCCTGTTGCTGATTCTTTCTGGCAATCCATCTGAGCTTCAGTAAGGAGCCAGCGTAGGCAGTTGTTGATGAATGTGTGTAGTTTGTTGGAAATGCTTCTCGTAACCCGCCAAGTTTCTGAACCATCACATAGAAGCACTGACTTGACTGAATTAGTGTTGAAAATCCGGATCTTGTTCTTTGTGCTGAATGCAAGAGATCTCCACACTGGTTTCAGGTTAATGAATGAAGGCCTGTCTTGCTGTCTTTTTGATCCTGGCTTTGACGTCCACATCTATGCGCCGCTGCCTGTAGTTGGAACGATGCTGCCTAGGTGGTGAGTGGAAGAGACTACTTGCTTAAGGTTTCTCTCGTTGATGGTGATTGGAACTTGTTGTTGGCGGTGGTGGTGTTGGTTGAGTACCTTCATTACCTCCGTCTTCTCTACGTTCACTTGAATTCCCGACTTCGCTGGCCCACCTCTTCTGTCAACTTGTTAGTTTTTGCCTGTAGATCTTCAAGTTTGTGTGACACTAGACACAAGTCGTCGGCGAAATCCAAGTCTTCTAGGATCTTTTCCCCGATTCAGCCATAAAATGACTTACAGTTTTTGTGACTGCGATGCAGGTATATCCGTCTGCCAAGTCACAAATAGAACAGGTATTAAAACTCATAGTAATGACAAGCTCAAATCCATAAACTAAGGAAAAAACACTAAATGTTGATTGACAGACAGATGAAGAAAAAGAACACAATTTCCTCAACTTTAGGACTTTAGAAAAAGACTGATTGAGTGAAATATATTCCTTTTCAATTAGGTCTTCTTCTTTGACGCTGCACTAATACATAGTTTTACAATTCAATCAAATTACCAGTCAAGTGGTGGGTGGGATTAGTAAACAACATATTCCTACATCAGCCTGAAAGTAGAGAAGATAGGACAGATGCATCTGTACCTTTGATATTTCCCTCAGTCGTTTACACAACCAACTTTAAAGCTGTAGGTCAAATGTCAGAACCATGCTTCCTGTACTTCGAACTAGAAAGCCAGACGATATCAGTGATCGTCACACAATAAGTATCATTCGTAACCTTGTTAGTTAGCTTTTACCGAGCTCAGTTACGGTACTATACAGTTGTGATCAACTAAAAATAATTCACATTCTCAAACTACTGCTTTGTATTTACGCATGGTATCGTTCACTACTTTAGAAAAGAAAAATACAACTCCGGATACCACTGGTACTAGTATTGAGTCTAGGAATTAACATAGCTGACAGTTCATTTAGCTTCCACTAAGAAATCATGTTTCTCAAGCAAATAAACAAAGTACAGTTTGCCCACAATAATAATTTTCCCTATACCACCGGTTAACTGATGCCTAAAATGTTAGAGCACAACTTGATATTCATAATTCCAATTTGGTGAATAATACAGATTTATAGAAAGAGATAACTGAAAATATACATCGTACTGGTCAACAGATTATGAAAATCTATCGATTCACGGGATGATAGACATTGTTTCAATGAAGTTGATATGAGCATGCTTTTTGAGTTATTTTGCATTTCACTCTAGGTTCAATGACTTACTGAGACACTGTACTCATTCAATAAACCATCTGTCATCTGTGCGCTTTCATCTATTGGCTATTAAGTTTTGAGGGAGTTATCGGGATTTGGAAATGTTTCAAGTTGTTATTCATCGTAAACTGATATCAGTTGGAGGGATAGTGAAAACCTGGCAGCACTGGACAGCTGTTTCTTCCTAGTACGGGACTCCTCAGCAGTGCGCACCCACGACCCCGCACTCCGGGGGTCAAACCTGAAACCTTCAGGTTCCGTGGCCATTCACGTTACCGTTGAGCCACTAGGTCAGAATCCAATGCTCTATATTTCCAAATTCTGTTAGCCCACGATATAGCGCAACCGCCACCTAATGTCATTGATGAGTAACCGTCCTCATGACCATCAGATTGATGTCAGTCCATGATTAATAACAACTTGAAATATTTCCGAATCCCTACAACTCCCTCAAAATTAAATTGAAGTGGTGCTCATTGGTGACTAGATTCGAGAAGTATTCCCGAAGTTTCAATGAGAAGTCGTGACCGGTGGGGGTAAAGCCTGATGGTCGTGAGGACAGTTACTCAACGATGACATTGGATGGCGGTTGCGCTATATCGTGAGCTAACAGAAGTTGGAAATATGGAGCATTGGATTCTGGCCAAGTGGTAATGTGCTGGCCACGGAACCTGAAGGTCGCAGGTTTGACCCCCGGAGTGCGGGGTCTTTGGTGCGCACTGCTGAGGAGTCCCATACTAGGACGAAACAGCTGCCCAGTGCTCCCAGGTTTGCACTGTCCCTCCAACTGATATCAGTCGACGATGAATAACAACTTGAAACAGTGGCTATTAGCCAAACCTTTTTATGAATCAAGTTAGTCATAAAATAAGAATGAAATCATTTGAGATCACTTATCAGTTATGTGTATACAAAACGATATCCATAAACTTTGATCTAACAAAGGAAAATCCGTTCCCCCCTACCTTTTCACATAATAAATTTATTCGTATGAAAAAAAGCGAATCACCAGATATAACAGTTTTTTGTATTACACTTTATGAGACAACTACCATCTGACTGCACAAGTTACAAACTAGCGAATTTCTAGGTAAAAATTGATTGCCGAAGCTAATCAGCTTGAGTATGTCTGGAATCTGTACACACCAGGTCGTTTAGGTGTAAATACTATCCACCAATGTTACTGCATGAAGCAAGATGTAGCATTAAACAAAATCCATATAACTATCATATCATCACTTGAATCATATTTCAGTAGTTGGAACTTTTAACTTTCGTATATGAATAGACATAAATAAACTAGATCAAAACTGTATAAAAAAAAACACGAGATCTACCTGAAATTCTTTCCATTTAACTTCAGATATATCCAAATTCAGATTATTCAGTCCACCCATTTTGATCAGTTCATCAATTGACCGGTCAAGCCAAGCAGAGTAAGCTGATATAGACAAATGTAGCTGGTTTTCCTTAGAAATAAAAACACAGAAAAATCTCATAATTACTAAGAAGATGCATTAAAAAGTTTACTGATCTTCATCTGGTGCTCAGACAGACACTGGAATATATCTTCACCAATATATTATACTGAATATCCCAAGCATCTGTTGCAAAGAAGTGTTTTGAAAATTACTAAAATTATTCATTATTTGAAATGAATACGGGTAGACTTGCATGCAAATTACAACAATAGTGTTAAAGACAACACAAAGTTGAATTTTAACATTGCTATCTTGATCATTGGTGATAACAACATGGAGTGGAAACGAGGTGAATTAATTGATAGTGTATATGCACAATTTATACTAATAGTAGGATTTGATTTGATTTCATTCTACCATTATAGTTCTCTTGTTATATATGCATAATCACACAGTTGAAGAGTCTTATTGATTTATCCACTGAAATGGTAACGTGCTGACCTCGGGACCTAGAAATCCTGGGTACGATCCCCTAGTAGGACCACTGGTGCTTACTGCTGAGTCTCATAAAACGAAACAGATACTAAGTGCTTTCAAATTTTCAATTGTTCTCCATAATGAATATCAACTTTCAATATTACTGTTTCACTGTGCGTATGCGTGTGTGTGTGTGATACATGTATGAAAACAACTATAATGGAGTTGAACACGTACAAGGCGCAATTCACTACACAACATCGGAAAACTATACACAAAATAAGCTTACAAAATATCTGTTCGCTGAATAAATAGTCATTTGCTAGTTGTGAAAAATCCCCGAAAATAAAGTGTTATTAAAATAAAATAAGCTTTACTTCTTGTAGACTGATAATGGGATACAGTTGGGAAAAAAAATTTTTTTTTTAAAACCAGTCTCCAAATAGATGTTAAGAGAACAATTAACTATGAACATGCTTCGTAACAACACGAAATAGCACTGTTTTTAAAAAAGCTGTTAAAAAACCTAGGATGAACTGAACAAATGATTGTTCCCATTCTAGAATTCTCGAACGCTGTCTTCGGTAACCTATTCCTCGTATGCACTAATAACTAGGACTATCTTTGATTAAATAAATAGGAATATCAACATAGTATCTGCTGGCCAAAGTTTCTAAGATTCTGATACCATAAAGAGTAGATGAGAAGTAAGTATCAATATTATTTAAGCCTTAAAGGAGGAAAGAATATATGCTCAATGCTTTCTAAATTCTAATGTCTCCTCAGTTTGTACATGACGTCTAATAGATGTAAGAAGGATCAAACGTACAATTTTATGATGTGTTACTTGTTCATACTATCCTTCAACTATTTACGATCTATAGGGGATATCAGTCTTAACTTTGCCAATCCGATGATTCTAACCGATTGATTTTATATTGTCTACTATAATTGAACTGTTTAGGTAATCAACTGATTAACAGGATTATAGTTTCTACGCTTTCAACCGATTACTTCTTTTTTAACTTGTACAATAAGAAAAATACCTCATGAGTGATATATGACACCTGTGTGATATTATTAGTAATTTAGTTGATGTTTGACAAGATAAATACAAAAGTTTCAACCTAAGTTCAAGTCGTCAAACTTAAGGTTCTGCATCCTAACTCAAGTTGGGTCTAACACAAAGATGCAATTTTGACTGATTTGTTAGATATATCACACAATGTAACAGTATTGTTTACTGGATTACAACATTTCGGACAAAATTTATTGTCTATAGTTATATCAAGATAACTACAATCCCCCTCCCCGCCCCCTTTATGATATAGATAATAAGATCACCCATAATATCCGAAACAGATACTGAGTCATTCCTCTTGCATGCATTAGGTCTTGATTCCATAAAGATTGAGTTATCAATGTCTCCCTACACCCTGCTTTGTTAGTTTAAAAGATTTCCACCTTGTCCTATCCTATTGTGCGGTTGTGTGTAATGACATCAATAGCTACGGTTAAGCATTTTTCGAAATTCTTTACCTTACTAGGATCTACTAATTTTGACCTTGTGAGCTTTTTGTACTCGGATAGCCTAGTTGAACCCGGTCAACTACTCTGACCTATGTATTTGACCTCGCAGTCATTGCAAGGGATTTTGGTAAACTAAGTTATCCAGCGTAGTTGGATCAGCAGGATCTTTTAACCTACAAAGCTCATTTCCAAGTAACTCTGAAGGTTTAAATGCCACTCTCATCCCCCACCCAGCCTTATTGAGAATCCTAAGTAGTGCTTCCTAGCTGCTTTCTTTGTATGTTAACACTGTAGATGTTTTAAATTCTCTCTCCATAGTATTACCAATACCATCATTAACATTATTATTACTATTATTAATACCTCCTACGTTACTAACACCAACCAATTTCTACTTATGATTTCCAAGGAACTCATCAATTATCTTAGGAAGGTGATTGTTGATGAGTGAGGTGTCGTTTGTGGATCTGGTTTCTTGTCTTAGATCTTCCATCTCACTAGTAAGTTTTCTGCCCCTGTTACTTAGACACTTTACTAAACCAACTTCAACTGACACAGAGTGAGACCATTTGAAATCTAAGTAATGATTTGAATGTGAAGGTTTCCTGTAGACATCAGTGTCTAAACTCCCGTCTTGTTTCCGTTTTATTCTGTAATCCGCCTTCGCTAATTCCCCTTCACTATTTTCTAATTCATAAGTGGATTGGATTGGGTTGACTGCTGAATTATATATGTGTGAGGAAACCATTCATATGCTCCTGTTTCAACACTGTAAACGTATCATCTGCATGTTGAAACCATACTTTTGTAGCCGGACTTGATGTATCGATAGCCATCCGTCCCCAATTATCCACAAATATGTCTGCCACTATGGTGGATATTGGTGATCCCATGGAAACCTCTTCTGTTTCTTTGTATATTTTATTCTGAAACCTAAAGATTGTGGAGGTTAGGCATAACTGTACTCCTGGCATGATAGCACCTACTGGTACCGTATTTCATAGCGTAAGTTCATAGACTAAATAAGGAATATCTCAAAGTTGTGTAGTTATTTTGATACAACTATGAACAATAAGTTATGTCCGAAGCGTAATCTAGTAAATGACAATACTGTTACACTGTGTGGTAAATCTTACAAACCAATTAAAAGTAGAAAAACAGTGCACAAGTTGGTACCTTAGTTCCCGGTGTAAGCTCATGGTCATTACTGAGCTCGTTTCTAACTGCTTCTAAATCCAAGCCAGTCGGAATATTAGTATACAAACTAATTACATCAAAACTAACCACTTTTTCATTGTCATCTAATTTCTGCTTCAAGTCATAAGAGTTAGTAAGTCTTGATTTAGAACGGTTTCTAATTGGACCTAGTACAACAGCTAAATGTTTAGATAAGCCATGAGTAGGATTGTTTCTAAAGTCTACTATTGGTCTAATAGGATAACCTGGCCTATGAATTTTAAGATTATCATAAATCCTACTGGGATTATTAGTTTTAGGCGTTAAATTAAACCATTTCGACTCACCTAGGAACGGCTTTGCTCAGTGTATTAGATCCACCTTAGTTTCTTCTAAACTTTAGTCATAATACTGCCCACTGATCTCTTAACTTCTTCATATGGTCCTGTTTTTATATGTTCCTTGACCTTTTTGAACATAATTATACTTTCTTAATACTACTGTTGAGTTGGCTTTGTCCGATTTTGAAGTTTCTTCGGAGCTTCTTTTCCTGCTTTTAGTAAATTTTATTTCGTCTCCTTCTGTCGCTTAAGTGTTAGAGTGCATTATGCTCTGACCCTAACATAGAGATCTATCCAGAAATCCAGAATAATGAAAAAACAACTGTCGAGCATTTGATAGCTATGAATGCTTCTTCGGATGATATTATATCACGAGAGCAACATTCATGTACATATAACTGCAACTATTTTAAATATGAATGGTAATTTAATTTCCCTTAATTCGTTTGACTCATTGGATTGCTGTATGATTCGCTTAGACTTTTATTTCATTATCTTCAACAGCTGAGATATATTGGTTCTTTTTGCTTACTTCAAGATATCTTCATGTGATAATAAGCTGTGACATAAGTCTATCCAAGTTTGGAAAATTCCACTGTTCGTGGCTTCCTGATGGATGATACAAATACTTGCACTAAAATATTCACTTTTCCCTCCAATGTCTCAGATAAATTTACAAACTAAAATCTACTACAGAATATAACTTTGATAGTTCAGAGTAATCCTAAACTAGAGGTGTTAATACCAACTAGTCAATTTGTTTTAGAATAAAAAGCACCTTTAAAATAAACTCCATGTAGTACTAAAATTGACAACATGTGGTTACTTATTTAATAATCAGCCTTGTATATAGAAACATTCTACTGATTAAAAAAACAAGATAATTTTAGTCAGTTTGATGAAAAAAGTGATTAATCACTTGTTTCTATCTACTCTGTGATTTCAGTCGAATTTCGATGAAAATGAAAACTTCTAGTCAATAAGCTGGCGAAAGAAGGAGAAAGAAGAGAAAATTTCTCTTATTTGTACACAATATCAGAATAGTAGATTGAAGTAATGTTCAAAAGTGCACACATCAGCTGTAATCTCATAGTTCAGTTGTTAAAAAGTGAATAAATTCACAATCCATTATGACTAACATTTCTTTTAGTTTTTAATCACTTCATTACGAAATGAAAGCTGTCTCAATTTATCTAAATTTAATTAAAATAAGATTTGAAAGAACGTGAGTTTGTTTAAGAAGATATGAATAATCACCGAATATATTTCATGTATGATATGAATAGAAAATCAAGAATTGAAATACTCTATGATTCCAATTGGAATACACTTCCCAGTGGAAAGTACTTAAAATCATATTTGCTTCAGTCGATTGAGTCAATCAGCTTCAAAACGTTTTAAATAACGATGAATGGGTTAGAGTTTATCTACTAAAAAGTATTGGCAGTAGTAAGTAGCTAAGGAGATAAATTCATCTGTTATCAGCTTTCAGGAAGCTTCAAGCGACTTAGGTTTTATGTTTATTGCCAGTCATCGAAATTCAAAGAAATTCATATACTATTGGAGCATTTCACAACTAATATGTCACTCAATTTTACGTTCAGACACTTCTTGAACACAAATATTTAATCAAGTTATTACTGATTTATGGATTAAAAATCAGTTTTTAAATCTACCTGATTTATTTTATCCGACAGTTCACATTTACTTGCTGATAAAATAAGATAATGTTGTTCACTTTCCAATTTTAGTCGTTCAATTTCCTCTTCAGTATTCCCGTTACAAACACTCTCTAAGGGATTGCTTGAAATACTTTTGAGTATTGCTTGAATAGACTTTATTTCTTCACACCATACCTAAAATGAAAAAGTTAATTGCATCATAGGCTTTTCTGTTCAAATAATATTTGTAAAATTCAAGGTAATACTACTTATGTATTCAGTAATATAGAGGATGACAATCACAAAACTCGCAACGCTGGTTAACACTTTATTCCACCATATGGTATAGAAGTATAATGTACGTTTCTATTTTGAGTTGTTAAGTGACTAGTTAAGTGAGATATTGTGTAATACACACATACAAAAGAGGAGGGATTATCAAAATTATATCCCAAGTCATACCGCACTGATAGTGTTATGAGCAATGTATTGTGCTCGATATGTTAGTAAATAATACTTCACCGATTAATTCGATACTAAATGACAGACAGACAGACAGATAGACGAAATCAACGGAGAACCCTGCACGTAAGCTAATCGGTTCAAGTTGGCACATGTCACAGTAATATACATAGAACAAGTGGATAAAAAGGATTGATATCAAAGTAGAAAATGTTATATGGGACGAAAAGAAATTTTAAAATGAAGGTTAGTCAAAACATTCAAACTTTAAAAGACATCAGAGAGTGAATATATATGCATTACTGTGACTGGTTTTCAGCCATATCAGCAAAGTCATCAACCGCCTTCGTCTCAGGGAATCCAACTAGGTAGTCTATACCTCAGACTAACAGTCACGGACTTCATGCATCGGTGACATGTTTTAGTCTACCCATCCTGTACCCTATTCTAACTTCATATAACTCACCTCAGAACTGTACATTGAGGTAGGCGGTAGCTTGGCATGCGCAACACATATCCAAGCCAACTCCGTTGATAAGGTTTCGTCTTTATACCCTAACGTAGCTTCAGATATTTGACCATTATATTACCATAGTGGGGTTGGATCAGTAAAGTAGGAAGCTGGTGAAAGCGAAAATTAACCCAAATTAATTTAATCGAATAGGCTGATAGATAGATATATACGACATACCACCTGATCTCAACCCCAAACATGCTGTAATAATGTCTGATTTAGAATTCAATAGGCAGATTTTAAAAAATGATGCGGAAGCAACCACTACACAATAGACATGTTTCCTCTTTATTTTCTTTAAATACTCAAAAATTCGTTTTAAAATGTTTACGCTTTTTATTAATAAAATATGCAGACTAATTAACTAGTAGTCAATAATTGCAACACTGTAGTATAGCTTCGCCGTAAGCTAATTTCATCATATATCAGTACTACTGTAAAGTTTAAAAATTAAACAAATATGTTCATAAAGTCAACTTTGTCAATATGTTCTAGTGGTTCAAAAATGCTTTTCAAACTTTTCATAAGACAGAACTTTCGACATCAATTTAAACATTACCAAGATAAACTTAGCTTGATGTACATATATATATATATATATATATATATATATATATATATATCATCACAGTACGTATATGATGGTAAAAAACAGAACATACTGGATTTCAGTGAAGTATAAAATAAATATGCATTCATATAGGCATTTTTATAATCTTTGCATAGACACATTTACTAATGATAATAATGAATAATTCAATCTAGACAACAACAAAAAATGTAAACGCTTTATACCTCTAAATGTTTTATTTTCATCCAATGGTTTAATAGAAATTTGGATATAACAATTGAATCATTTTCTTCATAGTTGATAGATTCTTTTAATTCATCAAATGTATAGTGTTGTTTTATTATTTTCATTAAACAAATGGATTCATTTAGTACACTTGAAAAATCTTTTAAAACCAATTGAATTTGATTTGTCTCAATGAGATGATTTCTTGTAATCGACTGAAATATACCAAAAATTAAATTTTATAAAACATTTCAGTTGATTATAATAAACATATAAGATGTTGTACACAACAGTTAACATCTTTATATATAGCTATATTCAAAAGTATCGAACCTATTCATTTAAAATAGATGATTGTTTTAAATAGGATGGTATAATTCAGTTATATAATCAATCCAGTTGACAGTATCAACCTTTAAACTCCTCTCACAAATCTTTCATTCTTTCACTATATCACACTTTGTCTAATCAACTGCTGTTACATTTTATTCGTGTCGATTCATAGTATGAATCCTTGTATCAGACAAAAGTATACATATATATAATCAAGTACGTAGAGTATTCACAGTTATGGAGTTCTACTGAAATTAATAAATCGATTCAATCATTCCTTTTTTTCACCCTTGTTATTTATTCAATTTGAAGCGTAAACATGGATAATCCTCTTCGTTAGATGCATAATTACTAATAAACAGGATACATAGTGTAAAAAAGACATGAGATTTAGTAACACAATCCATCGATCAACAGAAGATATTAAACTCATTGAACATGTCACAAAACCTATCAGTGGTAGATTAAAAATTCTTCATATGCGTACCTTGTAATAGCCCTACTTGTGCATAATAAACTTTATGCATCTGTATAAAAAATATTGCAGATGAACAGTCAGTGTGAATACAATGATAACAAAGCACAGAAGTTTGGGGGAGGGAGGGGTTACAATTGGTTTAAGAATGAAATATGTTACATGTAGATTTTTTCTGTGTAAAATGAAATTGTATACAGAATATACACATTTTCAGTGAGGTTCAACAAATGCAAAATACCTTGAATCATCTTTCTTTTTAACATGATGAGATTAGTGAAAAGTTGACTGAATTCTTGAAAAACTGCGCTACAGAAAGTAGTGGCAACAAACATATTGCTAAACAATAACTGACTTACTAGTAAAAATGATGATTCGTTAAAGCTGCTATTGAAATCATTTATAATCTTTTCTATATTATAATCTGTAGAACGAATAACTGATGCAATAATACTTGACATTTTATTATTATACGTATTGTTGTGATCGATTGACAAGAATTTCAATCTAAAACGATCCACCTTACTATCCCATTCATAATCTTGAGTTAGTTGTATGATAACATCTTTGAATTCAGTCCCTTCTTTGATGATACACTGAATAATTGGCCACTGAGAACATATTTCAAGTCGAAATAGCTATAATTAAAAAGAAAAAGATGATTTAAAAATAAGTGTTTCAAATCACAGTATAATTAATGCCAGACAGTGAAAACGATGATATGCTTAATTCTTTTTCCGAATATGACCGTCTTCCAGAGTATAAAATCTTCAATACTGAGATTGACAGATATGCTTCAAATGACATAAAGTAATACGTATACTCAATACATTTATTAGGTACAGTATACAAGGAAACAATTTTATTTACTGGGTTACTTTCTATGTACGATTAATTGTTCATGATCATATCAAACTGATATAGTGTAGTGGGCGTTGCTGATAAAAAATGGATATAAGTAGTATACGTTGAGAGGTTGGCAGAAATCACAGGGAATTACCAGCAATGGGTAAGGATTCCACCAAGGGAAACACAAGAGACAATGCAAGCGCATGAAGAGAAAATCAAGAAAGAAGTAGAAGAGAGAATGAAGCATATTTTGCAAATGACGGTTTTAGTACAAGGTGTACCATATTTAGTGACTACTGTCCCACTTGTTAACCATAAACGTTCCTTCCTGCATGCTTGTCTGTTACTTCTTTCAACAGCAATATGGAACTCTAGTCTTATGCTAAGTAATAGCACCTTTTACGCATGGTGGGAAGTATAGTGATACGTAAAAACTATATCGATTATTACAGTTTTCGTCTTATCTAAAAGGATAGACTTAATAAATACATCATAGATACCAAGAGATACATCTCAATTCAATTCCTTAACCCCGGAAAGGTTTGTGCACCACACCATGAGCAACACTCACCTAGTTTATCCAAAGTGAAGAGGTGGAACAAGGCTTGGACTTACAGTCACCATCTGATAGTCATGTACAAAAACACAAGCCAATCAACCAAACATCTACTGCATATGGTTAGCTATAATTTTCAGGAAATTTGAGAACGCTACTAAATCACGAAGCATTGTTTTGAAACTTCTGAATACAAATTATCGAAGTTATATTCATGTTAGTGACTGGTAGAGGAGTCCAGAACATGCGTCTCATCCTACTTGGGACCCGCCAGTTGGATGTACCTGCACCTCAGTGTGATGTTGGTCTCATTGACTCGAAACCTTCATTTCAAACGTCAAAGCCACTGAGGCACTATAGACACATTTTGTGCAACAGGCATCAGTTGTTATTATACTTGTAATTTCTCGTTGCTATACAGGGCCGAATCCCTCGAACTCTGCCGTTGGCAGACGGACACCTATGCGAATGCCTTGATACTGCCGAGTATTCATGTTGCTGACTAACAGATGGATCTAGGACGCGCGTTTCGCCCCATTCAGGACTCGTCAGCTGGGTGTACCTAAACATGTACTGGCTTAGAGCCCCAGTCAGAACAACATCACCGACCGAGTTTCAGGCACATCCGGCTGAAGAGCCCCAGACAGGACGAAACGTGCATCCTGAGTCCCTCTGCTAGTCACCAACATGAATATCCGAAAGTACCAAGGCATCTGCATGGGAGGAGCCCATCTCCCAACAGCATAGGTCAAGCAATGCGACCCTGTACAGCAACGGGAAATTACAAGTAGCATAACAACGATATATTGAAGTTTCGAAACAAGTAAGCTAGCTAACTGTGATACTTCCCCACCGATTCTGTACGGTCTAATTTTTACCATGGTTACAGAATCATGATAACGATCACCATTATATTCTAGAGCAACAAAAAAGGTGACAATGGTTAAATTAGTAACTTGACCTTTACGATTTCGGGCAACTTTAAAGTCCACCCTAGCTACTTTTCGGATAACCAATTACGTTTCTCTATTTAATGAAAAAAATACTCTTCCAGACAGCATATCTGAACGCGATTGGTTATTTTGGCAGTTGTTAGGGTGGCCTTTAAAGTCACTTATGATACCTGTAAAACAATGAGAGTGATAATTTAGCTCAACAGCATTTTAATCCTCTTCCTTTCTTGGTAATTCAGTCACCATCAAGGACCTCCCTCAACTGATAACCTCATGATCAAATTATTATTGTAGTTGTATCGACAACTATTATAGTCTTCAAAATAACTTACTCATACAACCACTCACTCCTTAGTGAAGCTACAATCATATAAACTAAAGTCATATTCATGATTAGTAAACTTAGTATGTCATCCCTAAAAAACATTCAAACTGCGCAGTAGAATTTTCACGTCTACTCACACAAACATACATATCATGAACAAGAGAAACGATAATTTTAACTTTACTTCAAACCAACGTATGTCAACCATAACTTACTGAAATGTCATGCAAGTGAGAAAATAGGTTGTCAGTATCTGAATCTGTTGATTTTATGCTTAGACATTGCAGTTTCATTTTTAACTTAGTCACTCTGGAATTCATTACCTGAAAGGTAAAAAGAAATTTAATTAGAAAAAGATATCTTTTGCTAAGGTATGCAAATCTACAAGTCCGGATACAATTAAAGTGGTCTGATCATAAATAATTTTGATCCTTAAGAAAGCTGAATTTGGGGCGAATTTAAAGGCCACCCTAGCAACGATCGAAACAACCAATTAGGTTCCTTCATTCCGACTGACTAGGCAGATTTCCATAAAATACAGAAGTTTGATTGGTTAGTTCAGTTGTTGCTGGGGTGGCCTTTAAAATCACTGTAAATATGCAGGTGATTTTTAAAAAACCTAAGCTAGGTAGCAACATCGTTAGAGAGGAGTGGCTTAAAGACCACCCTGAAACTGCTGAGATAACCAATTAGGCTTCTCTAATTTATGAAAAACCGCATTTATAAACGGAATAGCGAAATCTGATTGGTTATTTCCGCAGCTGCTAGGGTGGTCTTAAAGCCGCTCTAAGAAGTGGGGGTTGGTACTAAGGTTTATTGACTTGATCGTTGAATTGGCTGTCCGTTTAAGAGAATGACTTTAAAGGCCACCCTAACAACTGCTGAAATGATCAGTCAGTCTTCGATATTTCTCCTGAGAAAGTACTTTTTCTTAAAATAGAGGAATTATAATTGGATATCTCATCAGTAACTTTACGTGGCCTTCAAAGTCACCCGTTTAGGGTGGTACCTATATACTACTTAAAAGTAATAAAAATTTGTGTCTACGATGCCTCGAAAAATCATTGCTGTAATATACTATGTATGCATTTTCTCTTCATTAAGACAGTATGATAGAGAAATTGATGGCATTATGGCTTCACCCTGAGGTCGATTAATGTGTATTTCTTGCCAAGCTGAAAAAGGACAGCTGAAAGATGAAATCAGTCGTCTAGATGTGTACAAGTACATACACCCCTTCCATTTTTTCTTGTCATTGAAGTAGCAATGGAGATATCTTCTCACCTGACTCCACATAGATTGACCTCCCCATATGAGACTCCTTAGTCGACCGAGAATGCGAAGTTCTGTTAGTTAAAGATGCTGTAGTTTCAGGACTGGTCTGGTTTCGTACCTAGTCTGAAAATAGGGAGTGAAGTGATTTGGCGCTTTCACCACTTCGTTCATCTGAGAAGTGGGATCAGCCTTATGGAATCTCACCTACCAACGAAATATTTGGACAAAAACAAAAGGCTCGATTAGTTTACGCCATCTATAGAATCATCGACCTATCTGATTATCTATTAAGGGCCACAGTTATAATGCAGCAGTTTGCTCTGCTTCTGTTCTATTATATGGCTGTAAGATAGACACTAAAGGTGGAGAATATGAGATTTCAGGTGTTCGACCACCGTAATATTCGTAGCACTGGTAGTGTTTCGCGGGATGATCGTGTTAGCAGCACAAAAGTCATAAATAAAGTTTTAGATTGGGAAGTTAATCAATGAGATCATAGTCTTCATTGACTCAGGTAGCTAAGACGTGCGTTACATATGCCCAATCTCCATCTACCCAAATACACAATGTTGACTAAAGAAGGGGTTAAAAGTTAAAAGACGACCATAATGAAACGTGACATCAGTCTGTAGTGCACCTTCTTGGGACCAAAATGCAACTAGGGCTAAAATAAATAGATTAAATTAAATTAACTAAATATTTACTAGATAAACTTCTGGCTTGCCTCTGGATGCTTAAGCTGTTTTAAGTTTTGTTTTAACGAGCATTTATCCGAGCAGGCTTCGACGCCATTTTGCGTTCCCCTTGTGCTGATTAACATGCACATCCTCAGAGTCCCTAGTTCAGCTATACTAGCCAGATAAGCTGGATAAACTTCTTCCCTATTAATTACTATTACACTTATTCTAACTAAATATATTGCTTATTTGAATATATTCCAGAATATCAGTCTTTTTGATTTGTGTTTCGTTATCAGTACTTACACGTTAGGAATGGTACTGATTAATCAGGTACTAAAGCACATCAAGTTAAGTGGGGTTGGTGAAACGTTACGTAATAGTCACACAACCACTAACCCCTACAAGTCCATGGAGAGAATGTTCAGAAACGCTGATTTTCAGGTTGCAGATGATGCGATAATAAAAACGATGGTTGTTGACTTGAGGTGATATATCTCAGAATCAATATCAAAGATGTAAATGAAGTTATATGTGATCATCATCCTAATCGATGCATCATAACATTTCGTTGTTTGCTCTATCCTCTCTTATTTTCTTCCTATGACTTTTACGTACTTTTCAACACACCTTTTGCTACTTCTCTATTTTCTATCTTGATATCTTCTATCTTAATGTGTAGACGTGAGGTCCCATGTTGATACTAACTGATTGGATGCTTGCCAGGACCACATCGATGACGTACTCACAATCCTAGATTCGAGTTTCCAAACAAACAAGTTGCTAAGGAAGCAATGGATATTCCCACCTTCTTCCTTCACTTATGAAAAGAAATATGAAAATAAGTTACAAATCGAATGTTTTGTGAATGAGAGGAAATGATTGCTCCCTGGGCAGAAATGTGTACACAAAGATCATTTCTTTAGGTTAGTATATAGATTTGTTTAGCTGTATACCTATTCAGCATAAACAAAATCCAGTTACCTGTCCTGCAAACAGAGCCAGAAGAATTAACTCCGATTACTTGATACAACATATCAATCAGAATATACTGATGACACGCTGATCAAAATGAATTATGAGCAGATACATGGAAAAAATGTAAAAGAAAATTGAACAACTGGCTGCTTAAGAGAAATCAATGTTCATGAAGCGCCATTTTAATAAAGATTTACATAAACAAATTCTACACCAGAAATTGTCTCGAACCATAATAATAACTTTCTCTGATCCATACTTTTCGAGTGACTTAAAAGGCCACCCTAGCAACAACTGAAATGACCAATCAGGTTTTGATATTTTGCCTGGAAAAAGAACTTTTTCATAAAATAAAGGGATGTAATTGGATGTCTCATCAGTTGCTAGGATGGCCATCAAAGTTGCCCTTACTTTTGTCCGTCATATTTTATTCGACCAATCATTGTTGCTCAAGCGAAAGACAAGTTACACAGATTTACCACTTCGTTATTCGCTTCATGGAGAAGGGTGTATCAAAAGTAAGTGCTAGTTAACATTTTATTGAACACCTACGTTTTTGGTTATTAGAAAGGGATATATGAAGTGAACATGAAGTTCACTTTCATCGCATTCAATCGAAAGTTGTTACTTAATAGACAACTTCAAAGTGTTTAAGATAACATATCGCCTTTGAATTGGGTTCATATTCGTCTCATACACACTGCTGAAGTTCTAAGAATCAGAAGGGATAACCCTGGTTTTTGTACAGTCGATATGTCTGCTTTTGGTCAGAGAAAAACGTTATAAACGATGTCACTCAATAAAATTTCTCCAACTACTTTTTAGTTGATCACATTTTCCATCATCACATAGCTATCAAATATCTTTGGACTTTAATTAGTATTTTACACTTCATCCTTGTGTATAAGAAAGAGGTTAACTTGAGAGGCATGATTATTATTGGTTATAGTAATAGTAGTAGCAGCCTTAATATTCGGTACATCTTTGGTAGATAAATATATTCTACTGGTTTGCAAAAGTAGTTGGTTACGAGTCATTCTAATCTACACACATCTCTAACCGGTTCAAACACTTGATATTTTCTGTGCTTGAGTTTGGCTCCTCCTTAACGGTCTACCGAGAAACAAAATACGATGCCATAGCCAGGTTATTACAATCATCTGAGTTGAGATAGCCAACCTGCATTCTACGAGGACGAATGAACGATAAGCAAATTGTATACACTTCTCTTCTATTTTACATGCTAATAGTGAAGTAGACCTTGGGGAAAGCATCATTTTGATTATACAAGAAAATTTTACAGAAAAAAAATAATGAATGAAATTATCAACCTACTGATAACCAGGTAGAAAGGCGTTCTGCTAATTCATAACCATGTAGAAGTTGTTCTCGATAGTTTTTAACATGTTCCAAAAAATCTACAACCTCCTCATTTATTTTAATTTGCTTATACCATAAAGGAATAGAAAAAGATGGTAAACATATACTACCTTCATCGGCTTTCATCACTATATCAGCATTATTATCATTTATCGAACCTTGATTACTATTGACTTCAGGTTGGCTGATGTTTGCATTGAAAACAGAACTCGGTGATAAATTCTCAATATCAGTAAACATAGTTTCACTGATCAAATCCTGAAGTTCACCAATCAAATTCTGAAGAGAGAAAAAAATCAAGCATATAAACAAAATTATTTTGGAATTTTATTTTCCAAGACGATGAGTAAAGTAGTTAAGAAAAAAAGTGACTAGTGATATAAACAACAGTGACTTTTGCCAAGAACGGTGGTATGAATAGCTAACGGGTTTTAGTTAATGGAACATACTACATGCAAATAGTACAGAGTGAAAAGAACCAATCATTACTATTGTCAGCAGTGAGAGACTGTACCTTTCATTCCAAGTGGGTTTCAATACCATGAGATATCGTATACAGTTGTAAATGTGTCTTACGTCTAGCAGTTTCATGTGTTGTTCAAGAAACTCTGACAGGTCCATTATATTAATATCATCTTGTCTTCATCGCCACTGATTAGTTAAACAATATATTTGTAGTTGATTGGCAATCGATAGATGAACTTAAAAATTATTATTTTAAATGAAACAGTGATAGGCACAAGAGGCTATTCATGCTAACCACGGAAGGTGAAGTTGATATAGTCCCCACGGTTGTTTCGAAATAAAATAGATCCAATACTGAAGGCATTAACAAAGCGAAAAAGTGCTATAACGAGCGGTGAAAATGATTGCTACACAGCAATCACAAAAGGTCATTCCAAAACAATACAGAAATGTAGGAACTATCAACATGTGAGGTTAGTAGTTATCTATATTCCAACAGAAAACCAACACATCTGTATGAGATTCACATAAATGAGGTTAACTTTTATTCTATCCTTGCTTAGATAATGAACAACATTAATTGTTTTGTGGTTACCATCTTAAAAACATCTTATCTGGACAATATTGGTTTTAATACCTGGCAATGGCTAAAATTATCATAGCTACGTTGAACACTCTTGGTACAACACAACTAGGTATCTGAACTCTGTCGTGGCATGAGGAGAAGATCTGGACACTAGCCTATGGTAGCTATGGTTTCAGTTTCGATTTCACAACAGCGAACTAGTGACAAATCGATGGTTATTTATGCGGAGCCTGCTAGGTTATAATATACTGGTCGATAATCTTTGGAGCAAATCTAAAGAATAAAAAAATTAAAGATGCAGTCGATGGAGCGACATTTTACATCAGGTACATCGATAACACTTTTACTGTTTGTAATGATTCATCCCATGATCTCAGGTTTTAATAACGCTCACAACAACATTGAAGTATGAAAATGATAGGAAGTTCAATTTTCTCCCTAGAGTCGTACAAAGTAGGACAGATGGTATGCTCCAAAGGTCCTATTATCGGAAAAGTAAGTCGGGTGGTACACCTACGTGAATATTAACGGCTTTTATGCCACCAACTACAAATGATAACACAGTTAAAATGATATATTCTTGGGATAAAGTGGAGAAGGAGTTGCATACAGTTAAAAGGGATGTCTACGGTACAATGGATATCTCAACGAGCATTTGTCAACAGATACAGGAAACAAAAGACAAAATGTTGAAATTTACTGTCGACAAAACGCCTGTATTCACTTGACTCAATTTCAAAAATGATATTACAGGACCTACTAACAGACAAGTGAAGACATCACTGACTACGACGTTATCTGAAGCCAGGTTTAATTCCTGTGTACTAAACGATGTGATCTTTAGTACAGTGGAAATCCGATAGATACTCTTCCTATATTACCTCCAACGGTGAATGTAGTTGTTGAAACAGATACATTTGAAGAAGAGAATGAAGGGCGTATCTAAGATTTCCTGAACGGATTCCGAAGAGCCTACGAGTGAAGGGAGGTAGCACTCTGGACATGGCAGTTACCACCTAATTAACGCTGAACACCAAGCAGATGTCTTCAATTCCTCCAAGATACCAAACAAGTAAACAAACAAAAGCTCAATTCTCCTGAAGTTTGCAGAGACGATTGTCGTCAAACGTGATTTGTGTTCAAACAGAATCTATAGTCAACTTATGTATCTACCATGGTAACCTATCTTGACAATTATTTGCTTACATCATCCTCTATCAACTCTAAATACTTATTTCGTCGCATCATTTTTCGTTCAAATCGAATGTTTTTAATTAACTGAGCTTAACTCACGATATTTTGCTTATTTATCGTATGAAATACTCACGTCGACTTACATTGTTAAGTCTACCTATTTGAACTGCTACTCCAATCGTTATTTTTACTCCAGAAACTTCCAGTGAATGATGTATATATATTGTGGAAATTCGCTACTATTTATTAACCTTCCTTGGGTTCACCGTTATGACTGACCTTTATTGTATGACTATTTCTTTCAGTTTTAACCATTGGTGGATATTGTTTTCTTCCAGAGGATTTTGAGTAAAACTATATATTCTGATCTTCTATCTAGGTTGTAAGTAGATGACAAGATGCCATCGAAATAAAATTGATCCATTTTATCCTGCTCGCATTGCTCTTCTTGTTCTTTTAAAATTCATAAAGAGCAATTTATTTGTGTATGAAATAGCTACCCTGTTATCAGGTAAATTAAAGTGTGTCTCCGTACAAATTCAAATGCAGACGAAACTAGACAACCTTCCCGCAAATAGATGCAGAATACAGTTGCTTAAAGTCTGCTTATGTAGGAACATCAGTGCTTTACCTAGATAAAGTCTGGTGAAAACGAAGAATTCTATGAAACTTAAGAGGTCTGCTCAAAAGATTAACCCTGCTTTCCGAAAATACCCTTTCATTATGGGTTCAGTAAGTGATTACAGTTTTAAAGTGGGATTCAAGAGCAGTTACATGAATCTATGGTCTCATTTACCTGGATTTTTTCCCGAGAAATTTAGGCCCACTATACACATACTCAGGAAGTGGACACACAGCCCAAAAAAATGACGAACTGAAATTTGGACAAAGAAATACAGTCATTCATTACTAACTTGAAGCAGACAACCGAATGAAAGTTGTGCAAGGTTTCCAAGGGAGAATAAATAATTAGTGCTAAGAATGTCACTAAGCGCACAGAGATAAAAAGAAATTTTTTTCTTTTGTCCCATCTATTACTTTCGAAAGAAATGTATTGTATGGGAACACAGATTAAAAAGGCATGCAGAAGTGACTCCTAGTAACTACTTCCACCATATATGAAAATCTTCCGGAGCATATATACACATGCTTGTGTGTTAAGCTGAGGAAAACAAAATGAGAATCAGTAGTTAGACGGATGATTTTGTTTGCATAGCATAAATAAAAATGTAACCCCGGTTACCAGAGTAATCAGCAGTGAATCATATATCACTTCTCTACTCATTCCTCGCCTCAACCGCATTTAACAATATAATGGATTCGGCGAATTTTTTTTCATCGCTGAGTCCCACTTCTTATTGACTCAAGAGGTTTCTACTCGTTTGCTTACGCACTTCATAAATTATTATTTGTAAACTGCATCCCCTTTTACACATAATTCTGATAACCCTTTGCTGATTCAGTTTTTGGCCCTTTTACACTTCAGTAGAATTATTATATCGGACGTTTATGTTGGTTTAGATATTTGTTAAATGTTGGTCACCCGGTCATATATGTCAGGAAGCCATGAAATATCAAATGGATTCATTTTACATTGCTTTTTAATATCCTGCCTCCCTCGACTTGTTTAAGCCTACTACGGAGATAGATGTATTTCAGTGATAAACATGAGGAATATCTCTTTGAAAGACTAGTCTAAAAGTATTTATTCTATCATACTAATCTGACTACTAACTAGTAGTATACAAATATGCACCACATTGTTGACTACAGTACCAATTGACCTAGGATCTAATTCGTAGGAGTTCTGTTAATGTTGTAGATACATCTTCCTGTGGATCACCGTAAAGCAGGAAACGTACTTCGAGTCAAATTTTCTGATAAACGATCTTTCATTATCCTCTAACTTAGCACTCACTGATGCATTCCAATGTCTACAAGACTACACTTTGAAGCACACTTGTTCTCATTCATTCAGTGCATATATACCTCATCCTACAGTGCTGGATATAATAAACTTCATTGTTAAATCATCCACTTCAAGGATACATCATAGAGAAGGATAGTATGCCCAAATCTTTATTATGTTTAAAAGATGTATGACTGTAAATAACATATTTTAAGATGAAGGAGAATATTTGCAATTAACGGTGTGAGCTCTGTGAAAGAAGCGTTTTTCGAACAAGTAAAGTGAATCTGAAGAACATCTCTACTTAAATATAAGTAAGGCATGCTGTTGCTATATTATGCATCTGTTTGACCACTAATAATGATGACAAGTTGTACCAGAAGTATCATGGATTTATCCATTGTGAAATAGTGAAGACATATAAGATATAAGAATGAATCAATCCCCTGTCTATTCAATGAATCAGTAAATACCATATATCCCGAAGAGATGAATACGTTTACTGATATAGTTTCATCATTCAAAAACGGATTCAATTTCAAACGTTAATTACAGTTTACACAAATTTCCGAGTTTATTAAATAACTAAACAACAAACAAAAATAATATTGTTAAATAAATATACCAACTATAATTCCTACTTACATTTGTCTCAGATATCCTACTTCTTAATGATTCAGCGCAAATTTCGAACATATTACACGTTGAATTCGATTCATTTTCAGATAGTATACTCGCCTCATTAAATAACGTTGAAGTAGACTGTTTAAATGTGTCCTTATAAAAAAGAGGAATTATAATAAAGAATATTACTGGTCAGTGAAACATGACATGCAAGTGTTATGCAGCGCAAATAAGTAGGAATAAGTTAACACTAAATGTATGTAGCATAAAAAGCAGTTATCTCTTGTTACTATCTTCTAATTTAAGAACTTAGGAATCAAGACTTTACAACACAGCTTAAAACAATAGTCAACATTTCAAACAGTTACTCAACGATAATTACCAATATAGTTAAACTACTAATTAAAACAAATAATTCTCTCAGCTGGCGGTCTACTTGAACCTTGGGCTATCAAATTTATTCATCGAACATTTTTTATCAAATTCTTTCTTTCCAATTTGTTTTAATTACTTAAATATGTCCTTTGAAAGTATCATGTATCCTTGTACATATTTTTAAACTGTTACCAACTCTCCGTTTCTCGAGTCAATAACAAAGCAGAGAAAAAAACGTTACGTTATATGGAAATGGATTTTTCAGTGCAAAAAAGTACATTATATTTCTATCCGTTAGATGCTTAGCTTGAGTTGTAGATTTTTGTACTGTCTGAATGAACCGCCACCACTTAAATCACACTTGCATTTTTGTTGATTCTTCATTGTGGACCAGATGCCTATCTAGAACCAGCTGGCTATTTCACATTATTGCCTTGAATACTGTTGTTATTATTAACGTCATTCCAATGCAATAACCATTCCGTCTGAAAGTATTGTTCTGCGAGTGAATTTGTTGAAAAATTATTTGATGAGAATTCCATACTGTACCAAACATATTGTTTGGAGTCAAGCGACTGACTATTATTATTACTAACAAGGAATGACTGAAAATATCAAAATCAGCTTAGTGGTATTTGTCTGTATTTTGTGTTTATCGGTTCTTATCCCTTCACAGCTCCCAATATCCCTAACTTGCAGCTGGCTGAAGTGATTCTTGAGTATCACCACTTGGATTATAATTCATAGATATCAAGATCGCTGATCATACTATCCCCCACCACCAACTCCGACCTCACAATCATCACTACACATAATTTTACTATCGAATTTAAATTACCAGAACCTAATTCAAAAATCTTCCTTCCTCTTAATTTCATCAAAAGATCTCAGAAGTAATGGGAGGAAGCAAATTAAAAAGACTGATAAATGTTAACAACGTAAACTGATGACCACTAGAAATTAGTGCGGAAATGAGCTCAACAGAAGGCAAATTAAATGGATTCAGACTAATGGTTATAAGAAATCGAGATCTTAGTTAGATTTCAATAACCAGTTCACTTCTAGCTAAGAATCTAGTTAGCACCTGTTTATCATAACTACCGTTCGAGAACTAAGTAGGCAATTCGAACATGGGTTGTTCATACTTTTCCGTGACCGAAATTCGGCTCCAATCGTTCTTCTTCTTCTTCTTTGTATCAAGATGTCGCTAAAACCGAAAGCTATTTCACTCAATCCCCACTGCATAGTCAGTTAAAATAGTAACTACTCTTCAAAGTAATTATGACTTACTTTAAGGTTGTCAAATTTCACTACAGCTTCTTCAAGATGCTGATTATTAAGGTGCATTTGTTCACTTTCTTTCAGTGTTTCACTTAATCTTTCGGTAACTTCATTCCGTAACGTCGTAATTTGATTCATTCTACTGACAAACACATCATTCTCTATTAAATCGCAACAGGAAAGTTTGAGTTTACCTAAAAGTTGATTTTATGATTAAAAAAAACGAAATTGGATGTATTTTCAAATTGACTGAAAAGCAATTAACGTTAGTTAATTAATATTATGCATCTGGATGCTAGCTAATACTATTTAGTACTGAGAAAAACATCTCCGTAAGATCACTTGCGGAGATGAAATTTCAAGTGGATGTAGAGAAGATAGTAGCGATGAAGATAACCAAACAACAACAACAAGCACCATTCTCCATCAATCGTAGAAAATTAAAAAAATTTATCCTTTCCACTCACCACCTAAGGCAGCATCCTTTCAACTACAGGCAGCGGCAGCAGCACAAATGAGGACATCAAAACAACCAGGATCAGAAAAACACCACCAACACACACCTTCATTAACCTGAAATCAGTGTAGAGATCTACTCCACTCCACTCCACTCCACTCAACATAAAGAACATGATCCGGATTTTCAACACTAATTCACTCAAAGTCAGTGCTTCTATGTGATGGTTCAGAAACTTGACGGCGCGTCACAAAAAGCATTCCCAACAAACTACACACATTCATCAACAGCTGCCACCTACGCTCCCCCACTCGATACTGACACTGAAGATCAGATAGACGGTCAGCCGGAAAAAATAAGCAACAAGGAACTCACTCTGACTGACTGGCTGGCAGACAGGCATTCAATGAATCAACCAACAACCCATCACCCAACAAATATGCAGAAGAAAGTGGAGATGGACTGGATTGCACATACACTGAGAAGACCGATTGCAGACATCACGCACCAGACCAGTCATTCGAGTGGAACCTGTATGGGAAACGACGAGTTGGGTGTCCTAGCTGAGGGTGCTGAGGGTGATATAGAGGAGAACACATGAGGAAGAAATGAAAGTGTGTAGACAGTCGTGGCTGCAGGTTTTGAAGACTTCAGAGAAGAGAGTGAAATGGTGACATGCTACTGAAGCTGTATGTGCCCAAGGAACAAGTAATAATAAGATCACCTGCAAACTATGTGCGTTTTCATAAATAACTGCTGGTTATAGAGCAACCATCTGAGTTCTAATCATCCGTCAGTCCATGTCAGTCAAACATCGTAATTATCATAGTCCATAAAATTAGCTTACTGAATAAGTCGATATCAGTAGTAAATGGTCTCGCGTCTATAGTGCATCTATTAACATCTTTCTTCGAACAAAAAACTTTAGTAACCAACACATAAGACTGAATATAAACAACAATTCATTATTAATCTTTAGAAAATGAAACTCATTCTTCAAGGTCAATTGAGATATTCGCCCAAATCCCTCTTTATATTTTATTTGTTCAGAAAATAAACAAACAACAACAAATTCAAACATAGAAAAAACTGGGTGTATCTTTGCCTATATCACATGCTTTCATTTCATTTATACAATATGTATGTATATAGTCGGCATATTTTAGTACTTTTGAAGAAAGAAAATGCATTTCATATTTCACCTGACCTTACCTTATAACACTCATTCTAATCTCTGTAGTTATTTATGATTATTTCGAAGTTGAAGATTAGATAAACACTATGAAGAGTTAGACTTGAAAGCAAACCAAGGTATAAAATAAGTTGATCAAACGAAAATCTAGTAATCTATATGTTAGGCAATGAATTATGTCTATGAAATTGAGTATTATTTGCTTATGCAAACCTCCAGTTGATGGAGTGATATTTTAATCAATAAGTCAATGGCAGAAAGCCTATTTATTGCCTATTATTATATACAACTAATCACTTTTTGTATAAATATTTTGCATAGATTAAATAAATGTATGTAACAAAGTAAAATTAAGTGCCAAAGACAAACATAAAGTGAATGGACTTTGCACTTATTAACATTTGAAAAAATCAAGTTGTAAATCTGTAAACATAAGGGCAATCGTATGATCAAGGCAACCGATAAACTGTTATGAATGCAATTTTAACTTCATAGGAGTTTACTTGCTATCCAACAACTAATTATTTAGTCTACACCCTACTGATTGAAGTTGATGATGAAATAGAAGGTAATTTGGACACTGAGAAACAATCTGACTCTGTTTGATATGCGTTTAGAATATTCAGAACTATTATTATTATTATTTTGTCCCTTGGGTTCCTAGTGGAACATACAGCTTCAGTAGCACGTCACCATTTCACTCTCTTCTCTGAAGTCTTCAAAACCTGCAACCACGACTGTCTACACACTTTCATTTCTTCCTCATTTGTTCTCCTGTATATCACCCTCAGCACCCTCAGCTGGGACGCCCAACTCGTCGTTTCCCATACAGGTTCCACTCGAATGACTGGTCTGGTGCGTGATGTCTGCAATCGGTCTTCTCAGTGTATGTGCAATCCAGTCCATCTCCACTTTCTTCTGCATATTTGTTGGGTGATGGGTTGTTGGTTGGTTCGTTGAATGCCTGCCTGCTGCCTGCCAGCCAGCCAGCCAATCAGAGTGAGTTCCTTGTTGCTTATTTTTTCAGGCTGACCATCTATCTGATCTTCAGTGTCAGTATCGAGTGAGGGAGCGTAGGCGGCAGCTGTTGATGAATGTGTGTAGTTTGTTGGGAATGCTTTTTGTGACGCGCCGTCAAGTTTCTGAACCATCACATAGAAGCACTGAATTGAGTGAATTAGTGTTGAAAATCCGGATCATGTTCTTTATGTTGAGTGGAGTGGAGTGGAGTGGAGTGGAGTGGAGTGGAGTGGAGTGGAGTGGAGTGGAGTGGAGTGGAGTGGAGTGGAGTGGAGTGGAGTGGAGTGGAGTAGATCTCTACACTGACTTCAGGTTAATGAAAGCCTAGCAACAAGTTAAAGGATAGGAAATGAAATGATGAAATATGTGTCAAAAAATCCACTTATCGACCTTAATTTCATAATTAACAAATTGTAAAGATGGATATAAATGGATCGTTTGCGGTTTAATCAGCTGATGATAACTCTGGTGTTGGTGTGAAATTCAACAGCTTATCAAAATATACGTATCCTCTTTGACAAATACGACTAACCTATTAAACAGGTATTATGGAAGGTAGACATTATGAGACTATAGGATTTCCATTGTAGATTTTCCCCAAATAATGCTCGCGAGTAGCAAAAGCACCAAGTGAGGAATATAAAAAAACCAGGAGTTGGTCATATTAAGTAACTCCAGCAATTGTAGTGGCTAATAAATTATACCCCTCAGATGTCAGGAAACAATAGTTGGGAATCATCGGTGATATGATTTGAAAACCGACCACAGTGACATAAACTTATTCCCTTTACAACGTCTTCAAAGTTCCGAATATCTGAGTAATCATCGATCCATTCTATCTCCCTCTCTCATATACTTTTTAGAAATACCATTAAACTTTTATTCATAACCTCTTTCTGCGTTGTTAAGATGTCTGACAACATGAATCGATGCACTTAAATGTACGAAGTTCTAGTTGATCAGTTTCATTTATGTTATAAATAAAACAGTTTAACGCTTCTTCGGTTGGATATTTTGGAGAGATTTACAGATAATATGAATTAAACATGGTTTTATGCGTAGAAATATTTTCGAGGCTAGTGAAATTAACTGATTAAGGGAATAGTGACACTCTGGGTGTTCATAAAGAAACTAGGTCAATAAAAAGAACTGCAAAAGCTGTTCGATCTATATAGTCTACTGCAAACTGAATATGCCATGTCACTACTACTAACGATTTCCATTAACGTTAACTAAAATCTTCAAAATCCATACCAAAAGTCTATAGCTTTATACACATTTTAAATCAAAAGTCTTACGATGTGGCCATCAACGGGAGAAACTTTAAGGAAGTTATCTCTCCCACTCACCACCTAAGGCAGCATCCTTTCAACTACAAGCAGCGGCAGCAGCACAAATGAGGACATCAAAACAACCAGGATCAGAAAAACACCACCAACACACACCTTCATTAACCTGAAATCAGTGTAGAGATCTACTCCACTCCACTCCACTCCACTCAACATAAAGAACATGATCCGGATTTTCAACACTAATTCACTCAATTCAGTGCTTCTATGTGATGGTTCAGAAACTTGACGGCGCGTCACAAAAAGCATTCCCAACAAACTACACACATTCATCAACAGCTGCCGCCTACGCTCCCTCACTCGATACTGACACTGAAGATCAGATAGATGGTCAGCCGGAAAAAATAAGCAACAAGGAACTCACTCTGATTGGCTGGCTGGCTGGCAGGCAGCAGGCAGGCATTCAACGAACCAACCAACAACCCATCACCCAACAAATATGCAGAAGAAAGTGGAGATGGACTGGATTGCACATACACTGAGAAGACCGATTGCAGACATCACGCACCAGACCAGTCATTCGAGTGGAACCTGTATGGGAAACGACGAGTTGGGCGTCCCAGCTGAGGGTGCTGAGGGTGATATACAGGAGAACAAATGAGGAAGAAATGAAAGTGTGTAGACAGTCGTGGTTGCAGGTTTTGAAGACTTCAGAGAAGAGAGTGTAATGGTGACGTGCTACTGAAGCTGAATGTTCCACTAGGAGCCCAAGGGACGAATAATATGTAAAATATGATGTGTTGACAGTTTGATATCAGGCAATTTTGAAGTTTTTTTCAGATACCGCCTCCTTCTAGCAACACCGTACATCTCCCTGTATGATATACATAACGGGTGATGTAAATTTTTCATTTGATTCACGTTGTTAAACTCATCGGCCGACTGAAGTATAAATCATCGACCTACCACATTAGTATAGAAAATATCTTAATTATATGAGTAAACAAGGATATACACACTGCAAGAACTGAATACTTCAGATTCTATCCAATATAAGATTGATGGTGTGTATACTGTTACAGTTCCAAGTTAAGACGAAATAGCTACATTAGTCGTGAATAGTTCATCAGCTGATAGTTTTTCGCGTTAATACAATCTCAATAAGGTCACTCATGATAATTGAAAAAAAAAAAGCAAACTTTTTAACAGAAAATGATTTGTTATATTAAAGTTTTCACTACTCATGTAATACTCACTTTCTAGGCAATCTAATTCTTTTAAAACACATTTCATAACCTGTACTCCATTGCTGATATTACTACTGTCATATTTATCGCTTTCATCATGTCCTTCAGGAGGGTATAGCCCAAAAAAGTTTCCAACTACAGCCATTCGTTCACTGATTTTGACTAGATGCTTGCTATCATCAACTTCATTTAAACATGAAGTTGTCGGCATCAACCAACGACTCTTATGAGCTGCATTAGAAAGTTGTTCAATATGCTTGTCAAACTTGTTGATATAATCACTAGCTTCACTAGATAGTGATATACAAGTATTCTAAAATCAATTTTTAAAAAACAGTAAATTATTTGTACACTAATGATAATTGAGAATGGAGTTAATCAATTTCAATATATCCTGCATCGTTAAATGATGTCAAACTGAAGACCAGAATTTTTGTTTCAACCCAGTTTAAAAAATTTGAACACTTTTTCACAAACTAAAACATGGGAATATTTAAAGAGGGTAATTTATATCGTTTCTGACGTTGAAAACTGAGATATGAAATAGGTAGCGTTATATTGAGAGACTAGAAATGATACCTTTCTGAATTCAATGTTCATTATCGATCACAAATAAAGAAGTTCAAGTAATTGTTAGGGGCATATTGATGGTAATGGGGATAGGTAGTGAAGTCAAAGGAAGTGGCGAAAAGTTGGTTATGGCTAGGTGAACTAAGCATATGGTTGGCAGCGTATTGAGGACAGATTCATCCTGACTACCTACACTATGGAGTTTCATATTTTCGTAATGTCCATGAACAAGAAACCAGATTATTTCTATATGATGGCAGACAACAAGAGATGCCTCTTCGAGACCAGTGTAAGAAAAATAACTTTTTTGAGATTTAGATGCGGATTTATTTGTTACGTTCTGACTCGGAGAAGAAACTCTTACCGTCAACAATGGAAGATTGTAAGATAAAAAGGAAAGAGATATTTTCGAAAGCAACCACTTTTAACTAGCTCCGCTTTCAGTAGGGAAGGTAGTATCATCGTGATACTGGTGGTCATCTACGGGAGACACCTTTAGAGTTGTCACACTTCTAAGCAGTCAGTAACAAGATTTTGTCCTCAGACCCTCATCACACCCTGAGCTATTTACGATTCAAATAACATTCCTAATATGATTGGACTGTCAGCAACAATCGTTCTAACTAGTATAGCCCGTAGGGCCATTGCAATATGTAATCCCTACCACCACATCAAGGCAGCAGCTGTTGGTCATTAAACATTATTAATCCAACAACAAGATCCACTGGAATATTTCCAGGGATACACAACAGCATTCTCTCTAATTCATGAATCAGAGATCAGAAGAAATTATCAACACACAGGCGAATCCAAAGATAAACTTCAATGATTGAGTACATAGAGGTGGGAAAGTCGATCCATTTCAAAAACAAAGGCCAATGATCAAGCATCTAGTTAAATTGAAGGTAGAAATCGTTCAAACAACCCATCTTGTTGTCTAATCTGTTTATAGTTAACTACTAAAACGCTCAGGAAGAATACGGCCCGTCCAATTCCTTGTGAAGATGAATTGAGCATAACCACCAAGATTTCAAAGGCTCGTATTCATAATATATAACCGACTAAGACTGCTGGATGAAGTTATTCAAACCAGTTTTAAAGTGTGCTTGTGAAAGATTGGAACTATACAAGATGAAGTGATGTAATCCCATCACTAGGTGGTAATTCTACTACATAAACATTTACGTCTTCGTCATATATTCAGTGGCGATCTTCTGACTAACAATGATAAAGTGAATACAGAAAGGGTTACAACTAACCTGTGATTCTTGAGGGTATTCTAGAGAATCTAATACATTTGTATCTGATAACAATTCTGAAGGTATTTTATGACTTCCGATTTCACAAAGATTAGTGATCATTTGGTCATAATAAGATATTATATTTTTCAAATCTGTCATGAAATGTAAAAATCTTTGAGAAGTTGAATCAATGGGATCCAAAAGCTTTGAGACATAAGATGAAACTGTTGTATTTGAGCAATTTTTTTCTTGAACAATAGGCAATTCGTTAAGGGATTGTTGAAACTGTTCTACTGAATTTAACAGCTCATCAATAATATCCCCATGATTATCACTAACACTTTCCAGTAATTGCTGATTAAAGAAATTGCAGAAAATAAAACAAATTAGTGACAACATTACGCACGAAAGAAGAAGTATGAAGAATACACAAATTAGTGTAAACTACCCATCGGTGAAGACGATTTTTTTGACTAATTGAAATATACAGATGCATGAAACATGCAGCAAAACAAAACACTTTTGTGGAATCTAACCAACAAGTATGCACCGATTCGAAACGAAAGCCAAGTCAGAGTAGTGCATTATGAACGAACTCAGTCACATACAACAGGTGATAACATATTTTAACAGGCTACATTCCTGTCGGAATTTTCGCTAAGAGATAGCCAATCAAGATTGATGTAAAGTTACAAATGAGTGAACTTGTCTACAGTCAGTAAATCAGCTCCTGATACCTAAAACTAGGTTTTTAAGAGGTTGTCTAGCATTTTACTGACGTGAAACACGCACCAAATATGCCCAGGATTTTTTTTAAAACATTCACATAACACTCTATGTTCTCAGCATCTTCATTTAACAGGAACAATGTGAGGGTTAATTATATCCCCTTGTTTTAAAAAGCTTTGGTAAACAGAATGGTATTGTAAACTAACCAGCTACATTCAAAACCATTTCAGACTAGACAGTAGATTTAAGATAACAGTCTTCAGGAGTAGAGTGTACTGAACCCTAAGACAAAAGCAAAATCTTTCATTAATTTTACCAAGAAGCTGTATAAGTCATTATTCAACCGAAAGCTAAGAATTAATCAGTTAGTTAGAGAGTATTCCCGTGGAAAACTTGTATTGCAAACGTATGACAAAAATATTCAAACAAAACTAGGTCCTGGAAATTAATATCACTATTTGAGTCATTTTTTGCAGGAATACTAGGGGGAATTTGGCAAAAATAATCCAGTCTGCTTTCCTTTGTAATGAGAAAAGAAATTTTGGATAACAATTTTAACCAAAAACTTAAATTTCGCAGTCGAAATAATTGAGGTGGAATTACCGAAACAGACGTATACCAATGAAAATTGAGTTTTCACACAATTTCAATACACTCATTGGTGGGGAAGCATATACATAATATGTTTTATCAATCACCTGGAAAAGCATGACAAAGCTGTTCTGTGAGTTTCGTTAGCCTGGTCATAGTGATCTTAACAGTGCATAACTGTTTCACGGATTCACTCTTGACCCACAAGACAGCCGATTCGCTCAGACTGTCTGCAGCTAACAGATATAAAATAATATATTTCTGAGATAGGGATTTTTAATTTAGAAGTAGTATTCATCATGGACTGACATCAGTTGGGGAACCACTGAAAATCTGGGAGCACTGGACAGCTGTTTCGTCCTAGTATGGGACTCCTCAGCAGTTCGCACCTACGACCCGGCTAGGGATAGAACTCAGGACCTTCAGGTTCCACTCCATGATGAATACTAATTCTAAATTAAAAATCCCCATTCATCTCAAAAATACATTACTGTATAGTGACTTGCTTCCAGATGGATATCACGAAGCTCTAATGAAAAGCCGTGACCTGAGTTCAACCAGTCGGAAGTGAAGTGGATGCTAGCTGAAGACCTTGGGTGACAGTCACGCTATGTAGTGAATTGACAGAAGTTGGAAGTTGTGAACCCCTGGAAACCGACCCAGTGGTTGAATGGTCAACGCGTTCGCCGTAAAACCTGAAGGATTTGAGTCCGGTCCCTAGCCGGGTCGTAGGTGCGTACTGCCGAGGAGTCCCATACTAGGACGAAACAGCTATCCAGTGCTCCCAAATTTTTAGTGGTTCCCCAACTGATGTCAGTCCGTGATGGATACTACTCCTAGATATAAAATAGACTGGACGAAAAAAGAGCATTATTCAAATAAAACACATTGCCCAACTAAATGACTTATCAACCCCTGACCTATGGGATCAAGCATGGATTTCAATCGAAACACCCAGTTAATATCATCACAGATGATAAAAAGGCTTCATCAACTAGCGAAATACACTAATGAACGAAATAAGTGAAAACACATCGCATTGAAAACAATCTGTAGAGACATTTTATGTTGGTTAGATCATAGTGATTTGAAGGTTAATATGCTTTACACCTATCAATTGTAATTAACACGTTTTTGTACTTTAGTAAACATTAGCCAGTATTGATTTCGTTATCTCTGACAATTTAATTCATTATTCGACCTGATTACACGATAAAAATGTGGTGAAAAAATAACTATTCCATTTTTTTAAATGGTTACCCTGACTCACTACAATCCACATCGATGTTTACTTACAAATCAAATCGTTATCGATTCGTTATCTTACTTGATAGGTCCCGTACATTCGGACTGATATCTATTGATGATAGGATTTTCATGTTAACTATTAGTTGAATTCATCATGAACACTTCATTCAGTTTATAGGTCATCAGCTGTATGTTCACTGGTATCCCTGTGCGTAAAATACATCTATTAAAACCGTAAACTGGTCAAAAACCTGGCCTTGTTTGTCCCAGTGCTTGCATACTCCAAAATATATTTCTTCTAGGTGGAGCTATGGCTCATTGGTTTGGGGAGATGACTTTCAACCAGTGGGTCACGGGGTTTCAGTCCTTCTTTACCTACCGATGTTCAGGCAGCCGCGTAGCCCCTACGCAGTAGATATGGCTCCTCATTGTCTACCCCACGAATGTGTGCAAGGCTGCTGAGTGCTGTATGACATTCTTATCCCTAAAGTTAGATATCTCATTAGGTTTTCAACACATTTTTTCTATTATGTTGCTGCAGTCGAATTATCTGTGTCCATATGTTTGTAACAGCTCATGGCTTGAAACTAAGTACGGATACAGCTGTACGTACTAGTTAATAGACTACACCTATATTCGACGGTTGTGATTCTACCTGGGATAGGTTTACGCCCTTAACTCTCTGGTTAAAAGCTGAATATCATTCAGACTGAGATAACCGTGTTATATTGAACTTGGTGACTTGCATAGGAATCCGTCCTATTTGGGACCCATCAGCAGAATGAACCTGCACCCCAGTGAGTGGTGTTATTCCCACGGAGGCTCGAACCCAGTAACTCTTCACTTCAAATGTCAGAGCGTTATCCACTAAGCAACTGGGGCACGATAACCACCTCTTGTGCAACCGGTGTCAGTTGTTGCAATGATACTTGTAATTTTGAACCTCAGTGGGAACAACATTCACTGAGGTGGAAGTGCATCCAGCTGACGAACCTCAAACAGGACTAAACGGGCATCTTCTGTTAATCACCAGAGTCAATATAACATCATGAATATCCGGCAGTATCCAGGCATCCGCATAGGAACCCGTCTGCCAACAGAGGTCGAGCGATTCGGCCCTGTATAGCAATGAGATAACCGTGGGTTGGCAAACTGGTATTATTAATGTGAAGTGACCACTGGAGGTGAGTTGAAGACCTGGACCTCCACATTACTGACCCCGTGCTCTAACAACTGAACGACAAGACCTAGCCGCTGATCAGATCTCAACCTCACCTTGTTCACTGAGTTTTTCCCGGGTGCCTTGGTAAACTTAAGACTTGGTTAGCAGCTGAGTCCTATCGTTCAGTTGGTTGAGTACCAGACCGATAACTCGGAGGTCACTCGTTTGAATTCTGTTGCAACCCAGCTTTTTACTTCACCTTCAAATCAGTATGCCATATCAATAAAAGTTCAATGCCCAAACCACTGCATCAGGTCCGGGAACATGTAATCAAGAGAAGCAAGGCAACAGACGAAATACATTATTGCACTACATAAGCTAACATAGATGGAATGGTTGTTTACGATATTCCATGCACGGTTATATGTGAAAACCGAACCTAAACATCGAAATGAAGGGAGTATTCTATTGATGCTCAGTTGCCTACATTTCCTCCCAATAAACGATCTGACATCTTGTTCAATTTCAACAAAAGTGATGAATATGTAAATCGAAATAACACGTAAGGCAATGCAGTACATATACACCCCAGTACATCGATTCATAAGTGAATATGAAGAATTTCGACAAGTGCACAAACCTTCAAACATAGCGGATGCGTTAAAACAAACTGAAGAGGTGAATACAGTTGGACGCACACCTTATACACATAAATCCACAATCTTTTATCTGATTTAAGTCATGATGAAGCGATAAAAATCAGATGTTCCTCTTAGCTGCTGTAAACGTTAACAGTTAATTCAAATCACCTTAATTAATGAATAAATTCAATAGTTGGCAAATAAATAGCACTCTTTCTACAATTGCTAACTATCATGTAGATTTGACAAAGAAACTAACGATAATGGGACAGCAATGAGACAATTTTTTCAATTTTAATATCTCCATATTAATGTCCAAGCCTCATATGACATCTAGCCTGTACGTAATTCTCTAGGCAGGTTTGATTTGATCGATCACGTAGCTATGTTGATATGACCAGACAGATGACAAGGTTCGTAGTCAGTCATATCATGCACCTCTCATCTTCTAAATTATCAAATTTGGGATTTAGCAATGAGTCATAACAAGTCAAGATGTATTGGCTAGTAAATGACCTTTGACCTTCCAAGTGACCTTCATCAACTAATGACAATTTATCACAAGTATAGAGCATGTTCACAGTTTTGTATCTAATTTCCAAGTTATGCTATAGGAACCTTCAAGCTGGTTAGACATATCGTTAAAGTACATTGAAGTTTTGTACACGCATAGTTTTTGCATATTTTTACAAGTATGAAGCAAAATGTATATTTTTTTGTTCTGTTTATTATATAAAATATATATGACTTTTTCATCAAAAAGAATATATAGAATTTGAGGGTTTGTGGGGATTTAGAGATTTCTCGAGGTGGTATTCATCATAAACCGACATCAGTTGCAGTAACATTAGGAAGCTGGGAGCACTGGATAGCTGCTTCGTGGTCGTGAGGACAAGTACTCAATGATGACATTGGGTGGCTGTCGCACTGTTGTCAACTGACAGAAGCTGCAAATATGGACCATTGGATCCCGACCCATTGGCTCAATTGTAGCATGCTGGTCACGGAAACTGAAGGTCACGGGTCCGATCCCTGGTGGGGTCGTGGGTGCGCACTGCTGAAGAGTCCTATGTTAGAACGAAACAGCTGTCCAGTGCTCCCAGGTTTCCATTGTTCCCCCAACTGATGTCAGTCTATGATGAATACCAACCTGAAAAAAGAACAAACAATATCACAAAAGATACTTTTTCTGTTACAAGTAAATGAAAAGAAAGCTTTGAAATCCGTTATCTTGACTAAACGACAAAAGAAGGGTTGATATGCAACCTAAAACGCTTGAAACGTTGTCATTAGTAATCGACAAGCATCAACACCTGAATGTGTTGCATAAACCATTGCAGTAGACATACAAATTACAATCGACTAATGTAAAAATGTTCACAAAGAAATATGTATAATACGCTAAGAGGCAGTAAAATGACTGACAGTTAATAAAATATCTAAAATTTTGATGATAAAGACTTTCTAGTAAACCTGCCTAACGCAAACGGCAATGACAATATACAATCTTCTAGAAATGTTGGGTGACAATACGACGTTTCGGGTACGTTTCTCAACATTCAAAAAGCAAATTGTTGCTTTCAGAAATAATCTGTATCCGTAGTGCATTTGACAGTGTGAAAAGTAGTGATTAGGCGCTTTCACCATTTCGCTTACCTAGGGTGTCAGATAACATATTAATGATGGATAGTGGCTAGCAGCGGAATCCATAAGTTATAACATCAGAAGACTATACTATTCCCGTCGTACAAGGAATGGTTATCGGGAATCAGTGGCCTAGTGTATAACACCTTGGAAGTTGAGTCCTAGTGAGAGCAGCACCACTCATTGGGAGGCAAGCACATTCAGCTGATGAATCCAAAGTAGGACGAAACGAGCATCCTGGATTCCACTGCCAGGCACTATTCATCACTAATATCAAATTTGAAAATACTGGCAATATCAAGGCATTCGCACAGGAACCCATATGCCGATAGTGGCTGGTTAATTCAGTCCAACCAAGGATGGGGAATCACGAGCTATAACATCAGATGTCAAATTACCCCTAATAGATCGGTGACCAACGAGATTTCTGCATTAATAAAAAAGGATTGTTACTATGAGTAAAACCAAGGCACCGTGGCAGAATGTAATTCCATTCTAGTTGGTTTATGGGATTTATCGCACAGTGTAACAGTATTGCTTACTGGGTTACGTTTTGGACACAGTTTATTATCCGCAGTCATATTAAGATGGTCCCACAACTTTGAGACACGGGTTTATTTCCCGACTCCTTTTTGATATGGTTAGTAGGTTTTTCCACACATCGGGAACAAATGTTGAGTCATAGTTGTTTTACACATATGATGTGGATTCGATGAACCCTACTATGTTAGTTTTAAGGATTGTTACTGTCGCTCATCCTGTTGCTTGGTTGCGTGTAATTCCATACATAGCTAGGGTCAAGCTTCTTTGCTAAATTCCTCATCTTACTGGGACCTACAAATCCTGACCTAGCTAGGTTTTTGTGCTCGGACAGCCTAGCTAAATTGACGCCGGTCAACTCTGACCTATATATTTAACCTCGTATTCGTTGCAAGCGGTTTGGTGAACTAAATTATTCTGCTTGATTGGATCAGTAGGACCATTTAACTTAAACAGCTTTGCAGTGTCAATTAGACTATCGGAACACAAAAACCTAGCTAGATCAAAGCACCAGTAAGATAAGAGGGATTCCTAAATCCAGTGAAAAGCTCAGCCATAACCTGTGCCTGCATGGAATCACACACAATCATGCAACAAGATGGGTGACAGTAAAAATCCTTAAAACTAACATAGTAGGGTTTATCGGATCCACACCAAATGCGTACAACAGGAATGCTCAGCACCTGTTTCGGATATATGGAAAATTCTACCAACCATATCACAAAGGAGGGGAGTTATCTTGATCTGATTATGGACAGTAAATTGCGTCTGAAACGTAATCCAGTAAATAATATTGTTCCACTGTGATATATCTCATAAGTCAATTAAAAAAGGATTGATTGGCTTTCGTAAACTTACGCGTTTTATAGTTCAGGAGAGTTATACGATTACCTAGTAAGAACTGAATGTACAGCGTAGCAGTTCGTCCTGTCCCACTGGAGCACTGTAAAACATGAACACTAAAGATGGAGGACAAGGGAAATTTTAAAGTGTCATTGCCTTTGTAACGCCGCCTACGTGTCGTGGAATTACTGTATAACTAATGTACAGTCTTGGACAAAAGAGATGAATCGTCTGATAACGTTGCAAACAACCCGATATTTATCGCAAACTTGATATGAAATCGCAGCATTCAATACCACTTATTGATAGTGGTTTGGAATAGTCTAAACTTTGATATTTTGTTTTGTACGTTTCATCACTAAGCTTAGTAACATCTTTTCCATAGTGTTTTTATTGACCTTGAAAATTGTCCAATTGTAAGTTGCAGAAGAAACTTTTTTATCACAAACTGACCTCTTCGAACTTACATTTCGTCCAAATACGTTATCAGATATTCTTTGTTGGAGTGAAATTGTGCAGGATGTTTCCACATTCTCTCAGTCGAACTTGTGATTTTCTGCAAGCACTGAAACCAAGAAGGCTGTGTCATGTCACTTTACTGCTAGTTAGTGTTCATGAAAACTTTGAGCAATCCGACAGTCAGACTAGCCAACACAATGCTGTGAACAGCTTTTGCAACTGATTTTGTATATTGTATTTGCTCATATTCAATGCATAGTCAAATGAACACAATTGAATGTAAACTGACGCCTCGGACGCCCAACTCATCGCTTCCCATAGGAGTTCCACTCGAGTGACTGGCCTGATGCGTAATGTCGCCAGTCGGCCTTCTCACTATATATGCCCAACCCATCTCCACTTCCTTCCAGTGCATATTTGTTCATCGATAGCTTCTTGGTTGGTTCGTTGCCGGCCAGCCAGCCAGCCACAGTGACTTCCTTGTTGCTCACTCTTTCTGACAATCCATCTGAGCTTCAGTATACAGCCAGCGTAGGCAGTTGGCGATGAATATCTGTAGCTTATTGGAAATGCCTTTCGTAACGCGCCAAGTCTCTCAACCATCACATAGAAGCACCGACTACTTGACATTGGTGTTGAAAATCCGAATCTTGTTCCACATGCTGAGTGCAGTGCAGAAGATCTCCACACTGGTTTCAGGCTATTGAACACACCTGTCTTGCTTTTCCGATCCTGCCTGCTTTAACGTCATCGTCTGTGCCTGTGCCACCTGTAGTTGAAACAGTGCCACCTAGATAGGTGAAGGAGGCTACTTCCTTTACGTTTCTCCCGTTGATGGTGATTGGAGCCTTTTGTTGTTGCTGTCGTTGTTGTTGGTTGGGTATCTTCATCACCTCTGTCTTCTCTATCTCTATATTCACTTGAAGTCCCGTCTTCTTTCGATGCCCTGTCCTGTCCTGCCCTGCCCTGCCTTGCCTTGCCTCTTCTGTCAACTTGTTGAATTTTGCCTGTAGATCTTCAAAAGTTTGTGCGACAGCAGACGCAAGTCATCGTTGGCGAAATCCAAGTCTTCTAGGTTCTTTTCCTCAGTCTGGTCCAGCCAGCGGCGTATCCCCCTCTTCTCACAGTTCCTCACTGTTTGTTGCATGATCATCCAGTTCAGTCGACCACAATCAGGAATATCATGGATGATAGTAGGCGGCAGTCTTGTTTTACTCCTGTCTTCACTTCCGCTTCAAAGGTATCACTGAGCATCCTATTGTGAATAACTTGGCTGGCATGTGGCATCTTCATATAGTTGTTGAATGAGGTTGATAAAGGTTTGCGGTATTCTGTAGTGTTGAAGCAGTTTCCAAATTACTTCTCGATCGACGCTGTCGAAGGCCTTTTCAAAGTCGATAAAGTGGAGTTGACTGCCATTCTATACTCTGTTCTATGGTGATGTGTAGCGTAGCGTTTGATTTGCACTTTGGTCCGCACATGATTTGTACTTCCTGAAACCTGCCTATTCCGGTCGTAGTTTTGAATCCAGTGCATCCTTTAGTCTCTCCAGGATGATGTGGCATAATATTTTGCCTGGGGTGGACAGGAGAATGATTCCGCGCCATCCACTGGTGCTTAAAAAATATTATATACATCTTACGTGAACTTACCAAACACTGTTCTTTAGTAGTACGAAGTGTTTCCAATTTCTCGTAAGTAACTAGAGTACACTCAATGTAATTATCATCTCCATCATTATTATTATTTTCACCTTGATTATTTTCGTTAATCACAGATATTGATGATACCTGTAATACTTCCATTTGACGCTCAATAGTATCTAAATAATCTGATGCATAACTGAGTGTTTCATGATAACTGTGTATCGCCGGTAAGCATAAATCTTTTAAATTTTCATGGGTATTTGTTAAGCAAGTAGTTAATTGAGATAACTCCTTGACAGTTTCATTAAACACAAACACTACATTGTTATCATTATTATCATCCACATTTGTAGTTATAGCGATTCTATCATCAGACATAATGATTGGTTCAAGGTGATCATGTAACCATTTCATTTCATTTTGCAGATTATTGATATGATCCTTTAGCAAAAAAAAAGAAAAAGAGGTAGAGCATTGATAAAATCAAATTACCTTATAGCTGTAAACAAAGAGAAACTGATGATTAAATTTTCTTGTTGTTAGAATGAATAAGGAAACGAATAACAATGATATCGGATATGGTAAATTTGTGTTCATATATTGAAATAGCTGACAGTTATAGCTGTAACTATGAGTGGATCTGAATTTAAAATCTGTTAGACTAGTAGGAGAAAAAAACACCAACCCCATCGCATATTTGCAACACTCTGAATGAACACAACATGGGAAAATCAATCCACCACACACACACACACACACACACACACACACACACACACACACACACACACACACACAAGAGAATGGAAATAACAATAAAATAAAAGGATGCCAACGGGAGAAGATACTTAACACTGATAATTTGATAAGGCATGCATACGTACACTGAATAAGAATTGATTTTCAGCCATATCACATCCAATTTTTAACAACCACTTTATAAGTCCTTGATGATACCACCTAGGAAGTTTATGCGCATCTACACTGCTAAATTCAATAGTCGGACAATCCATAGATCAATGTTGCATTCTTCCATCCCACTACTAATCTAGTTAGCCTACCATGTTTTTATAAGTGACAGTTGTTGCAACTCAGTGGTAACCACTTGAGAGCGCACATCAACAATAATCAGTAGTCACAAATTATCAGCGATGATCTGAAAGTGCAATGGATAAATAGCAAGACATACCTTTAGTACCAGATAATAAACGAGCATTTGTGAAATGCAACAGTAACCTAAGAGTAATAATCACCTAGATCATCGAATTATTGTTTTATGGTATATCTGTAGCTCAATAACTAAGTCATTTGTCGTTGAACCATCAGTGTATCTATCATTAGTTAGAATTAAACTATATCCCTGTAAGTTGATGTGGTTCACCGCTTACTGCATAAAAATGCATCGTTGCATAGAATACTAAAACGAAATTGCAGTGCTATAGGTATTAAGCGACAATAATATCGTATACTGGGTCTTTCATTAATTAGTTCATGGCAAATTATGTTGGTACATGCACCGCATCCATTGTTCAGTGCAGCAAATAAATAAATGATACTGTAAACAGATGAAAGTGCCATGTAACTAATGTCAAGGTGAGGTACTCTATGTGTTTAGATGTCGTGAAAATTGACATTTATTGTGTGAGGTCATCTTGAAACATCATCTTCCGTAGCATGGACATGTGTTACGTATGTTGTTCCAGTAGCTCCTACATCGGATTCTGTTCACTATTCATGGGACCGGTTGTAAGAAGCAGGATGTTGATAAGTTAATGACTTGATATCACATAAGATGAGGGATAGTTGTTCCAACTTAGCATTTGTAGGTGCATCACAAACTCCTGGATGGAGTTCGAGAAATCATGCAACTTAATGACTAAAGAGGATTGCAGACATAGCTCATAACAGAAATCAGTGGCGAATATACTGCAGCCATGTTGTATCTTCCACTACTGGGAAAAGTAAAACTAAAGTGGCGAGTACTTCTTTGAGACTGTCCCCTTATTTACCCATTTATGTTTTTGTTCCCATTCTTTCTTTAGCTTTTTGTGTCTTCCCAACCTAGTCTTATTATTTTGTGTGGCACATATAGTAGTGGCCTTATCGCACTAGGTTTGCACTCTAAATAAATAATAATAATCATAATATTAACACAGGAGCTCTATATTCTAGGTTATTTAAAATCAGTGAAATTTATACGTTAATGTAAAACTGTAATACAACAAACAATGATCGGCTAATTCATGGACTACTTAATGGAGCATATTTATTGTTTCGGAGATGATAATAAGCGGGACAATATCCAAACCCACTGGTTGAAAGTCGACCGCCTAAATTAATGAACCACTTACATGCGTGCACAGTCCTACTAGAAAAACACATTCATAATGCGATTTCATTGGAAGTTTTAAAACTGCTCCACTCTGGGAATAAATAAAAGTTAAAAAAAACTTTAGTACATCGATTCAGTTGTGTTACAACTAACAACGGCTCCATTTAGTAATATTTTTACAGTGGATATATAGTTGAAATGCTTTATAAATGAATAGTTTACTTACTGATATCACATCAATACTATGTTGAATACAATTCGATTCAGTCAAATTGCCATCAGAAGACAATAAAAAATCCAATGATTGAATGCATGAAACATATGATAAAGTCGATGCTAAGTTTTTTGACACTCGTTCATAGGATTTAGCAACCTATAACAAAAAAAGAGAAAAATACAAAACAAGAAAGTAGACTGCATTGTTATGAGAAAACTAGGATTGAAAATTCAAAAACAAACATATACGGAAACTGATAAACTAGTAAACAGCAGCACGCGTCACAATAGTGTATCATTTGATGTTATTATACTTGAAGCATATAACGGCAGAGGAGATTAGATAACAACTGTAAATAAACTAGAGATGTTGGAAGACAGGTAAAAAGAAATAAACTCAAGAGATAAGGGAATATATGAAAGGTTGGCATATTCGAAAAATCCATATTGATGCCTATCATCACCTACAGCTCCTATTAACTTAACCCTCCCATTCTATGTGGTGCCAACAAAGAATGTCATATAATAACTGACTGTAGATGACTTTTATATATTTAGTTGTGATGTAATTGAACAACCGTGTGGCAGTGTTCTTGCTTTATACCATTTCCTTCCCCTGTGTAAAATGTTGCATCAATCTAGACCAGCTCTAAAGCAAAATTTGCATTTTGTCACTCGATGTATTCAAATAACACTAGTTATTTATCAGCATCTTCGAAGAACAGGAGTAAGTCATAATATAGAACTTCAACGAAAAGGCAATCAAACTCTTCGGAGTCAGAACAAGAAATTTACATATTCGTGAAGAAACCATCTCATGAGTTAACTTAATATACACTTTAACATATCCGAAAATGTATAACTAAGTATAATGAAGCGTTTAGTAGGGCAATGTATTTTATTAAACACCACCTTAGGATAGCCATCATTACAAAACTTTTTGATTAGGGAAGCTGAACACTGACTCAGGTCAAGAAATATGCCTAGTGTTGAAACATTGGTAAGTAGGTTCAAAACCTGTTGAATGAATAAAATCTGATCAGGAGATTCACCTACATGTCCTTGTTCTTTAGCTATAATACTGGTTCGCCGAACTGTATCCAGTTTCGTATATATTAAATTATTCAGAGAGTATTTACAATCATTATTGACTACTTTTAATAGGAGAAGGTAAGTTTATCAACTCAGTTAAATTAAAACATATTTGATAATACTTATTCTTAGAATGAAATCAAGTCATTCATTATTCACTAAGGTTACATACCTAAACATTTTACTCAAATCAACATATGAAACACCTGAGTTAATCTGAACAGAGTGGTCAATGCTACAGTAACCCTTTTTGCGTGATTTACAATGCAACTTTTGACATCATAAGAACGTTATTTTATGAAGATCAACACATCAAAACTTCTAATGTGCATGCTACAGTTACATCTACATTTACATGTTGTTTTTTAACATCCTGTCAGTTGACTTTATTCATAATGACTCAATTTAATTAATTTAGTTGAAATTTTAGTGCATTTCTCAATTAAACACCATTGAACAGCCATCTGTGTGATGTTTGACTGAATGGATCTGTAGGAACTAAGTAGGATCGTGAACACAACCGATACCTACTCGTAATCTCAGTCTACGCACCCACCGACTGCAGTTCGGATGATGCAAAGGATGAATTCAATGGAAAGTTGTCCATTTCCCTACAGAAAGCAAAACAATCAGACGTGGTCATAACGGCAAGTGACTTTAACGTTTAAGTAGGAAAACTGAGTCAATCAGAAATGCATTCTGCAGGTATCTACGGAACTCCATCCCAATGAATTGGCAACGGGGATAATCTTTTTCAAATTTTTCCTGAAAATCCCTTGTTTCTGGTTAGTTCTAACTTCAAGAGATAGTCTCATTTGGCATCCACCGACATTAAACCAACGACGGACACAAATAAATCATTTTGCCGTAACCCATAAGTGGATGATTACCGTTCTTTCTCGACAACTTGTTCGGACTCCGATCACGCGTTGGTCCGGCCTGTGTATGTCTCCTTTATATTGGTCACAGAAAACGGGGCGGCAATGAAGTCTGTTGATGCTCGACTGGGAGATGAGAAAGTCCAGTGCATAGTTTTGAACGAGATAGCTAACCATTTATCTGAACGTGACAGCAATCCTTATCCTGACGAAATCTGGCATGATATTCAGTCTGCTGTAGAAACGGAGGTAAAGACAGTTAGTAACCTACATTCAAAGGTTAGCAAACCTAATTGGATTTCCCCAACGTCTAACGAACAGGGTGATGCGAGGAGACTGATTCCAGCTGGTTCTATAAACAATAAAGAGCAAAAGAAACTTACAAGTAGGTTTAAGAAAGGTCTTCGCAATGATCGTGAGCAGTGGTGGTTGACGAAAGGGAGAGAGGTGGAGAAGGTATTCCATTAGGTCATAGGTCATACGCGGTAACTATTTAGGCTTATTAAAACCATCAGCAAGAATAAGATGATGATAGTGAGTGAGTGAGTGAAACCATCACCCATAAGAATTACGCTTTGGCAGACGACTAGAATGTTGGGCAGAGCACTTTAAAGCACAGTTCAGCGGCCCCTCAGCAACGATTCAGTTGGTCACCATCCTGTCTGAACCTGAGTGGGACATAGGTGTCGGTCCTCTAACTATCCCTGAAGCTGAGAGGGCTGTGTAGGATTTGAAATGATGTGAAGCAGCGTGACTCGGTGCTCAGTCACCCGAAGTTTTTAAGGAAGGAAGTAGGAAATTACTGAGTAGAGCAGCGTAAGTACTAGGTAGTAGGGATCAGAAGTAGTCCCGTCTAACTGGGCTACTTCACTGTTTATCTCAGTCTGTAAGAAAGGAGAAAAGTGTTATTTTGAAAACAACAGAGGAGTCACTTTGAATAATATCGTATCAAAGATCTTTGGGTCCGTAGTTATCCGATGCATGAATGCAGTCTGAGGAAACCAGGCAGATTTCAGATCTGGATGAGGTATGTCGATCAAATCTTCACCCTTAGACAGGTTGTCGAACATATGCATTCTTACCAGCAACCGAAATGCCATGTTTCTTGACCTGAAGGTAGGATGAAGAGTACTAGGCAATGAAGGCAAGTTAGTCGACGAGGTTATGAACTTTCATCGACTGAGATGGCTTGGACATGTTTCACCCATGCCGAGTCACCACCTACCTCGACGTTCAATGTTAACTGAATTTGGATCGGGTTGGGAGAAGGCTGAGTGGCCACACTAAGACATGGCACCGGTCGACGAAGTCCCTTGGGTTGAGCCGAGTAGGGTGATCTGAGCAGCCTGTCTGAAGTCCCCAGGACGATAGGAATCAATGGCTGAAGACTCTTGGCAACGTAAGTGAAAATCGGCTACAGTGACGCAAAAGTATTCACTCCTGACGTTTTCTAAAGCTCGAATAGTTTCACCAAGCTTGCTTTTCAAATTCTTTTAAGTCCCATACACACCTATCTACTTTGATATCAATATTTTCCCGTCCACTTGTTCTTAACAAATCACTGTGAAGTGTGAAAGCTTGGACCGATGCACTTTTGTGTGAAGGTCCTATAGTGAGTCTGTTTGTCTACAGGATGTATGACAAACTGTGTATTTCCTCAAAATTTCTTATCCACATCGATATAACTGCATGTTTTGTTATTTTTGCCAGTTAAATTTACTCTTCATATACCGTTATGAGATAATGACATCCTGTGACCCAGCGTCTGACACTAGTCGCATTTCTTGACCTAAAGGCGATATTTGACTCTGTCGATCGTGAGGTGTTGTGGCATTGCCTGACTGTGAAGAGAGTATTGAGCAAGTATATATTGCTTATCAAAGTTCTCTACTCAAACTCACACACCCGTATAAGTGTTTATAGAGACTTTTCATGTGGACTGATGACAACTAAAGATGTCCGCCAGCAAAGCCCGCTGTCACCGTTCCTATTTAACTCCTTCATAGACGTACTAAAAAACATAACCTTTGATACATCTGATTTTACAGGGATTGACCAGCTCCCTGGAGGCCATCTGATTAACTTGGAGTATGGAGAGATGTTATCCTGTTAGGTGAAAATGCTGGCGCAATCCAGGGTCTTCTGAACGTGCTGAGCAGAAACCTGAGTGTGTGGCATGCGTTTCGCAGCCGTCAAATGTGTAAGATGGTGCTGGTGCTCCACGACTTGCCTGCCGCAAGTACTCCCAGTTTAATGATAAAAAGTGAAGTGGTAGAATATGTCGACCACTTACTAGGGGGCCTGTATCAGCCCGAACCGGCTAGTTGGTGACCGAATCTTAGCTCGGATACACCAGGCCAATTTGGCATTTGCCACACCGCGTCATCTATGGGGCCGATCGGCAAGATATTCGACTACGTATCATAGGACGAGTATATTCCACTACAGTTCATTCTATCCTGTTATACGCTTGTAATACACGGCTGTTGAAAGTAGACGATATGAAGCGATTACAAGGTTTTGATCACAGATGTCTTCATAGAATCGCCCGCGTTTGGTGGAATCACCCTGTGAGCAATGTTGAGGTCAGGCGAAGTCTACTAGGCAAGTAAGCCAAGTCGATTGATGAGGTTGTGAACCTTCATCGATTGAAGTGGCTTGGACAAGTAATGTGCATCCCGATTCACCACCTACCTCGTTATGCCATGCAAGGGGAAGGTGGATGAGTTTGGAAAAGGGTGGCCAGACCAAGATGTGACTCTTGATCTCAGTCGTGTGGAGAGATGCAGACTACCTAGCTGGGATCCCCAAGATGATAGAAATCAGTGGATGAGGACTCTTGGTGACATGGTTGAAAATCGATGACAGTGGTGCAGATGTACTCACTCCTTGTTATCTTCTACAGCTTGAATATTTGCACTAACCGTTATCTTCATATTGTTTATTCTCTCACACAACCTTGTCTACTTTGATTTCACTCTTATTCTCTCCGCCAGTTCTTTGAATGCTCCTGCGAAGTGTGGCAAGTTGAACCCATGCATCTGTGTGCAAGGTTCTACGTTGACTCTGTCTGTTTTTCTGTCTGATGTCGCATGAAGAGATAATTAGAAAGTTATGACTACACTACACTACACTAGGAATACCGCAAACCTTTATCAACCTCATTCAACAACTATATGAAGATGCCACATGCCAGCCAAGTTATTCACAATAGGATGCTCAGTGATACCTTTGAAGCGGAAGTGAAGACAGGAGTAAAACAAGACTGCCGCCTACTATCATCCATGATATTCCTGATTGTGGTCGACTGAACTGGATGATCATGCAACAAACAGTGAGGAACTGTGAGAAGAGGGGGATACGCCGCTGGCTGGACCAGACTGAGGAAAAGAACCTAGAAGACTTGGATTTCGCCAACGATGACTTGCGTCTGCTGTCGCACAAACTTTTGAAGATCTACAGGCAAAATTCAACAAGTTGACAGAAGAGGCAAGGCAAGGCAGGGCAGGGCAGGGCAGGGCAGGACAGGACAGGGCATCGAAAGAAGACGGGACTTCAAGTGAATATAGAGATAGAGAAGACAGAGGTGATGAAGATACCCAACCAACAACAACGACAGCAACAACAAAAGGCTCCAATCACCATCAACGGGAGAAACGTAAAGGAAGTAGCCTCCTTCACCTATCTAGGTGGCACTGTTTCAACTACAGGTGGCACAGGCACAGACGATGACGTTAAAGCAGGCAGGATCGGAAAAGCAAGACAGGTGTGTTCAATAGCCTGAAACCAGTGTGGAGATCTTCTGCACTGCACTCAGCATGTGGAACAAGATTCGGATTTTCAACACCAATGTCAAGTAGTCGGTGCTTCTATGTGATGGTTGAGAGACTTGGCGCGTTACGAAAGGCATTTCCAATAAGCTACAGATATTCATCGCCAACTGCCTACGCTGGCTGTATACTGAAGCTCAGATGGATTGTCAGAAAGAGTGAGCAACAAGGAAGTCACTGTGGCTGGCTGGCTGGCTGGCAACGAACCAACCAAGAAGCTATCGCCGAATAAATATGCACTGGAAGGAAGTGGAGATGGGTTGGGTATATACTGAGAAGGCCGACTGGGGACATCAGGCCAGTCACTCGAGTGGAACTCCTATGGGAAGCGATGAGTTGGGCGTCCGAGGCGAGAGTGACATGGAGGAGATCGTGCGAGGAGGAAATGAGAGCTTGTGGGCAGTCGTGGAGCCAGGTTCAAAAGATTTCAGAGAGCAGGGCGCATCGGAGACGTGCTACTGAAACCCTATGTTCCAATAGGAACCCAAGGGACAAATAATAATACACTGTCTGGCATAAAAAAGGAGCAGCACTGAGATACGTCTCCTTAATCACAAATACTCTCCACTTTTATACGCTATGCATTGTGTCTACAAGTGAGTGAGCTTCAGGTCGGATCAGTGCTTGTCTCAAGGTTCACTATAATATTTCGTCCGACGAGTGAAAGACTTGTCGTTTTTATACTAGAGCTTCAGTGGTACAAAACAATATGTGATGCTACAATTCAGTTTGTATCAAAATAATTTAGTATGTGATACGTCAAAAGCCTTAATATCACCTCAATACTTCAATGCGTTTATTAATTATCGTACATGTATCAGAGGTCACTTCACAAAATTGTTTCGAAAGAAAACAGTGACACGTTAATCAGTGGGGTAAATACAAATGTTTTCTTGGGAAAATAATCTAAGCTTTGGTGATGCATCCAGTATTACGTTAAGGTTAGACTATGTAACCTATAGCTATCCACTCTTAAAGATGAATAAACTCGGCTGCTAGAAATACAGCTAAGTATTCATTGCCTCTGGTTAAGGAAGTCATAATTCATTCCCTTTAATTGTACTGATGAAAGCAGTTACAACTGGATAGATTGGTGTCAAAGGCTCAACCAGTAAGGGTTGGACACCTTTGTTTCTCAGCCTCTAATGGTACATATATTCTTTCAAATCCCTCACACACAAAAAAGAACGAAATGGGATGAGAAGCTACTATTCGCATCAGAAATAATTCAAGTGCAGGTTGTGACTTTGTTCTACTTTCTTGAGTATCAGTATTCGAGCCAAATGTATCAGAGATGGGCATTCATGTCAACCCTTATGCAAACTATAATACACCTTGGCGATGAAACTTTAAAACCAACTTTCTTGTCAGTAGGTCATGTCTCCAGAGATCTATGTCGCATAACTCGACGCTTATGTTTTACAGAAAGTTGTGATCAAATACACTGCTTCATATTCGTAGAGAAATTCCCTTTCAGATATGATATCACGAAACAACAAAGAATGGTGTCAGGTTTTGTTAGTTATCATGCCGGTAGCAGTCAAAGAAATGAATGGATCAAAACAGTACTAATTGTATAAAATCACCAATATAGCATTACTACTGCTGATATATTGTATTGCTATCTTTACAATAAAACAACTTACCAATTCTCTGAATCGCTTCGGTATCAATTCTTTTGTTATGTTATCCCATACAGCTCGAATAGTCAGTCCTAGTTGTACATTATCTTCAGCGTTATAGAAAGGTCCGACTAACTGTAAGTCTTGATATAAATTCATATCATGAGGGTTGAAATCGTTATGCATCAATTTCTCGTAACTATTTAACACCGGCAGAAGGTTATATGTTTGATACTGACTGAATTTGATGATAAGTCTATGAAAGACATTCATATCTTGCTCCAAATCATTAGGTTCTTCCCTAATTGTATATCGAATCAATTCACTTTCTTGTTCTTTCAACCTGTTTAATTCCGCTTCAGCCATTTTCACCAATTCACTTACTCGCACATGAAAGTCTTTAAGGCATGTTATCTTGTTTTGTATGCTGACTTTCATGTCAAATAGTTCAGCTTCAACAGAATCAAGTTTTTGAGAGATCGTTTCAGGTTGAAGTGATTGGATAGTCATTTCACATTTTACTTGATGCATATTCTCCTCAGCATACTTCAGCTCTGCTTCAACTTCCTGTAATCCAAGTATCTGTGCTTTTAGTCTACCAGTTGTTGATAGACTAGTACCACACAGATTACCATTATCATTATCAGGGTTTTCAAGCCTATTGGCGAGTAACGCCAAACTCTGACTGATTGAAGTTAACTCTTCATCCACACGTTGTGAACTGTACTGCTTCGCTTCTACGCGTGAAACTAGCATATCACATCTTTTTAGGAGATCAGTTCGTAGACTTCTCAGAGTAGATAAACGTGTTACGATATTGTCTTGACAAAATTCATCTGGGAAAAAAATTGAAAAGTATATTGAGAATCTCCAAAAAAGGTTAGATTACTTCGTTTAACCGTATTAACTCTATAAACTATCATTCTGACTGAGATACCCGTGGTTTGGAAGACAAGTATTGATATTGGGTGACTATTGAAGGTGAAATGAAACCTTGGGCCACCGAGGGACTCGGACCGGTGACCACTGGGTTTCCGGCTCGGTGCTGTAGCAACTAAGCTACGAGGCCCAACTTCTGACCAAATTTTCATTTCACTTCAATCACCAAGAATTTTACCCGATTACAATGTGAATTCATAACGCGTTGCTACCACTCGGTCGTACTAGTACTGGGTACCCAGTAAAGACTTCTCATCCCAATCCAAAGGTAACTGAATCAGAGATGAGGAGCATCATACTGATTATCGTTTTGACTATCTGAGTGAGATAGCTGTGGTTTTGCAGGCTATTATCGATACTCGGTGATGACTGGAAGTGAAATAAAAACCTGGTCAACATTCGTGTCTTGTAGCGTAATTGCTACAGCACCAAGCCAGAAACCGCGGGTGTCACTGGTTTCAATCCCACTACTGCTTAGATTTTCATTTAACCTTCAATTATCATAAAGTATCAAGTCTATAAACACTGAATACATAATCCTTCAGAATCATACCATTCTCTAAAACAAACAGGTGCTATGGTGGATATGAAGCTCAGTTGTTTACATTCAAACAGTAGTGCGATTGCCTGTCAACAAGTTGATGATCTGATGACAGACTAAGAATGTTGACAATTTGAAAGCGATTACAATAAACATGAAGTGGTAGAGGAATGAAATTAACCAAATAAGACTTGCACCACTGCATAATGCCTCAAGTCATCACATCCAACATCAACACATCACAAAAATGGAAGGCAATCACAGGAAAAACAAAGAAATTATCATGAAGTTGCAGAAAAATATAAAATACAGTGAAAAGGCAGAAAAAATGCAATTGATTCTGAGCCATAATTAACTACAGCTGAGGTAATATAAAAATTCCATCACAGTCTCTTTATATACTTGCTGACTGATAAGAGTAACTATAGACTATAGTTAACTGGCAGTGTTCGCAAGCAAGACTGGCTTATGACTGAGTCTATCAGTAGTCCGCCTGAAACGATTCAAATAAGACTTAAAAATTCTAATCACCTTATTTTTAACCAGTTACTCGAATCGGTGAATGCCATATAATATAAAATCAGGTCCTTGTAAAATACATAGTTCGAGGTAAGAATGATACATTCCCTAGCACGATTCATTTTCGTTTCTAACGAAATTACTTCCGGATATGCAAAAAATGAATACAACTGATGGGCGGGCAGAAAACCACGAATTTCTGTTATTTTGAAACTTTGCACTCATTGCTTACAACTGATGAAAATATTAATATCTAGGTGTTTGTCTGACAGAATCAATCTAACAAAATTGTATTGGGTCAAGGGAAAGAAGATATGTTCAGGATTCAAAATTACGACCGAAACAGGCTGATTGGCTGACTTCAGGAAGAACAAATCATGTGGGGATCAAATAGCAACGCTACGCCACACATCATCATAGAACAGAGAATAGAATGACAGACGACTCTCTACCTCAAATTCATCGGCTTTGAAAAGCCTTCGACAGAGTCGACCGAGAAGTAATTTGGCAGGCAGCTGCTTCATACACTACGGTTTTACTGCCACAAACATTTATCAACCTCACTCAACAGCTATAAGCCATATGACGAGGTTACATGCCAAGTGATTCACAATGAAAAGATCAGTGATGCCTTTGGAGTTGAAGTTAAGGGATGAGTAAGACAAAGTTGCCGCCTACTATCACCGACCATCTTCCTGATTATGGTTAACTAGACTAGGCTGGATCATGCAAAAAACTGTGAGGAGCGAGAAGATTGGTTATACGTTGGTTAGACCGATCAAAAGACACTGGAAGATCTGGATTTCGCCGATGATGGTTTATGTCTAATATCTTGTCACACATACTTGAAGACCTACAGGCGAAAACTAACAAAGTTGGCAGAAGAAGTGAGGCGAAGCAGCGAAGACGAGACTTCCTTCAGGTGAACGCAGAGAAAACAGAGGCGACGCAGAAACCAAGCCACCACCACCAACAACAAGCACCAATCACCGCCAAGGGGAGAAACCTTAAGAAAATTGTCCCTTTCACTCACCACCTAGGCAGCATCCTTTCAACTACAGGCAGCGGCAGCAGCACAAATGAGGACATCAAAACAACCAGGATCAGAAAAACACCACCAATACACGCCTTCATTAACCTGGAATCAGTGTAGAGATCTACTGCACCCAGCATAAAGCGTGAACATAATCCGGATTTTCAACACTAATTCACTCAAAGTCAGTGCTTCTATGTGATGGTTCAGAAACTTGACGGCGCGTCACAAAAAGCATTTCCAACAAACTACACACATTCATCAACAGCTGCCGCCTACGCTCCCCCACTCGATACTGACACTGAAGATCAGATAGATGGTCAGCCAGAAAGACTAAGCAACAAGGAACTCACTCTGATTGGCTGGCTGGCTGGCAGGCAGACATTCAACGAACCAACCAACAACCCATCACCCAACAAACATGCAGAAGAAAGTGGAGATGAACTGGATTGCACATACACTGAGAAGACAGATTGGAGACATCACGCACCAGACCAGTCATTCGAGTGGAACCTGTATGGGAAACGACGAGTTGGGCGTCCCAGCTGAGGGTGATATGGAGGAGAACACGTGAGGAAGAAATGAAAGTGTGTGGGCAGTCATGGAGCCAGGTTGGAAAGAATGCAGAGAACAGAGTCGAATGGAGACGTGCTACTGAAGCCCTATGAACCCAAGGAACAAACAATGAATCTAAATCAAATAATTTGAATAAAAGCTATTAACATGGCTGGTCTCTAGAACGAAGAGATTTCGTAAATTTTCTAAAAAAAACTAGAAACTTGTTTGAATAGCGAAATATAAAATTCTGTAAACGTAACAGGGTTAAAAAGTTTGCATTAGACCATAAAAAAATAATACGAGTCAAAATCAGACAATTATGTCATGAGTATATGTCAGCTAGGGAAAATAAGGATAAGAAATGATAATATTTGGCAATGAATTACTAAATACTCAGCATATCAGGAGATAGGACTGAGATGACACTTCTATGAATAGAGGACTAATATTTGAATCACCTGATAGCTAAAACTTTAGCATAAGGGGGACTTATTAATTTTTTTCCGCATTGAGATTACTTCAAACAGTTTCTGGTCGCCGATATCAAGTCCACTATCAATTAGTTGATGAACAAATATAATGTGGAAAAGTCCAAATACATTGTTGACAAACCATGGTGAAATATACATTCAGTGCTCAAGTCACTGCTAATTGTGGATATGTACCACCACTTGTACCTAAACAGTCAAATTATTGCAAAAAATTATAACCATCACTTCATTTGGTTATATGCTTTCGTGCGTGTTATTGTTATTCGATTTTTATCTCAATTTCTGATTTACTTTTAAGCCTTTTCTTCAATGTTATCGACAACGACTAGTGAGGAAAGTTGAGACGCTACACTTTTTTTGATGGTCTACACATCTGTATTGTATCATTGCACCATCTTTTAGATGAAGACTGAACACTTGCTAGAAAAATCAATCGGGAAACAATGATTTGTGTTGATTACTCCTTTCTTGAGCCTTTGGATTATAATCTAGTTGTCGAATTTCCTTCGTTTTCAATGGTCAAAGTACATCCTATAAGTCTTTTGAATATTGTATGATTCTGACGTTCGTCTAACAGGTAGGATTGTTCAAAACTACAGATTTAATCCTTCATATCAATTGATACGGTGATAAGCACTAGGAATAAAATTTACTTTAGCCTATTTCTTTTGTCTATGTTACTCCTGTAGGATCAAAGTGATCAAAGTACTTAAAATGGTCTCGGTTAACAGGCTGTTCCTAAAGCACGGGGATGATTGAGTTTGAAATAAAAACTTGCTTTTTGCCAGGATTTGAAGTAATAACTCTTCGATTACAAGTAGAGAGCTACAAAACCAAAGTGGTCAGTCAAGTTTGCATGTTGAAACTGAAATGAGAGTAAAACATGGACTGGATCTAAATATGGTGTCTCACTTGTGTTTCACAAGTATCCAGACCGGAATAGTAATCACAATCAGTACTTAATACACTGAAGAACAAAATTTAAAATACTTTCATAAAAATCTAAAATACCTGTATTCCCTAATACAAGGCTTTCCAGTAAAACTGACTGCGATATACTGCTACATTCATTATCCAAATTGGTGTTATTAACATTATTGTTATTATTACCAATACCATCATCATTTGACGCGGATAGACATTCCTCACTACAACTTGATATAATCGAATAAACATCAGAGGTATCTTTTTTGACTAGGACAAGTAATTGTAGAATTTTTTCAATCTCTTTCATATACTCATTACCATGACTGATTTGTTCACAGGTTTCCAGTGAACTGATTTCCACTGAAATTTTCTTTAATTTTTCTTCTAACTGGCTAAGGTATGAAGTGATGAAATTATATCGAGCTAAGAATTTTCTGTCCTCAGTTAATTCTAAACATTGATTTTCGCTATAATCAGTATTACTGTCATTCTTATTCACAGAATTATGTACTCTAGTCGACTCCACTAGACTATTCATATCGATATTCATCAATGAACTAGAAGTAGATTCAGATACATTTGGATGAGAATATTGTGAATCAGCATCACCAATGTCAAATAGTATTTCAGAATCTTTAGATTTAATGGACAATTCATAATCACATAGATCAGTTTCTGGTGAAATAGAGTTGTCATTAATGCATGAATCAGTGATATCATTACTGTTTTCATTAAATGTTGACTTCATATTGATTGTATTTGACTTTATGAATGTAAAAGAAGATATTTCTGAAGTTGTATCAAAAGTATCACGACAGTCTACAGGAGATTCCTCATCGCATTGTATTCCACAATAGTTGTTATTATTATGGTCGTTATTATCAGGGGTATTCGACGTTTGATATGCTGAATCTTCATGACATTTATCACCAGAAGTTGATGAAATTTCTAAACATTTGTCGTATTTTGGTTTTACAAGATTCTCATACGCTTTTATGGAAGGAACTGGATTCATATAACACGGCATGAGAGATGTACACTGGTAACCTTTATCAGAGGACACATCTAACGGTGTCTCCAAGTTTGGTTGGTCATATTTCTTGTTCACAGTGAAATGTCCTTGCCAAATGATAAATGTATCAGATTTTCTGGTAGTGAGATTTTCAACGACTGGAATATCCTCATGAACTGGGTGAATTGGAACCACATGCTGCGTAAGGCTAAACAAATTCAATAAAAGTAATGGATAAGTAGTTATATCAATGGATTTTTAAACATTTTTCCAAGGTAAGTGATATTCTAATATAACAATGATGAGTGTCGGTCAGCCTGTTATAGGTTTACATTCTTAACTATTGGGCCATAACTGAAGTCTAATTGCTTATGATACTACCTGATGGCCTAGAATAGAGTTCGAACAAGAAACCCAGTGCTTGAAAGTCGAGATATTTAGCAAACGAGCATTTCGTGTAGACGAAGACTTTGTTGAACGTGAGGTAATTTCAACAAGGAATAAAATGTGGTTGTGTTCACCATACGCCTTTCATCTGTCAAATATAAGATGATGCTTCAAGATAAGTCTATATTAAGTCTGTTTAGTAGTAAGGAACTATGTGATCCATTGTGTTGACCACATGATTTGCTTTAGCGGTTGCGTCATTGTGATTTGCTGGTCGGGGACACAGAAGCATTAGATGGTTCTAACCAACTTGCATCATTAATAGTGTAGGTAAGGTATTCTAAACCTATTAATAGCCAAGAATACAGCACTCTGTTGTATTAAATAGCGATGAAATATCACTACAAAAGTGGGACGTAGTCCTGCTGTGGTCACAGGCACACAACCACCATTGTCTCCATAGGATCACTCTATACATAGTAAAATTACCACGTAAGCAGTGTTGAAATTGGGTATAGATACAAGATAAAACAGTAGATTATTAAGCTGTGGAATTGTATCCAATTTTCTACGGTATATCTAAAGTGTGTTAAGTGATCACCCGCATTGATGCACAACGTCCTCAGAAGCAGAAATAGGATCAAAGAAGCCAGGTGCTAGTCAAGTAAACATAGTATCAAACTATCAGATCATTTAACAGTAATAAAATCCATGCAGGGAAGTGAAAGCTTTTCACTTGAAGCCATAAAAACGGCCGAGGTCGATGTTTGACGAAATTATATGACAATAGTAGAGTCAGTTACATTAGCGCAGATGGATCAAGACCTCATCTTCACTTTATTCTTAAAAGTCTAGGGAAAAAATTGCCTCATTTCAAAAGTCTTGATAAGACAATAAAGAGGACGAAACTCCTACATACATTGAACATAAATAAATTTGCTAACTGAAGAGTCTGACTTCAATAAAACCTGAGTTTAGAAACATCACTGAGCATATATAGTAGACAGGATGATTGAAGATGTACGAGCATAGTGTGTATTAGTAACGAAACACCAGAACTTAATAAGAAATTTAACAAAGCTATATGTATATATATATATAACATATATTATATATTATTATATATATATTATTATATGTATTATATATTATATATATATTATTATATATATTATATATATATATTATATATATATATATATATATATATATATATATATATATAAGCTGTAAAATGCTTATAAAGTGATGACATTTAATGTGTCAAATTGTAGGGAAGCAACTTAAAAATGATACTAAAAAAATCTCACAACATCGAGAAGGTTAACCGACACATACAAACAAAGTCGCATTGAAAAGTGAGAAAACAGTTGACATTATCATAAATAAGATTTTTAAAAAAGTTCTCATGTTTCAGTGAGTCTAAATAAGACCTGGAGCTATCCATCAAAGTTCATAAGCCAGGCCATCCTATTACATATACAATAGATATCAATGCAATTTATTTGCGCAACACATTTTGAGCAACCTGATCACAAACTCTTTCTATAGGCATTTATATACGGAACAACAAACAATAAAAGGGTGAGAAAAAGAAAATGTCAAAATTAATAGTACTTTAACTTTGGTATTAAAATCTAACTTACTAAGGTGAAAAACAATCTCTGAACATGTACTGAAGAGACTATCATTGAGACTGGCTGACGAAATCAACGTAGAATCTCGGACACAGGTGTATCGGTTCAAGTTGCCACATCTTACAGTAGTACACAAAGAATAGGTGGATCGAAAAAGAGTGGTATCGAAAAAGATGCAAAGTGCAAGGCTACCTAGCAATGGTATCGGTTAACGCCTCCTCGATAAAGGTCATCCCGTTGATTCAAATATAATTATTAATATAATCAATCGACAACGCAGAGGCAGCAACAATCTGTCAACTCAAGCCAAACTTATGTGTATAAAAGGAGTTTCAGGTTCACCTCGCACTGGTCTTTGTGAATTGTTCTTTTCCTACAGTTTTATTTTTCCATCTTATTGTCTTACATATTATTCTGAAACACTATTCATATTAGCTTCATTTTCGACTTATTTTAATCCATTATATTTTAAGGCAGCATTCATCACGGGCTGACATCAGTTGTAGAACAATTGAAAACCTCGGAGCACTGGACAGCTGTTTCGTCGTAGTACGTCGCACTATATCGTGAATCGACAGAAGTAGGGAACTGTGGACTATTAAATTCCCACCCAGTGGCCGGATGGTTGGTGCGTTCACCATGAAACCCGAAGGTTCTGAGTCCCACCTCTAGCCAGCTCATGGGTGCTGGGGAGTCCCACACTGGGACGAAACAGCTCTCCAGTGCTCCCAGGTTTTTAATGGTTCTTCAAGCGATGCCAGTTTATGATGAATACTTCTGCCCTAAGATTATATTTTGATCATGATACAGTTAATTCGTTGAAATATTACATTATTATTATTATTGTTATTATTATTATTATGTCCTTCCCATTCACCCACCAATAATTCATAACACTTTGTACACCATCTCTATCCTTCTTTGAATAAAAATTCCTACCACCCAGAGTTGTACCTGTATCCCTGCCCTACTACTAAGTTTTCTTTGTGTTTACTGATCGATTTTATAATCTGGTTTGTTATTTTACTCTTTCCCTAGGCTGGTTGATTACGTTGCGAACTTTGTCACTCATCTTTGTTCCCACGTATATGTGTTGATGTCTACATACGAAACATGTGTAATATAGTGTTGACTTTACTACTGAAATGTATCAAATTACTTAAACTGGACACTGACAGTTTACTGTACATAATTTATAAATTTAGTCTGCATACAGATTTCGAGCACACGAAATCGACCTGATTCATCCCACAATGTTTGTTGTTATTGTTTTGTAAAAATTTATGAAGGGGACTACTAATTGTATAAAATTATCAAGGGAAGTTAAATATGATAGTGAATTACGTGTGAACACATTATGGTGGCTTGTTCTATATAAAAACTAAGACTGACAAATTTAAGGATGCATCGCCAACAGATTCCTCTAAATAGGTTAAGAAGACGTAGAAGTGTCATTTCTATGACCAGTTTCAGAAGTATATCAGTAGACAGAGAGCTTAAGTGCCTGTTGTCAGCATCCATGGGATCAGAAGATTAGACCTATCACTATGTTGTTGCTTGTATCACTCTGTCGTTGATTGGACCGAAGTGATCGGTCTCTATTGGCATATAGGTTCTTGTGTGGATGCTTCGATATTGCCTGCGTTACAGTTTTATGGTAATGATGGATAGTGCCTAGCAGTAAGATAGAGAACGTGCGCTTCATCCTTTTTGGGACTTGTCATCTACTTCCCAGTCGATGATATTGTTCCCACTAAGACCGAAACCATAAAACCAAGATAGGCAATATCGAGTCATCAGTGCAGGAGCCCATATGGCAATAGAGATCGATCAATTCGGTCCAATCAACGACAGGCTGATACAAGCAACAAATTACAAATTATATCCATCACACAAAAAGTGGCTATCGAGATTCAATGGTCTGGTGGATAATGGCTCTGAAGTTTGTAGTGATTAGTCTCTGGTTCAAGTCTTGGTAAGAACAATACCACCCACTGGGAGTCATATACATCTACCTGACGAGTCCCGAATAGGGCGAAACGCACAACCTGGATTCCACTGCCAGTCATTATCCATCACTAGGATTAGACCTGTTGTTGAGGTCACTTGAAATATGCTATCAGATCCCTAGTTTAGGGATCGATGACAAATTCTAAGTGTTCTATACCTCACACACAGCAACACATCAACATAAAAGGCAAGATGAAAAGTGGAGAAAAACAAATAAAAAACCATCAAATTGTAGAAAGCTGTAAAACAAGATGAAGTAAAGTTAAAGCGAAATATGAAATGTGATATAGCGATTAGGGTGAAGTTGGGGCGTTGGTTCATCTTTGCCAATCAGATCGATTTTGAGTCATATCACCTAGAGCCTTCAATTGTTATACATACTCCAACCTGGAGGTATTACATTTCCTTATAAAGCTGGCCCCAACAGACAATGAATTTATGTTATGCTATGGTTTGGTTATGCTTTCGAAATTGACAGACTTCAGTTAACATAGGTAACATCACAATGAAGAGGCAAGTGTAACATACTTTTAATTCTTCTGAGTAGAGAAAAGTCACCAACGTCATCAACTGTCATACCTTATTAACCTGACCTCTATAATACTACATCGTGGTTCCACGATGCTTATAAGGTTGGGGTGGCCAGATGACTACCGAAACACTGTTAATCTAACAAAAACATCCCCCTATCAGCTTTAAAATCCGCATATTTTGCACACGGTTCTCGACCAGACGGGTTCTTCCTACCTTCCGTTCTCATATCTTATAAATAGTCTTTTTATCCTGCTGGTTTTAATTATTTAGGCGGGAATGGAACTTGAAACACTTCACTTTTATAGTAATGGTGGATAATGGCTAGCAGTGAAATCCAGGATGCGCATTTAATCCTCTTCGGAACTCATCAGCTGGATGTACCTGCCTTCCAGTGAGTGGTATTGTTCCCACCGGGATTCGAACTCGGGAATAACCGCTCCAAACGCCAGAGCATTATCCACCAGACCACCGAGCCACTTCTTGTGCGACGGGCGTAGTCCTAGTATTACTGCTTGTATTATCCAGTCGTTGGTTGGATCGAATTGATCGGTCTCTATTGACATTTGGGCTCCTGAACGGATGACTCGATATTGCCTGTGTTTTAACCATATATACAGTAATGATGGATAGTGGCTAGCAGTGGAATTGTGGCTTGGTGATCTAGTGGATAACCCTCTGGCGTTTGGAGAGACCGCTCCTGAGTCCGAATCCCGGCGGGAACAACACCACTTACTGGAAGGCAGGTACATCCAGCTGACGAGTCCCAAATAGGGCGAAATGAGCATCCTGGATCCCACTACTAGACGCTATCCATCATTACTATATATAACTAAAGCGCAGGTAATATCGAGGCATCTGCGCAGGAGCTCATTCGCCAATAGAGACCGGTCAATTCAGTCCAATCAACGACGGTGTAAGACAAGCAAAAATATTGCACTTTTATATCAAATTCACAACATATGCTATGAAAATGAATTTAGCTTTGAGATTGCTGACAGATCTGTTATTACACAACTAAGCAAGTACACAGATCAGTAGTGTGGTTCTGAAAACATGATCTTCAGATACATCCAACCATCAATCACCACCACCCAGTGTTACCAATGTTTTGTGGCTCTCCTTCAAATCATCCAGTGGAGAAAATAATAAACGAAGTAAGACTGAGATTGTTGTGGAATGTGTAATACGTAGGTCGAATAACGACTCCTACCCAGGTAGTCAATGCCTTGTTGAAGTAACATTAAAATTCCGAAAGCCTGTTGTGACACTGGCCGTGTTAATACGGTTAATACGTCTTCACATAAGATATGATAGTAGTAAGCTCATTCTCTCTCTCCCAAACACACACAGTCAGTCTCTTACACATGTGCTACCTCAACCCTTTAAATCTTGAAAATAACTAATCGATGATTTACTCCCATATGTCCACATATGACATCTGTGAGCATACAGATGAGTTGAGTTATGCTCTACGTGAATGGTGTTTACTCGCATATGTTTTATCAAACTGACTACTTTTCAGTTATTTTTATGCCACAATGAATTATTGTTTGTATATAAGTATATAAACACACCGTACTTCCACATAATCATCTGCTCACTTTATTATGCTGACAATCTCGGACTAATATTATCTTGGCCTGAGCTGATTTTAGTTCAGTGATTGCTCTGATACTATAGCACTTTTGATCACATATCATGTGCAGTGATATACAAAAAAACCACCCAGTTTCATTTTGATAGTAATGTTGCGTAATTAACATTGACAGATGATAGGATTTATGCCTGAAGTAGATCAATATTTAGTAAATTACTGCGCAACTATCTTCAGATTCTAACCATAAGTATTTACATAATCCAAACGAATGACGAATTCAATTTATCTTTACACAACCTAATTTTAATGAGGGTTAACAACAACCAACTATACTAAGGTGTATATAACACACTTTCGGGATTTCGCATTACCCTAAAGAGTGAGTTAGAGAAACCTGTAGATCAGTTCAAGTGCTTTCTAACTAATAGCGTCACTCAGCAATCTCTCTCGTTAGTTTACAACAATATTGCGTTAGAGACAATAATACTTAGTTGGAAATCCTGTTGACTCCATAGTCTGAGTGTGAGAAATATCAATGTTAGTCGGATCAAGACAATCGGCAGGAAGCTCTGGACCTAGTTTTCCAGCTTTTTGACACTCGTCAGCCACATGTATGTGCAACCTCTACGGAACTGATGTCTTGTATGGGATTCGAACCCGCGTCAGCCACTACAGTAGCCAGAGACGTGGACTGTAAACAACCTAAAATCTGACCATTCATTTCATGGTAATACCAGCCGTCCCACATCACAAGGCCGAATTCAGTTAATCTAAATAATTCACCCCGTATATCAAATGGATTTGTCCCAGTACACCACTGATGAGTTCACCTCTAAACAAGTGAAATACCTACCTGTACAGTGTTCAGATTACTTTCATCTGCCTAAAGGAATTTGAAAATCAGTATGAACGGCTCCTAATCATCATCATTCATAATTAAGCTTACCATTTCCACCGTATTTTATTATTGGAATAGTTTTCGCTTCTTTTTCCCAAGATCATTTGTTGTGGTCTAATGGTGAACGACTACCTGAAACGATGCCATACAGTACTGAGAAATACAAAACAAAACATAGTGTAGTGGATGCAACTGATAAGAATGGATATAAGTAGTATATGTTGAGAGGTCCGCAGAAATCATAGGTAATTACCAGTGTTGGGTAAATATTCTGCTCAGAGAAACGCATGAGACAATGTGGACGTATGAAGAGCGAATAGAGATGGAAGAAGAGAACATGAAACACATTGTACAAATGACTATTTTGGTGGAGTGTACAATATTTCATCAGTACTGTACAAAATGTCATAATAAACATTCCTTCCTGCATCTCAGGGCGTAGTCGTTCCCTACAAGTTGGAGGGAAAATATGTCAGGGTCCTCAAGCTCGGAGATACTCGGCTTTTTCGGCAAGAAAGTCCACCGAACCCATGCCTCCTGCCCCCTTATCCGCTTCGCATACCCTGTTTTCCCTCCAAATTGTAGGGAACGACTACGCCCTGAGATGCAGGAAGGAATGTTTATTATGACATTTTGTACAGTACTGATGAAATATTGTACACTCCACCAAAATAGTCATTTGTACAATGTGTTTCATGTTCTCTTCTTCCATCTCTATTCGCTCTTCATACGTCCACATTGTCTCATGCGTTTCTCTGAGCAGAATATTTACCCAACACTGGTAATTACCTATGATTTCTGCGGACCTCTCAACATATACTACTTATACCCATTCTTGTCAGTAGCAACCCAATACAACAGCGCCAGTAGTGAAAATGAGCGTAACCCAACAAATGTTGCAAGGCGACAAACAAGAAGTAAATGATGGGACAATGTATGTTACTGTATCGTATAACACGTTTTAGTGTTCTTAGGTTTTACACATCAGTTTACAGTGTTATCTAAATCACTTGCTGAGTAGAAACTTACTCACATCCACTAGGTACATAGCGTCAAAGATTCAAATCAATGACACTTACTACAAAAGTTATTCAGATCACAACTTATTCCTGTGTAAAACCAGACTATGTGCATAAAATGGTTTACGAAAAAGGATAAAATAGGTGAATATTTACTTACCAACTGAAATAAGCACATGTCTTGTAAAGACAACGTTCTTTGAATGCTTGATTAGTTTCCTTATGAACTAATTGTTTTGAACTGTTTCCAGTGTTAGCAGAAATTAAATTGCTTTGATGTGTTGATTTTGATAAGTTTAAAATCGATCCCGTTAAATCTTCATTATCTTCAATTGTGATAACTAATTCACTGTAATAATATCCTGTCATACTGTAACGTTTTGTATAGTAATATAAAATTCTTTTTTGTTGAGTATCACAGAATTTGGTTACTTCTTCTGTTGACCTTCTCATACATATTGGTATAACCAATGTGGTTGTATACATTACTGGCGAGTAGTAATTGAACGCATCAATATTTAAGGATAATACACAATTGTCCTTCATATAATTTATACACTGTGGAAGATCAGAATGTATGCAAGATGAGTGATGTAAACGAATAAGGGATAAATGTATTTTTTTAACATCTAGTAAACAATTCGGTAGATAAGACGAACATTTGTAGAGAGTCAAAGAAATCACATTTCAAAGTAGCAACAACAATGAAAAATGACAGAATGAAATGATCATTTTGACCATCTGAGATAGTTGTCGTTTGGTAGACTAAGGTATTGATACTGGGTGATGATTGAAGGTGAAATGAAAATTTGAACCCCGGTCGGATTAGAACTAGTGACCACTAGATTCACGGCCCGGTCCGCACCCGACTGCCGTCCAAATTTTCATTTCAACTCCAATCATCATCTAATAGTAAGAATGAAATAAATTATTTCGATTTATGATGCAATTTAGCAAAAAGAAACGTATTTATCACTTCAGATACTTAGTCATTGGTAAATCACCAATATGAAGCCATGTAAACTTCATACTGTGGGTAGAATCTTTGTTGTCTATCTTTTCTCAACTGTTCAACAACATAGCAGACATGAATACAATTCAGTGTGAACACTTGAATAACATGCGCATAAATACTTTCATCAAAATGACAATCTCAGTTAGCGGAAGATCACATCTTTGTTGAATAAGCCATTGAGGTTTGTAGATACACTTCAAAAACAAGGGAAAATAGACTCCGACAAAAAAAAACACGTCTTGTTAAGATAGGGAGCTATGGAATATGCGTTTCGTACTTCAAGTCATGAAACCAATCAGGGACGATAATACATGTTTATACCTCAAAATAGTGAACTCGGATCGCGTTGTTCTTTGAACTGAACTCTTACCTGGTGACTGTCATAAAACTATGTTGGACATCAGCAAAACTTTATGGAGAAATGAAGCGAATCGCTGATCTATGACCATTCAAAATCACCGAGTTTCTCTCATTCTAACTTGATTAGCTGACTCGTAAAAGTAGGTAGGCCTATGCCAGGATTCAGTCTGATCCTAAGGATACATACCTTTCTATACACTAGTTGTGGTAACTTAATTGGAATGGTAAACAACCAAATCTATGAGGCGTTACGGAAGTTCGATCAGTGTCAATAGAACACTGAGAGGCAATATCCACGACTGGGAGGTGATAAGTCACTTCTTGTTTGACCTTTCAAACAATAAGACAGAAAACAATACAAATGATTTGCACACGATGACTAACATTAGAAAAAATGTGGGAGGCAGATAGTTTTAAAACACTCAGTGCCAGATGATCAAGAAAATCGGTAACATAGTCAGCATGTGTCGATGAACTGGCACTAACCTGTAAACAGATTCAGGTAACTGCGTGAAAGTCACGTTCTGAAATCATTATTTTGAGTCATCCGAAAGGTAATGTTACAAACAAGAAAACGATGAGTAAGGATGACACTTACCTCAGTCTTCGCATTACTCAATCTAACTCGTCTACTAGGGTATCTATAGCCCAAGACTGTTGTCAGCTATTATGTTCAAAGAACTCCTAACGGTAAACTCATCACACAAGCTAACACAACGAGAGAACATGCCATAATGTCGTGTGAATGACTCATTTCCCAGCATTATATCGAAATATACAAGAGTTACAAAGATGTAGGTGGCCTAATCAGGCCACTGTAAATAGGAGTGGCTGATGGGGCGTGACTCCAAAGGTCATCCTAACAATTAAGTTTCATTATCCCAGTTGGAAATGTAGATTTTCATAAAGTAAAGGCTTCTTAGTTGGTTATTTCGGTTGTTGTTGCTAGAGTGACCCCTGATGGACAGCTCAGGGTCAAGCTAAACTGGTTGTTTATTCATCTGTTTTATCCGAACATTTTCATCCCTCGACTATTCGCGTACAAAACAGCGATAATACTTAGCACGCCTTATGGTATGTCTTATGTGTGGCGCAAAATGAGTGAGTCCAAACTTTATCTAGCAACCAATTGTTCCTTCATTTCGACTGGAAAGACAGATTTATGTAAAATGAAGAATTCTAGTTGGTCATTTCAATTGTTCCTAAGATGCCTTTGCGATCAAGTAACTCTAGTGACAACCTTGCAACTGTTGCGACAACCAATTATGGTTTTGCACTTTATGGAATTTTATAAAATATAGAAAACTGATTGGTTATTCTGCTGTTACTAAAGCACGTCTTTACAATTACTCAAAAATTTGCCTACCAGCGAAAATATTTAAGCCTAATTAGTTATTTCGAATATCGTTTAAGGCCACCCCAGTAACTGCTGTGATAAGTTAAGCTTCTCTATTTAAAAAAAAACCACCTTTCTAAAAGGAACACCGAAACCTGATTGGTTATTTCAGCAGTTGCTGGGGTAGCCCTTAAAGTCACTAGTACGAAACAGAAGTGACGCTATATGTGACGCTGGCAACCAGTTAAATGGTCAGTCAGTTTTTTCTGTCTGAAGGTCACTTCCGTAAAACAGAGAAAACAAACCGGTTACCTGAGAACTGGCAAAAATGACCCTTATACTCAATCGTATCAGTCGTTTTGATCCATATTTGAACATGGCTTTCTTCCTTGAGTCAGTTAACATGGTGTAGTAATGATAGTTTCACATGACGCAGATTGTGCAAACTGGGCACTAGTTTTACAGACATAATCTAGAAAACGTGTTATACGTTCCTACCATATCGTTTTTTTGTTTCTGACCACTGATTTCTAACACATCGAAGATAAAAACCAGGTAACCTACACGGTTCAGATAGAAAGTTAAAAATTCCACAAGTTGGTGCCATGTCTCGGATCTGGTCACCATTGATTCCCTCCAACAAAACCAACAGTAAATCAAGTAACTCATCGCATCACCGATGGCTACTGACCCACTTCGCACAACACAGCATTTATACACACAGGCCATGTCAGAGGCTATAATTTTACAATCTAGCCAAACAACTTGAAACAACCACATTTTAACAAAATTCATTCATAAACATAACTAGTTAATGAGAGTGAATGAGTCAGAAAAAGCTCAGAAACGAGATAATGTCTTAACAGTTAGTTTATATGTAATATCACGCCACCAGCCTCCACAAACTGATGGTGATCACTACAACCTAACAGTAACAATCATTAATAGGGTTATGACCATCAATGTTGTAGACTGTGATAAGAATAATGGTAATTAAAGTATGGAATCGCACAGAAATACAGTCTATCCTGAAGGTCAAGTTACTTCATGGTCAAGTAAGTCAACAAAATAACTGTATTCGTAAGTTCAGTGATTCACAATCATTAACTATAAATAACACATTGTAATACACTACAGTCATTAAAACACACCTAATGTAGAAAAAAAATTACATTTGTTACACAATAATATAAATTCAGTCAACTGATTCTCGATCACAGTCCATACCAGAGATGGAGATTATCGCCAACTGAATAATCCATAAAAGTACATGAGTACCGAATCAATGTTTTCCGATATGCCTACCATTTACTATTTGGTCTAGGGTTCAGTCGAAAACTTGCAAATACAAGTAACATAGATAGTGATAAAAGATATTGAGGAAAGCTAAGGGTACCCTTCCAACTTAAACCAAAACATTTTCTTATTCGATGAATTGACTGAATGCTGACCTAAGCTATGTTGGCTATCTGTTTCGCCTTCTTAGTATATTAAGAATTAATGATAACAGATCTTCAGAAATATGACTTGAAATGATGTGGATGCATTCCTCCTTCATCATTTTCGAAATACTGAAGATTTTGTCAACTTATGTTTATTTGTTGTCTTTGCATTATCTCTATATCGATTTTAATACCACCCTACTTTTTTGAATCTTGCCTTTTGTGCGAATCAGTTTGAACCGATGCATTATTCTACACGGATAAATGTTCACCAGTATACTTGACAGTTTAACTGAGTATGTGAATATGTCACAGGTAGTCTGATCAAAATCGCATACTAAACCACTGAGATAGTCAATAAGACTTTAGTATCTTAGGTTCGAACTTTTGGACAGTTACACAAAGGTGTACTGGTACCAGAGTCTGGAAATCTAACCAGAATGTCACTTATTATTCGCCTCACTAGAATTCAGCTGTCATAAATGCCTAAAATATACTTGATCAAAAACGAAAGCGACATGCTCTTCGAATAGGGAAGGGGGTAGATGAAAGTGAATAAAGGATTCCTGTTACATTTACGTGATGGGAAAACTGATCTACATCTGTTGAGTTGGTTTAAAGTAAGACAGTTTATAGTTTATCAATGACACATTTACTGATGATTATAACAATGTGACAAGCATGTATCATTAAGAAATGAATGAATAAAGAGCAGTGTACAACAACTAAGTTGTTTCATTTTTTGGTCGACAATATTGACCGTCGAATATTGCGTGCCAGTAGTACGATAAACACAAGATAATAACTAATCTATGAATATTCCCACTTCTTTGTGTTTTAGACATGCCGTGAGTATACAGTTTCTGAGAATTTATGAAGAGAAGCACTTCACACTTAGTCAAATCTCCTCAAAGTTGGAGCCACTGTATCATGTGAGAGGTCACTCAACAATGAATCCAAGTAAATGCCTTTATAATCAGGACCATAGGGATAGTTTTGGCTTACAGCCTGTTCTTCATGTAGCCAGGTTGATGACTTTGATATAAATATATAATCTGGAACTGCAGCAAGATTCATATTAGCGACGGGCTGATGAACTCAATCAAAGTTGCCGGCTCAAATTTTGCCACAATTTAGGTTACCGTATTAAAAAAGAATCATTTACACGATGAGTAAAATAGACATGAATGCGATAAATGAACTACAATTTTTGCGTCAAAACTAGTCAGAGTACTTGGTTGTGCAAACCTCGGTGCAGGAATTAACTGAAAAGTATGATTGAAGCGTCAAAAGCTGAATGAATAAATCAATGATGCATGAATTCGACTGACTTTTAATCAATGAATGTTCTTTAGCTACTAACTCTTTTCAGAAGTATATTCCCTTACGCTTGCTCTGGTACTTT